AAGCAGTTCCAAACTTTCCCAAGTCTTCTTGGTTTTTAAGCCCTCACCAGAAGCTAGGCATTTTCTAGTCTGCCAGGCTCTGTCCATCATCCAGTTCCAAAGCTACTTCCACATTTTCAGATATTATCAGCACAACCCCACTCTTGGTACCAATTTTCCATCTTAGTCTGTTTTCTGTTACTTATAACAAAAACTAGGTAATTTATAAAGAAAAGGAATTTATTTCTTACAGTTATAGAGGCTGAGAAGTCCAAGGTCAAGGGGGCTGCATCTGGTGAGGGTCTCCTTGCTGGTGGGGACTCTCTACAGAGTCCTGAGGTGGTGTGGGTTATCCCATGGGGAGGGGGTTGAGCTTGGTAGCTCAGGAGTCTCTTCCTCTTATTTTTTAAAAATTTTTTATCTTTTAGAGACAAGGTCTCATTCTATCACCAGGCTAGGGTGCAGTAGTGTGATCATAACTCACTGTAATCTGGAGCTCCTGGGCTCAAACAATCCTCCCACCACAGCCTCCCAGGTGGCTGGGACTACAGGCATGCACCATCATGACCAGCTAATTTTTAAAATTAATTTGAAGAAACAAGGTCTTTCTATGTTGCCCAGGCTGGTCTTAAATTCTTGGCCTCAAGCGATCCTCCCACCTTGACCTCCCAAAGTGCTGGGATTACAGGCATGAGCCACCTTGCCTGGCCTCTTCCTCTTACCTATAGAGCTTTATAGCCATGAATCCTACTCCCGTGATAACCCATTAATCTATTAACCTAATATTCCATCAATCCATTCATTAGGTCAGAGCCCTCAGGCCCAATCATCTCTTAAAGGCCCTACCCCTCAATACTTCCACCTTAGGGAGACAGAATCTTCCTCTGTTGTCCAGGGCTAGAGTGCAATGGCATCATCACAGTTGTTGGTGACTCCACACTCAATCAATCCTCCTGCCTCAGCCTCCCAAGTAGCTGGGTAAATTTCAAAATGAGTTTTTGAGGAGACAAATATTCAAACCATAGCATGTCTCCTGGTAGAAGCATTATTCCCTTTGAAACTAAAAGCTTAGGCTAGCAGAGCATAAGATCATGGGAATAGGAAGTAAAAATTTAGCTAGTGGGTCACTAGGGGTAATACTAAGGTGTGCCACTCCCATTTCCACAACTTGGTTCCTGTACCTATGAATCTTCACTCTAGATAAACAGCATCATATATTGGACACTGATGAAACCTAGCTGGCACTGTAGCTGAGTCTTCAAGAGGCCATTCCACCATTCAATCAAGCCAGCTGCTTCAGGACAGTGAGGAACATGTAATGCCCGCAAATTCCATGAGCATGGGCAGCCATGCTTTTTTTGCTGTGAAGCAAGTTCCTTGATCAGAAGCAATGCTATGTGGAATATCATGGTGGTGGATAATGTATTCTGTAAAGTCCATGGATGGTCATTTTCACAGAAGCAGTAGGATTGCATTCAGGGAAGGCAAATCCACATCCAGAGTATGTCTACTCCCTCTTCCATAAAGGACATGGTCCCATGTAATCAACCGGCCACCAACCAGCTGGATGATCCCCCCAGAGAATGGTGCCATATCAGGGACTCAGTGTTGGTCCCCACTGCTGGCAGATTGGGCGCTCAGCAGTGGCTGTGGCCAGATTGGCTATGGTGAGTGGAAGTCCATGGTGCTGAACCCATGCATTAATGTCCACTCCTGGCACTAAGGCCACTTTATTCATGAACCCAATGGGCAATAGCCAGGCTGGCTGGGGAAAGAGACTGACTGGTATCTACAGTATGGGTCATCCTATTCCCTTAATATTAAAAGCCTCCTCTGCCTTTAACGTCCCCCTTTGGTGAGCATTTACATGGGACACAAATGTCTTCATGTTTCTTGCCAATTAAGAGAGGTCTGTCTACATACCTCCTCCCCACACTTCTTTGTCACCAATTTTCCAATCACATTCCTTACAAGTAAGTCTCTGACCATCCAGCCAAACCATCAGCTTGGTATATAATCAATTGCAGGTCTGGCCATTCTCCTTCCAAATAAAATTAACAAGCAAGTGCACTGCTCAAAGTTCTGCCCACTGGGAGGATTTCCCTCCATATTTGTCAGGGATGTCCCAGAAATGGGCTGTAGTGCTGTGGCTGTCTCCTTTGGGTATTGCCTGCATATTGTGCATAACCACCTGTGAAACAGGCCCGAGCTCTATTGTTCTTGAGGTCACAGCCTCTAGAGCAGGGACAGAGAGTTGCCCAGAAGTAGGACAAAAATCTAGGTGCCTAACTGGATAATTGGTGGCCATTGGCTTCATAGATGGCCCTCACCCATCTTCTCCACCTCTATCTATGTGTGTGTATTTCCTGTCTCTGTGTGTGTCTGTGTCTATGCACAAATTGCCTACCCACTATCTCTTCTACCTCCATCACCAAACCCCCTAATGTGAGGCCTTCCCATTAACATCCATATGAACTTCAAAGTGAGCTTTCTCAATTAGGGGAGAGGCCAGTAACATCAAAGAAACTCTCACTAGCTACCTTTCTTAATCATCATGATTTCATGAATACTTAATTATAACTCAATAGACAATAAGTACTATAAATCTTAACAGTATAAAATTAGTGTTCTATCCATATGTGCTTGGAAGTAATGAGATGGGAAGAAGTAGAATTTTTTTTTTCTTTTTTCAGATTCAGGGTCTCACTCTGTCGCCCAGGCTGGAGTGCAGTGGCACACTGACAGCTCATTGTAATATTGAGCTTCTCGGTGCAACCAATTTTCCTGCCTCAGCCTCTGGAGTAGCTAGGATTACAGGTGTGTGTCACTGCACCTGGCTAATTTTTAAATTTTTTTGTAGAGATGGGGTCTCACTTTCTTGCCCAGGCTGGTTTCTAACTCTTGGTCTCAAGCAGTCCTCCTACCTCAGCCACCCAAAGTGCTGAGATTACAGGCATGAGCCACCTTGCCTGGCCAAAAATGTTTAACTCCCCAAACAGCAGGGAGTTAAAAGATACTGTCTCAATTGTATGAATCAATAAAAAGACACTTAAGTATATTATAAAAGGGTAACTAATGTGTTTAGGTATATAACTATAGTTGTATACATTTTATCATCTTCCTGGAGTACCTATTCATCTGGTGTTAAGGAAACTGTACATGTGTAGTGCTGGGACCCAGTCTTGTTTATACAGTACCTTTAATCCCTTAATTTCTACAGAAGCTCTAGGTAACCTGTAGTTCTCTAGTATTGATAATTATCTGTGAGAAGGAGCATTTGGGAAATGGTACCATGCAGGAGAAACTAGCATTCAAGATGGCCCCCAATGATCTCTGTTTCCTGGTCTTCACATCCGTGTCAAGATCCCACTCACATTGTACTAAGGTTGGTCTATGTGACCATTAGCATACGGAGAATTGATAGTATGACTTCCAAGATCAACTCAAAAGACACTGTGGCTTCTATCTTGCTCTCCCTCTCTCTCTCATCTCTCATTCTAGAGGAAGCAAGTCGCCATGTCATGAGCAACCCTACAGTGAGGCCCTTGTCATGAGGAACTGAGGCCTGCAACAAAGAAGTGAATTTGGAGTGGGTTTTTTCCCCCATTTCAAGAAGCTTGAAAGGATTTGCAGCCCTGGACAACTAACTATTTGACTGCAACCTCAAGAAAGACTAAGCCAGAACCACCAAGCCACTCTGCTCTGATTCCTAATCTTCAGAAACTGAGAGAAAATAAATGTTTACTGGGGGGTGATTTGTTACATAGCAAAAATTAATACACATTAAACTACATTTCAGGCACCCTGATGGGGTGAGCAATGGCCTAAACCAGGGCTATGTGAAAACTGCCCATCTGGCTTGCTACCAAGCAACAGTTGTGATGTCATCAGATTTAGAACTTTCATTTTATGATCTTGCCAACCACCTGATGGTAAGTCTCAGATGAGAAGGTACTTGTCAGGTGAGCAGACCTACTTATGCTTTCTCCTTTACTTCCCCAAATAAGGTGACTAAGGGGTCCTCAAACCAAATTTGGTTCTTGATATTCCTAAGGTCAACTGACATATTTTAAATGCTAATTTCTAGCGGTAACTGACAATTAGAGTGGGTTGCTTCCATTTTATTTATTTATTTTTTTGAGACAGAGTTTCACTTTGTTCCCCAGGCTAGAGTGAGTGCAGTGGCATCAGCCTAGCTCACAGCAACTTCAAACTCCTGGGCTCAAGCAATCCTCCTGCCTCAGCCTCCCAAGTAGCTGGGACTACAGGCATGTGCCATCATGCCCGGCTGATTTTTTCTATATATATTAGTTGGCCAATTAGTTTCTTTCTATTTATAGTAGAGACGGGAGTCTCACTCTTGCTCAGGCTGGTTTCGAACTCCTGACCTTGAGCAATCCGCAGGCCTTGGCCTCCCAGAGTGCTAGGATTACAGGCGTGAGCCACCGCGCCCGGCCTGGTTGCTTCCATTTCAATCCCTGGGTTTTTGGTCTGCTTGTTTGTTTTTAACAATTTTTATATAGGGTCACAAAGTTGTCAGGTATAAGATTTTGGCAAATCTTTAATATTTATTAAAAATTAAAAACTTTATAATAATTAATATTTTATAAATTTATAAAATATTTCAATTGAAAATATCCAGAGCCATATTTGAAAAAGTACTATTAGTCCCTCTAAATTTCTATCAAATATGAACTATGTAACGTAGACCTGGAAGAGTTTTATGTAATATCCATTTTTTTTAAGCTTCCTGGAACTAAACAATGAAATATTGCACTGCTTAAAATTACTTTTAAATTTCTCTTTTGGGATTCCCTGAATATGATTTATGTTCATAGCCTCATAACTCTCAAATCTTCACCCCTTAATGGGAGATATTATTTCTGGAATTATTTAAAGCCATTTAGAGCAGAGTGGGTGCTCAAACGACAAAAATGCCATTCTTACTCAAGTTTTTGAAATAATTTTTATTATACAGAGAACATACAGTATATATACATTTTTCCTGATCACACCCCCAAGGAAACTGTCATTTAAAAAGTTCTATTTTACCCTAAAACCCATAAATCCCTATGACTCTCTTCCCTCTCCTATTCACTGCTGTCAGTTTAGTGTGTCATTCTAGCTCTTTCTGTATTAATTTGCATGCATCGATTCTTTTTTTCTATCATTTACATAAGTATGTACCACAGTAAAACCCGGTATTGTTTTGTGAGGTTTATTTACGTATAAAAGAATAACTAAATACATATTTTTTGCAACTAGAATTTTTTAACACGCTCCAAAATGTCTTGGGGGAACTTTCCAAGTCAGTATAGCATAGTATCTCACAATTGTATATAGTCTATTGTAAATATAACTATTTCCTCAACTGAATGGGAGTTTGGTGTTTCTAACATTTCAAACAACTCAAAAAATAACGTCTGTCTGTACTCAGTTTAATATGTACAGGTAATTCTGCCACTACTAGCTATGATTTTAAACAAATTATGACTTGGACAAGTCTCAAAAGAAAGCAAGCTTTTAACCTATGCTCTGATTCATGTGTAAACCATAATCTAATCCAATTTACAGGATTGTACTGAGGATCAGGATTAACGGCAAGCTCTAGTAACTGTTACCTAATACCGTTAACTATCCTTGGTTCGCTCTGATCCCTTATTCTTGGTTCCTTTTAAGACTTGATTCTAGCTGACTTGCAGTGATGTTATCTTTCAGATCAGAGTGACTCTGAGCCTGGCGAGAGTGCTCCCTTTTCATCGCTTTTTCTCCCGCTTTTACGGAGAGAGATTCTTCTGTCGGTTGGTGGTGTCTTTTATTTTCAACAGCTAACGGAGGTGAGCCGGATACACATTCTCCCAACACTGTTCTCTTGACCCAAAAGCTGTTCCGCTACCCAGATCCCCAGCCCGGCCCCCTACTGTCACACTTGGGGACCGGGCCCTCGGCGGGGCAGTCCATGGTGGGCGGCAAGGCCACAGCGCCCACCCTGTCGTCCACCGCTTCGCGCTCCTGGGCCGCAGCCCCGACAGCCAGGCCAAGCAGCGCCATAGCACCGCGTGCCCTCATCAACCGTCGCCGGATCCGGAAGTAGCGCCTAGCCAAGCGGAAGCCCCGCCCCTCACCATGGGGAGGAAGTCTGAGTGGTCGGGGCGACACACCTTCGGCGCATGCGCTCTGGTGGGCTCGTCCTCGGGCGGTGGGCTCATCCTCCGGCGGCTGCCCGCAGCGCGTGGTGAACGAGGGTGGCTCCTCGGCGCGTTGGCCTCTGCACCACCGTAGTTCCGGCGTCGCCACCGGCCAACCCTTTGGACTGTCCGCGAGGAAGTCTCTGTTGACTGTCACACCCAGTCTTGGTCTTTCTCCCCTCCCCAAAAGCAGTTTATCCGCTGAGTGCCCTCCTGACTTTTATATTCATTAACACTCACGCATATTAGTATACAGTATACCTGTCTAAGCAAATTGCAGAACAATACGTAAAATAGCATACCCTCAGACAATAAAAGCACAAACTCCAAATAAGTATTTAATGTGGGGACACGTGTGTATAAATATACACACATATGTATACATATACATATGTGTAATATGAAATATACATGTATATGTGTAAAGTATATATTATACGTACATGTATACATATTTATAAATCTATACATATAAATACATACTTATGCACAAACCCCAATAAATACATGTAATACCTTAGTATATATAAATATATAACATATTGAGATACATAGACACGTGTCCCCACAGAAAATAAATACTATCTCTTGGGGTTTGTGTTTTTATTGTCTTACAGTATATTGTTTTATGCATTGTTGTGCAACTTGCTTTTTCTCTTGTTCTCTCAGAGCTGTCCACCTTAGGGCACATACATTCCTCCTCATTATTTTCCCTGAATCCACGTATTCAGAGCTATTGGAGAAGTTAGAAACCAGTCAGAAATATTCTGTGGTCTCCAGCAAGAGTGGATTTGTATGGATACATAACATAGTTAACCAACTGCCTCTTTTTTCCAACTTTAAAGTGGAATTATTAATTGTATATAACTCCCAAGCAGTAGTAGGTCGTCAGTGAGTTAAGGTATATAAATCACAAAACAGGTCCTTGGTCCATTGTATGCTTCCAGTAACTTTTAGTCCTTGTTGGTATTTTGTCTTGTGAACGCTGATGTTTTCGTCTTTGTCCCTGGGGCACTTGATTCTACCTGACAATAAAGGCCATCACTGGGATCCTAAGGGAGGGTCTTTCCTTTGATCTTCCTCTTTTGTCCAGCCTTACTCAAGGTTATATTTTTCTAGGCTAAGTTAGCCACTGGGCACTCCCAGCTCCCTAGCTCTCTCCCAGCTCCTGCCACGCCACATTTGTTGTTTGATCTCTGTTCCAAGCTGCCTACCCCATTCCCCAATGCACCTGGCTCTTTGCTGCTCACACTTCTCACATCGCCTTAACACTCCCTCCACTCCTAACCTGATAGTGCAAGGACTCTTTAAGTCTAACTGATGCATCCTACTTCTCTCCCTGGCCTGCACAATGCCTTGTAAGGAAGACCCTGCATTTAAATGAGTGAACAAATGTCTTTATTCCTCAGATGAGCACTTAAAACATTTTAATAAGTCTGAAACGACTCCTTTCAATAAGTAAAAATTCTTAACATCAAAGTGTAAGGATGTATTTGTGAAAAGAAACTTCATATTATTTAGTATCTCACTACTCCCAGTAGCTGTATAAAGTGACCTCTCTGGGACCTAACACACCAAATTTGTTCCCCAGGAATCCTAGACTGAACCAATAAAATTTTGCATGACTGTAATCATTTTGTGTAAATCGTCTTTTGGAATCACCTCGAAGCATTTTCTTTATTATGCTCACCACTACCTTAACAGTACATGTCTTTTCTTGAATCAAACATATGCCTTCAAAAGTCTAGTCTAGATGAATAGAATGAGAGCTAAAATTAGGTAATACATTTGGCAAAAAATTATGATTAATATTACTGTGCAAAGAATAGGTAAACTCTTCCGGGAAAAATTTAAAAATTTTGTTTCAGGATCAAGTTCCATTTGACCATTATACTCTATTCCATATTCTTTCCCCTCCCTGGAATTAAGCACTTTTTACTTTCTTTGTGGTTTCTTTAATCTGTTCATCTACATGAATAGATATATGCCCAAAGAAAGGATATAATATTTTGGAGTTTAGTTTTTTAACTCCTACTGTAGTTCATATGTATGGTTCTACAAGTTTGTTTGTTTTTTTCCTACAAATTTGTTAACAATTTGAGCTGAGTATGGTGGCTTCTGTCTGTGCTACCAGCATTTTGGGAGGCTGAGGCAGGATTGCTTGAGACCAGGATTTCCAGACCAGCCAGGGCAAGATAGCAAAACCTCAGCTTTTGTGTTCCTTTTTTTTTAATTTACTTATATATTAGTTTTACTTTTTTTAACCAGAGTACATTCTAGAACAGATGGACAAAACCTCATCTTTTTAAAAAATTTTAAATTAGCAAAGTATTCAGGAGGCTGAGGCAGGAGGATCACTTAAGCCAACCAGTTAAGGGCTGCAGTTAGTTACACACTACTCACCTGTAAAACTTCTATGACATAGTGAAGGCCCAGATCAAAAATACACTACAGACCCCCCAACAAGGGTGGATTTGTACCTATGTGCAACACACTTGTCCATGGGGCTCCCTTTCTAACCCACTTCAGCACCCTCTTATGCCAGTGACCCACCCATGTCATTTGTGTACGTGCTGGATGTTTCATACCTTCATTTGCCTTACTATTTTATCCATTCCTTCTTAGCAGTTGGAACCAGTAAAATGGAAACCTAAATAAGTCTTCCTTGAAGTATTGAAAATCATTAATGAGTTAACATGTATAATTTGTACACATCATATACAAGAGAAACATAGTACATAATAATGACCCCAAACAGATATTATTAGTATATTCTATTTTTAACTCTGATGTGCTTATTGCATTAATACCCTAAAAGCAATTCTCTCCAAGAGACCTCTTGCCACCACAGACTGGATGACAACATGGAGATCAGGGAAACCACTCAGGTGGTAGACACACAACTTGAATTGTCATTTTTTATATTATGTTAAAATCACAGAGAGTTATGACATTTCTGCTGCAACTCTATGAAAAAGTTACACCATGAGCTTTTATCTGCCTTGGCATGTGCTGTTCCATGTGTAGTAAATCCCTAGTTCTAAAGCCATTGAAGAACATGTGTTTGGACACTACCCCTGAGATGGTAAGCAAAGGAATTAACCTCTAATCTGTAGATGGAAGACCTAACTGTACATACTCCACAGGTGTGCTGTGAATAGTAAATAAGTACACATAATCCAAATGATTTAGGACAGGTATCGGGGACACAGCAACCTCTCAACAGTTAGCTTGTATTAATGCATACTCTTTTGATAATCCCTCCTTTCTGCTGCTCCTGGCAAGGCAGGCGCGACTGCACTCAGGTCTTCTGACCCGGGTGGCAGTGTCTTCGTTGCCCCTTCTCCATTACAATCTGCCTAGGCAGACATATTCCATCTGAGTTGTTGTGTTTGTCCACCATCACGAACCTATCAAGGTGAGTTAGAGATGAGCTTCCTTTGTCTCCTCTTCTGCCCATGTCCCTGTGCTTGAAACTTGCAGTGTCCAGTATTACAAACGGACATCCTGCACTTGGATTAGTTAAGTAGTTGCAGCCACAGGAGAACTAAGGGTTGGAAAAAAGACGTTTATGTGCTCACAGGTGCAGACGGGATCACCAAAAGCCACTCAGGGCTATGGGGGAAGCTCCAGATTTTGGTCAGGCAGCAAAACTCAGCAGCAAGGGAACAGCCTGACCCAGGACCTTTAGTGGGGTTTTGGAGGGACACGCAAATGGCAGAAAAAAATAGTAGGGCATCGGCCAATTGTAATAATTCCGGTGGCCTTTGGGTTACTGCCATGGTCTCCAATTGCTGGTATCTGGAAATGGCTGATCTAGTGAGCAATGTAATTAAAGTCTCATGGGTCAGATGCAAGTAACAATTGTACCTGCTTCACTGTCTTTTTTGTGAACAGTAAACGAGTTAACATTTCCAAATCATTTAGGATAGGTATGGGGACACAGCAACCTCTCAGTCCTTAGCTGCTATTAATGCCTACTCTTGATAATCCCTCCTTTCTGCTCCTACTTGAAAGGCAGGCCCGGCCTCACTTGGGTCTTCTGACCTGGGTAGCAGTGTCTTCATTGTCCTTTCTCCATTAGAATCTGCCTATGCAGATTATTTCATCTGAGTTGTTGTGTTTGTCCACCATCACCAACTAATCAAGGTGAGTTAGACATGAGCTTCCCTTGTCTCCTCTTCTGCCCTTATCCCTGCCCTTGAAACCTGCAGTGTTCTAGGAATGCACATGTTGCATTTGGCCTGCTTAAGTTGTTGCAGCCCAGGAGAGGAGGAGAATCAGGGTTGGAAGAAAGACATTTATGCAGACACTGGAGTCACCAAATGCATGGAGGGCAATATGGGAAGCTCCAGATTTTGGTGAGGCAATGGAAGTAAAGAGCCAGGGGACACCATCAGACAAAGCCTTTGGTGGAGTTTCAGAGGGACAGGCAAGCAGGGCAGAAGAAAAAGTTGGGAATTGGCCAATTGGAATAATTCTGATGGCCTTTGTGTTATAGGGCTGGTCTCCAGTTGCCTGCTACCTAGTGAGCAATGTACTTAAAGTCTCATCGGTAAGATACAAGTAACAATTGTACCTGCTTCAGTCTCTTGTCGGAACAGTAAACGAGTTAACATTTCCAAATCATTTAGGACAGGCATGGGGACATAGCAGTTAGCTGGTACTAATGTCTGCTCTTTTGACCATCTTTCCTCTTTTTTCCTCCTAGGAAGGCAGGCCCGACCTCACTCGGGTCTTTTGACCTGGGTGGCAGTGTCTACATTGCTCCTTCTCCATTCTAATCTGCCTAGGCAGACATATTTCACCTCAGTTGTTGTGTTTGTCCACCACACCAACCTATCAAGGTGAGTTAGAGATGAGCTTCCCTTGTCTCCACTTCTGCCCTTGCTCTGTCCTTCAAAACTGCAGTGTTCTAGGAATGGACACGTTGCACTCTGCCTGGTTAAGTAGTTGCAGCCACAGGAGGGGAGAAGAACCAGGGATAGAATAATGACATTTATGTGCTCACAGACACAGACAGAGGGGGATTCAACCTGCCATGCAGGTCTAGAGGAAAAGCTCTAGATTTTGGTCAGGCGACAGAAGTTATGAGCTAGGGGACAGCCCGAGTCTTTAGTGGGGTTCCTGACGGACAGGAAAGCAAGGTAGAAGTAATGGCTGGGGATTGGCCAATTGCAATAATTCCAATAGCTTTTGGGTTGTAGGGGTGGTCTCCAGTTGCCTGGTACCTAGCCATGGCTGATCTAGTGAGCAATGTACTTAAACTCTCATGGGAAGGAAGATGCAAGTACTAATGGTAACTGTTTCACTGTCCTGTTGTGAATACTAAATGAGTTAACATCTGCAAATCATTTGGGACAAGTATGGGGACATAGGACCTCTCAATAGTTAGCTGGTGTAATGTCTGCTCTTTTGACCATCCTTCCTCCTTGCTCCTCCTAGGAAGGCAGGCCTGACCTCACTGGGGTCCTCTGACCTGGGTGGTAGTGTCTTCATTGCCTCTTGTCCATTAAAATCTGCCTAGGCAGACATATTTCATCTGAGTTGTTGTGTTTCTCCACCATCACCAACCTATCAAGGTGAGTTAGAGATGAGCTTCCGTTGTCTCCACTTCTGCCCTGTCCTTGTCCTTCAAAACTGCAGTGTCCTAGGTATGGACATGTTGCACTTGGCCTGCAAGTTGTTGCAGTCACAGGAGGGAGTTGCAATAAAGACAATTATCTGCACACAGGTCCAGATAGACATGGTCACCAAATGCCACCCGGCTCCAAAGGGGAAGCTCCAGATTTTGGTCAGGTGGTAGCAGTCAGGAGCCAGGGTATAGCCTCAGCCAGAGCCTCTGGTTAGGTCTGAGAGACAGACAACCATAGCAGAGGATATGGGAGCATAGTGGCCATTTAGTGTAATTTCTGTAGCCTTTGGGTTATAGGGGTGATCTCCTGTAGCCGGTACATGCCCATGGCTAATCTCTTGAGCAATGTATTTAATGTCTTAGCGGTAAGATGCAAGTACAATTGTACCTGCTTCACTGTCTTGTTGTGAACAGTAAACGATTTAAAATATACATATCAATTAGGAGAGGTATGGGGCCATAGAACCTCTCAATGGGTACCTGGTGTTAATGTCTGCTCTTTTGATCATCCTTCCTCTTTTTTCCTCCTAGGAAGACAGGCCAGACCTCACTCGGGTCCTCTGACCCGGGTGGCAGTGTCTTCCTTGCCCCTTCTCCATTAGAATCTGCCACCAGCGATTATCTCTCTTGACTTGTTGGGTTTTTCCACCATTACCAACTAATTGAGGTGAGTTAGAGCTGACCTTCTATTGTCTGCACTTCTGCCCTTGCCCCTGTGTTTGAAATCTGCAGTGTTCTATGAGTTGACATGTTGCACTTAGCCTTGTTAAGTAGTTACAGCCACAGGAGGGGAAGAGAAACAGGGTTGGAAGAAAGAGGTTTATGTGATCACAGCTGTGGACAGAGAGTGTTACAAAAGCCATGCGGGGCTATAGGGGAAGCTCCAGATTTTGGTCAGGAGCAAAGGGAACAGCCTGTGCCAGGGGTTTTCTTGGTTTTGTGACAGACAGGCAAGCAGGGCAGAGGAAATGGCTCCCCAGTGGCCATTTAGTGTAATTTCTGTAGCTTTCGGGTTATAGGGGTGGTCTTCAGTTGCCTTTACCTGGCCATGGAAAATCTCTTAGCAATGTACTTCTGCCCTTGCCCCTCTGCTTGAAATCTGCTATGTTCTATGAGTTGCCATGTTGCACTTGGCCTGCTTAAGTAGTTGCGGCCACAGGAGGGGAGGAGAACGAGGGTTGGAATAAAGACATTTATGTTCTCACAGGTGTACACAGAGGGGGACACAAAATGCCATGTAGGTCCAGAGGGAAAGCTCCAGAATTTGGTCAGGTGTCAGAAGTTCTGAGCGAGGGGACAGCCTGAGACAGTGCCTTTAGTGGCTTCTCTGAGGGACAGGCAAGCAGGGCAGAAAAAATATCTGGGGATTGGCCAATGGGAAGTATTTTGGTGGCCTTTGGGTTAGGGGAGGCCTAGAGTTGCCTGTAGGTGGCCATGGCTGATCTAGTACACAATGCACTTAAAGTCTCATGAGGAAGAAGATGCAGGAACCATGTTTCCCTGAGAATAAGACCTACCCATAACATAAGCCCTAGCAGGATTTCTAACCATTCGTGCAATATAAGCCCTACCCTAAAAATAAGACCTAGTGATGGGCATGGCTATGAGGCTTATCTGCAAAATCCATGCATTTGGTCCCCGAGCAGTAAAGAAGAGGAGCAGCCCTTCTCATCTGCCCCATGAGAGCTCTATTGCTTGACATGAGAGACTGGAGCCAATGGTTGTAAAGGAAATAGAGTTACAAGAAATTCAGGATGGAATTTGGGGTTTGGACAGTTATGATGATGTTCCAGAAGAAGACGACTTAACTATATTTGAATAAATGTAGATTGATGTACCGTACTTAAAAAGAATCACACATCCCCTGAAAATAAGCCCTAGGGTGTCTTCTTCAGAAAAAATAAATATAAGACCCTGTCATATTTTGGGGGAAACACGGTACCAATGGTACCTGCTTCACTGAGTTGTCAATACTAAACGAGTTAATGTCTCCAAATCATTTAGGACAGGTATGGGAACATAGAAACCTCTCAACAGTTAGCTGATATTAATGTCTGCACTTTTGACTGTCCTTGCTCTTTGCTCCTCCTAGGAAGGCAGGCCTGACCTCACTCAGGTCCTCTGACCTGGGTAGCAGTGTCTTCATTGCCCCTTCTTCATTAGAATCTGCCTAGGCAGACATATTTCATCTCAGTTGTTGTGTTTGTCCACCATCACCAACTCATCCAGGTGAGTTAGACATGAACTTCCCTTGTCTCCACTTCAGCCCTTGCCCCTGTGATTGAAACCTGCAGTGTTGTAGGAATGGACATGTTGCACTTGGCCTGGTTAAGTTGCTGCAATCACAGGAAGGGAAGAGAACCAGGGCTGGAAGAAAGAGGTTTATGTGCTCACAGGTGCAGATACAGGAGGTCACCAAAAGCTATGCAGGTCCAGAGGGGAAGGGCCAGTTTTTGATCAGGTGACAGGAAGTCAGGAGCCAGGGGACAGCCAGAGCCAGGACCTTTGGGGGCGTTTCTGAGGGACAGGTAAGCAGGACAGAGGAAATGGGTGGCAATGGCCATTTAGTATAATTCCAGTGGCCTTGAGTTATAGGGATGGTTTCCAGTTGCCGATAGCTGGCCATGGCTAATCTCATGAGCAATGTACTTAAAGTCTTAGCAGTAAGATACAAGTACAATTGTACCTGCTTCACTGTCTTGTTGTGAACAATAAACGATTGGAAATATCCAAATGAATTAGGACAGGTATGGGGACATAGAACTTCTCAATGGTTAGCTTGTGTTAGTGTCTGCTCTTTTGACCATCCTTCCTCTTTTCTCCTCGTAGGAAGGCAGGCCAGACCTCACTCGGGTCCTCTGACCCGGGTGGCAGTGTCTTCATTCCCCTTCTCCATTAGAATCTGCCTCCGGGGCTTATCTCTCTTGAGTTGTGTTTTTCCACCGTTACCAACTGATTGAATTGAGTTGGAGTTGAGCTTCCGTTGTCTCCACTTCTGCTCTTGCCCCTGTGCTTGAAATCTGCAGTATTCTATGAGTTGACATGTTGCACTTAGCCTTGTTAAGTAGTTGCAGCCACTGGAGGGGAAGAGAACTAGGGTTGGAAGAAAGAGGTTTATGTGCTCACAGGTGTGGACAGAGGGTATCACAAAAGCCATGCAAGGCTATAGAGGAAGCTCCAGATTTGGGTCAGGGGCAAAAGTAAGGAGCCAGGCGACAGCCTCTGCCAGGGGTTTTCATGGGTTTCTGACAGACAGGCAAGCAGGGCAGAGGAAATGTATCCCCACTGGCCATTTAGTATAATTTCTGTAGCCTTTGGGTTATAGAGGTGGTCTCTAGTTGCCTGTACCTGGCCATGAATAATCTCGTGAGCAACGTACTTACAGTATCAGCAGTAAAATGCAAGTACAATTATACCTGCTTCAGTGTCTTTTGTGAACAGTAAATGATTTGAAATATCCAAATGAATTAGGACAGGAATTGGACCATAGAACCTGTCAATGGTTAGCTGTTGTTAATGTCTGTTCTTTTGATCATCCTTCATCTTTTCTCCTCCTAGGAAAGCAGGCCTGACCTTTCTCAGGTCCTCTGACTCAGGTGGCAGTGTCTTCATTGCCCCTTTTTCATTAGAATCTGCCTCTGCAGATTATATATCCTGAGTTGTTGTGTTTGTCCACCATCACCAACCTATTGAGGTGAGTTAGAGCTGAGCTTCTGTTGTCTCCACTTCTGCCCTTGCCCCTGTGCTTGAAATCTGCTATGTTCTATGAGTTGCCATGTTGCACTTGGCCTGCTTAAGTAGTTGCGGCCACAGGAGGGGAGGAGAACGAGGGTTGGAATAAAGACATTTATGTGCTTACAGGTGAACACAGAGGGCGACACAAAATGCCATGTAGGTCCAGAGGGAAAGCTCCAGAATTTGGTCAGGTGACAGAAGTTCTGAGCGAGGGGACAGCCTGAGGCAGTGCCTTTAGTGGCTTCTCTGAGGGACAGGCAAGCAGGGCAGAAAAAATATCTGGGGATTGGCCAATTGGAAATATTTTGGTGGCCTTGGGTTTTAGGGGAGGCCTAGAGTTGCCTGTAGGTGGCCATGGCTTATCTAGTACACAATGCACTTAAAGTGTCATGAGGAAGAAGATGCAAGTACCATGTTTCCCTGAAAGTAAGACCTACTCATAAAATAAGCCTTAGCAGGATTTCTAAGCATTTGTGCAATATAAGCCCTACCCCAAAAATAAGACCTAGTGATGGGCATGGCTACGTAGCTTGTCTGCAAAATCCATGCATTTAGTTGCCAAGCAGTAAAGAAGAGGAGCAGCCCTTCTCATCTGCCCCATGAGAGCTCTATTGCTTGACAGGAGAGACTGGAGCCAGTGGTTGTAAAGGAAATAGAGTCACAAGAAATTCAGGATGGAATTGGGGTTTGGACAGTTATGATGATGTTCCGGAAGAAGATGACTTAACTATATTTGAATAAATTTAGATTGTTGTACCATACTTAGAAAGAATCACACATCCCCTGAAAATAAGCCCTAGGGTGTCTTCTTGAGGAAAAATAAATATAAGACCCTGTCTTATTTTTTGGGAAACATGGTACCAATGTTACCTGCTTCTCTGACTTGAGAGTACTAAATGAGTTAACGTCTCCAAATCATTTAGGACAGGTATGGGAACATAGAAACCTCTCAACAGTTAGTTGGTATTAATGTCTGCGCTTTTGACTGACTGTCTTTACTCTTTGCTCCTCCTAGGAGGGCAGGCCCGACCTCACTCAGGTCCTCTGACCTGGGTGGCAGTGTCTTCATTGCCCCTTCTTCATTAGAATCTGCCTAGGCAGACATATTTCATCTCAGTTGTTGTGTTTGTCCACCGTCACCAACTCATCCAGGTGAGTTAGACATGACTTCCCTTGTCTCCACTTCAGCCCTTGCCCCTGTGATTGAAACCTGCAGTGTTGTAGGAATGGACATGTTGCACTCGGCCTGGTTAAGTTGTTGCAATCACAGGAGGGAAAGAGAACCAGGGTTGGAAAAAAGAGGCTTATGTGCTCACAAGTGCAGCAACAGTGGGTCACCAAAAGCTATGCAGGTCCAGAGGAAGGTCCAATTTTTATTCAGGGGACAGGAAGTCAGGAGCCAGGGCACAGCCAGAGCCAGGTCCTTAGGGGGTGTTTCTGAAGGACAGGTAAGCAGGGCAGAGGAAATGGGTGGGCAATGGCCATTTAGTATAATTTCAGTAGCCTTGGATTATAGGGATGGTTTCCAGTTGCCAATAGCTGGCCATGGCTATTCTCGTGAGCAATGTACTTAAAGTCTTAACTGTAAGATGCAAGTTCAATTGTACCTGCTTGACTTTCTTTTTGTGAACAGTAAACTATTAGAAATATCCAAATGAATTAGGACAGATATGGGGCCATAGAACGTCTCAAGGGTTAGCTGGTGTTAATGTCTGCTCTTTTGACCATCCTTCCTCTTTTCTCCTCCTAGGAAGACAGGCCAGACCTCACTCGAGTCCTCTGACCTGGGTGGCAGTGTCTTCATTTCCCCTTCTCCATTAGAATTTACCTCCGGGGCTTATCTCTCTTCAGTTGTGTCTTTCCACCATTACCAACTGATTGAGGTGAGTTAGTGCTGACCTTTGGTTGTCTCTACTTCTGCCCTTGCCCCTGTGCTTGAAATCTGCAGTGTCCTATGAGTTGACATGTTACATTTAGCCTTGTTAAGTAGTTGCAGCCACAGGAGGGGAAGAGAACCATGGTCGGAAGAAAGAGGTTTATGTGCTCACAGATGTGGACAGAGGGTGTCACAAAAGCCATGCAGGGCTATAGGGGAAACTCCAGATTTGGTCAGGGGCAAAAGTCAGGAACCAGGGGACAGCCTGTGCCAGGGGTTTTCATGGGTTTCTGACAGACAGGCAAGCAGGGCAGAGGAAATGGCTCCCCAGTGGCCATTTAGTGTAATTTCTGTAGCTTTTGGGTTAAAGGGGTGGTCTTCAGTTGCCCATTCCTGGCCATGGATAATCTCGTGAGAAATGTACTTAAAGTCTCAGCGGTAAGATGCAAGTACAATTATACCTGCTTCACTGTCTTGTTGTGAACAGTAAATGATTGGAAATATCCAACTCAACTAGGACAGGTATGGGGCCATAGAACCTCTCAACGGTTAGCTGATGTTAATGTCTGTTCTTTTGATCATCCTTCATCTTTTCTCCTCCTAGGAAAGCAGGCCTGACCTCACCTGGGTCCTCTGACCCAGGTGGCAGTGTCTTCATTGCCCCTTCTCCATTAGAACCTGCCTCTGAAGATTATATATTCTGAGTTATTGTGTTTGTCCACCATCACCAACCTATTGAGGTGAGTTAGAGCTGAGCTTCTGTTGTCTCCACTTCTGCCCTTGCCCCTGTGCTTGAAATCTGCAATGTTCTATGAGTTGCCATGTTGCACTTGGCCTGGTTAAGTAGCTGCGGCCACAGGAGGGGAGGAGAACGAGGGTTGGAATAAAGACATTTATGTTCTCACAGGTGCACACAGAGGGGGACACAAAATGCCATGTAGGTCCAGAGGGAAAGCTCCAGAATTTGGTCAGGTGACAGAAGTTCTGAGCGAGGGGACAGCCTGAGCCAGAGCATTTAGTGAGGTTTCTGAGGGACAAGCAAGCAGGGCAGGAAAAATATCTGGGGATTGGCCAATTGGAAATATTTTGGTGGCCTTGGGTTTTAGGGGAGGTCTGGAGTTGCCTGTAGGTGGCCATGGCTTATCTAGTACACAATGCACTTAAAGTGTCATGAGGAAGAAGATGTAAGTACCTGTTTCCTGAAAATAAAACCTACCCATAACATAAGCCCTAGCAGAATTTCTAAGCATTTGTGCAATATAAGCCCTACCCCCAAAATAAGACCTAGTGATGGGCATGGCTACGCATCTTATCTGCACAACCCATGCATTTGGTTGCCAAGTAGTAAAGAAGAGGAGCAGCCTTCTCATCTGCCCCATGAGAGCTCTATTGCTTGACAGGAGAGACTGGAGCCAATGGTTGTAAAGGAAATAGAGTCACAAGAAATTCAGGATGGAATTGGGGTTTGGACAGTTATGATGATGTTACAGAGGAAGACGACTTAACTATATTTGAATAAATTTAGATTGTTGTACCATACTTAGAATCACACATCCCCTGAAAATAAGCCCTAGGGTGTCTTCTTGAGGAAAAATAAATATAAGACCCTGTCTTATTTTTTGGGAAACATGGTACCAATGTTACCTGCTTCTCTGACTTGAGAGTACTAAATGAGTTAACGTCTCCAAATCATTTAGGACAGGTATGGGAACATAGAAACCTCTCAACAGTTTGCTGATATTAATGTCTGCGCTTTTGACTGTCCTTGCTCTTTGCTCCTCCTAGGAAGGCAGTCCCGACCTCACTCCGGTCCTCTGACCTGGGTGGCAGTGTCTTCATTGCCCCTTCTCCATTAGAATCTGCCTAGGCAGACATATTTCATCTCAGTTGTTGTGTTTGTCCACCGTCACCAACTCATCCAGGTGAGTTAGACATGAACTTCTCTTGTCTCCACTTCAGCCCTTGGCCCTGTGCTTCAAACCTGCAGTGTTGTAGGAATGGACATGTTGCACTCGGCCTGGTTAAGTTGTTGCAATCACAGGAGGGAAAGAGAACCAGGGTTGGAAGGAAGAGGTTTATGTGCTCACAGGTGCAGATACAGGGGATCACCAAAAGCTATGCAAGTCCAGAGGGGAAAGTCCAGTTTTTGGTCAGGCTGTAGAAGTCAGGAGCCAGGGGACATCCCAAGCCAGGGCTTTTGGGGGTGTTTTTGAAGGACAGGTATGCAGGGCAGAGGAAATGGGTGGGCAATGGCCATTTAGTATTATTCCAGTGGCCTCGGGTTATAAGGATGGTTTCCAGTTTCCGATAGCTGGCCATGGCTAATCTTGTGAGCAATGTACTTATAGTCTCAGTGGTAACATGGAAGTTACAATTGCACCTGCTTCGCTGTTTCATTTTGAACAGTTTTATTAAGGAGTTAGTGTTTACTAACGAGTTAACATTTCCAAATCATTTAGGACAGATATGGTAACACAGAAACCTCTCAATAGTTAAGTGGTAGTAGTGTCTCCTCTTACTACCATCCTTTCTCTGCTCCTCCTAGGAAGGCAGGCCTGATCTCACTTGGATCCTCTGACCCAGGTGGCAGTGTCTTCATTGCCCCTTCTCCATTAGAATCTGCCGCTGCAGATCCTATCTTCTGAGTTGTTGTGTTTTTCCACCATCACCACTAACTGAGGTGAGTTGTAGCTGAGTTTCTGTTGTCTCCACTTCTTTCCTTGCCCTTGTGCTTGAAACGTGCAGTGTTCTAGGAATGGACATGTTACACTTCCCCTGGTTAAGTAGTTGCAGCCAAGTGGGAGAAAGAGAACCAGGGTTGGAATAAAGAGGTTTATGTGCTCACAGGTGCAAAAGAGGAGGACACAAAAACCCATGCAGGTCCAGAGAGGAAGCTCCAGATTTTAGTCAAGAAGCAGAAGTCACGAGCTAGGGCACAGCCTGAGTGAGCCAGGGCCTTTAGTGGGGTTTCTGAGAGACAGGAAGCAGGGCAAAGGAAATGGCTTGTCATTGGCCAACTGGAATGATTCCAGTGGTCTTTGGCTTGTAGGAGAGGTCTGGAGTTGCAGGTACCTAGCCATGGCTGATCTAGTGAGCAATGTACTTAAAGTCTCATGGGTAAGATGCAAGTAACAATTGTACCTGCTTCACTGTCTTCTTGTCTTCTTGTTTTGTTAAATGAGTTAACATATCAAAATCATTTAGGACAGGTATGGGGACTTAGGCACCTCTCAAGGCTTAGGTGATATTGTCTGCTATTTTGATCATTGTTCTGCTTTACTCCTCCTAGGAAGGCAGGCTCGACCTCGCTCGGGTCCTGTGACCCAGGTGGCAGTGTCTTCATTGCGCCTTTTCCATTAGAATCTGCCTAGGCAGACATATTTCACCTGAGTTGTTGTGTTTGTCCACCATCACCAACCTATCAAGGTGAGTTAGACATGAGCTTCCCTTGTCTCTTCTTTTGACCTTGTCCATGTCCTTGAAACCTGCAGTGTTCTAGGCATGCACATGTTGCACGTGGCCTGATTAAGTTGTTTCAGCCACAGGAAGGGTCGAGAACCAGGTTTGGAAGAAAGATGTTTATGTGCGCACAGGTGCAGATATAGTGGATCACCAAATGCCACACAAGGAAATAGGGGAAGCTCCAGATTGTGGTGAGGCTGCAGAAGTCAGGAGCCAGGGGACATCCTGAGCCAGGGCCTTTGGTGGGGTTTCTGAAGGACAGGCAAGCAGGGCCGAAGAAATACCTCAGAATTGGCAGATTGTAAATATGCTGGTGGCCTTTGGGTTATAGCAGTTGGTCTCCAGTTGCTGCTACCTGGCCATGGCTAATCTAGTGAGCAATGTACTTAATGTCTCAAGGGTAAGATGCAACTAACAATTGTACCTGCTTCACTGTCTTGTTGTGAATAGTAAACAAGTTCAGATATCAAAATGATTTAGACAGGTATGGGGACGTAGCAACCTCTCAATGCTTATTTGGTATTAATTTGTGCTCTTTTGACCATCTTTGCTCTTTGCTTCTCCTAGGAAGGCAGGCCCGACCTCACTCTGGTCCTCTGACCCGGGTGGCAGTGTCTTCATTGCCCCTTCTCCATTAGAATCTGCCTCTGTAGATTATATCTTTTGAGTTTTTGTGTTTGCCCACCATCATCAACCTATCGAGGTAAGTTAGACATGAGCTTTTGCTGTCTCCACTTCTGTCCTTGCCCCTGTGCTTGAAACCTGCAGTGTTCTAGGAATGGACATGTTGTACTCGGCCTGCTTAAGTTGTTGTAGCCACAGGAGGGAAAGAGAACTAGGGTTGGAAGAAAGAGGTTTATGTGGTCACAGGTACAGATACAGGGGTCACTAAAAGCCACACAGGTCCAGAAGGGAAGGTCCAGTTTTTGATCAGGTAGTAGAGGTCAGGAGCCAGGGGACATCCAGAGCCAGGGCCTTTGGGGGCATTTCTGAGGGACAGGTAAGCAGGGCAGAGGAAATTGGTGGGCAATGGCCATTTAGTAATTCCAGTGGCCTTGGGTTATAGGGATGGTGTCCAGTTGCCAATAGCTGGCCATGGCTAATCTTGTGAGCAATGTACTTAAAGTCTTATCGGTAAGATGCAAGTAATGATTGGACCTATTTCACTGTCTTGTTGTTGTGAACAGTAAACGAGTTAACATTTCCAAATCATTTAGGACAGATATGGGTACATGGAAACCTTTCAACAGTTAGCTGGTATTAATGTCTGCTTTTTTGACCATCCTTCCTCTTTTCTCTTCCTAGGAAGGCAAGCCTGACCTCACTCGGGTCCTCTGACCCAGGTGGCAGTGTCTTCATTGCCCCTTCTCCATTAGAATCTGCCTACGCAGATTATTTCATCTGAGTTGTTGTGTTTTTCCACCATTACCAACTAATTGAGGTGAGTTAGACTTGAGCTTCCCTTTTCTCCTCTTATGTCCTTGCCCCTGTGCTTGAAACCTGCAGTGTTCTAGGAATGCACATGTTGCACTCAGCCTGGTCAAGTACTTGCAGCCACAGGAGGGGAGGAGAACCAAGGTTAGAAGAAAGACGTTCATGCCTTCACAGGAGTAGACAGAGGGGTCACCAAATGCCTCACAGAGCCTCAGGGAAGCCCTAGATTTTGGTCAGGTGGTAGAAATCAGGAGTCAGGGGACAGCCTCAGCCAGGGCCTCTGGTGGGGTTTCTGAAGGACAGCCAAGCAGGGTAGAGGAAATGGGGGGGGGGGATTGACCAATTTTTATAATTCTGTTGGCCACTGGCTTTTAGGCTTAGTCTGTAGTTGCATGTACATGGCCATGGCTTATCTAGGGCTGGTTAAATTGTTGCTTGTATAAGAGTTCGAGAAGGAAGTATTTGTGGGTTTACACTGTGTATTCATTGGTTTGTATATGAAAGACATGCTTTTGGGTGAGCCCTGTGGTAACATGAAGCATTGACTATCCCTGGGAAGGGGAGTGTCTCCCTGGCCAGTAAGCTTAGTAACATGTCAGTACATCATATGATACAAAGCAATTAAAAAAAAAAGTGATCAATACATGCAGATTCTGTTCCTTCTGCCCCAAACGTTCCCCTGCCCCAGCCTCTCCTTTCCCTGAGTTTTGGTTTCTTATCCCTCAAGTCTGTATTAAAATGTGACTTGTTGGAAGGACACCCAACTACCTTCCAGTACTAGTGTCCCTGCGCTGCCATAGCAAAGGATCATTCACTGCGTGGCTGATACAGTAATGAATTGTCTCACAGCTCTGAAGGCCAGAACACCAAGATGAGAGGGTTGGGTTTCTTCTTAGGGCCATTAAGGGAGTCTGCTCCAGGCCTCTCCCCTAGCTTCTCGTCACTGCTGACAATCTATGGTGTCCTGTTGCTTGAGGATGTATCACCCTGACCTCTGCCTTCATCTTCACATGGTGTTTTCCCGTGTGTGTGTTTGTGTGTATGTCCAAATTTCTCTTTTTTGACAGGAACACCAGTCACTGGATTAGGATCCTTTAACCTGATCAGCTTGTATAAGCCCTGTCTCCACCTAAGGTTCTATTCTGAGGTCCTGAAGGTTAGCACACCATCATATCTCTCTTTGTAGACACAATTCAACCCACAATATTCCCCTTACCCCTTCCCCACTTCCTCACCTTACTGTGTCAGTGCCTCCCTATCAAAATCCTGAGCTGCTTGTAGTGGCACATGCCAGTAGTCCCAGCTACTCGGGAGGCTGAGGTGGGAGGATCACTTGAGCTCAGGAGTTCGAGGCTGCAGTGAACCCTGATCTCATCACTGTACTCCAGCCTGGTTGACAGAGTGAGACCCCATATCTACAAAAAAAGAAAGGAAAAAAAAAGAAAAAGAAAGGATGTATATTAATATATATAAAAATAATGCTAATCTTTAGTGGAAGGATCTCTAAATAATTTCTCTAATGTAAGTTATTAAATATAATAGATACTCAAGATATCACTCTGAAAGTGTTTTGGGGTTTCTCATGATATATGTATAGTTGTCTAGCTTGCTTTTTATGACTTGATAATATGCCTTACAAAACTTTCACCTTTAGTAGATATATAATTATTTTCTCTTTAATTGATGTTTAGCATTCTTTAGACCTTCACTATCCCAAATGGTACCCACCTACCAATTGTGGCTATTGAGCATCTGAGATGTAGTTGGTGCCATGTGTTTAAATGATTATATTTTTGGTGTTTTGGATTAAATGAAATATATTATTAAGATTAATCTCACTGTCAATTTTTTTTTTTTTTTTTTTCGACAAGAGTCTCACTTTGTTGTCCAGGCTAGAGTGAGTGCCGTGGCGTCAGCCTAGCTCACAGCAACCTCAAACTCCTGGGCTTGAGTGATCCTTCTGCCTCAGCCTCCCGAGTAGCTGGGACTACAGGCATGCGCCACCATGCCTGGCTAATTTTTTACATATATATCAGTTGGCCAATTAATTTCTTTCTATTTATAGTAGAGATGGGGTCTCGCTCTTGCTCAGGCTGGTTTTGAACTCCTGACCTTGAGCAATCCGCCCGCCTCGGCCTCCCAAGAGCTAGGATTACAGGCGTGAGCCACAGCGCCCGGCCTCACTGTCAATTTTTTAAATCACATAAGTAGCTCACATTGTATTTCTATTGGATGTCAAAGTTATAGAATGCTTATTCAGGGCCATGAGAATCAGCTGGGGACCGGAAAAAGTCAGAGATCCTAGAAAGAGTGGATTTGAATTGTTTGCAATGTTATTTGCCCTAGCTCCCCTTTCCTGATGTCCAGAATTTTGTAATTATTTTTTTTTTTTTTTTTTTTGAGACAGAGTCTCACTTTTTGTTGCCCAGGCTAGAGTGAGTGCCGTGGCGTCAGCCTAGCTCACAGCAACCTCAAACTCCTGGGCTCAAGCAATCCTTCTGCCTCAGCCTCCCGAGTAGCTGGGACTACAGGCATGCGCCACCATGCCCGGCTAATTTTTTGTATATATACTTTTAGTTGGCCAATTAATTTCTTTCTATTTTTAGTAGAGACGGGGTCTCGCTCAGGCTAGTTTCGAACTCCCAACCTTGAGCAATCCGCCCGCCTCGGCCTCCCAGAGTGCTAGGATTACAGGCGTGAGCCACCGCGCCCGGCCTCAGAATTTTGTAATTTTTAACAGCTTTCTCCATTCACCTCATTGGACCTGTATATATTTCATAGTTTATTTAGCCATTCCTCCCTTTAAGGTATTTCTAAATGTTCAATATTATTAAACAATGCTACAGTGAACATACTCTAATCAGAATAACTTAAAGATCCACTAATACAGTAACCACAACTGGACATTTAAAGTATTATTATTATTTTCTTTTAGAGATGGGGGTCTCACTATGTTGCCCAGGCTGTTCTTGAGTTTCCGGCCTTAGGTTATCCTCCTTCCTTATCCTCTGAAAGTGATGGGATTACAGGATGAGACACTGAGCTTGGCCTAAATTAGTTTTAATTAAATAAAATTAAAAATCCAGTTTCCCAAGCACAGGAAGCCACATTTCAAGTGCTCAATAGCTGTACATGCCTGTGGCTACTCTGTTAGAGAGCACAGGTCTGCATCATTGTTGCTAAAGTTCTACTGGACAGTGCTGGCTTACAGCTTTAAGAGCATGGATTTTGGCTGGGCATGGTGGCTCATGCCTGTAATCCTAGCACTCTGGGAGGCCAAGGCAGAAGAATCACTCAAGGTCAGGAGTTTGAAACCAGCCTGAGCAAGAGCGAGACCCCGTCTCCACTAAAAATAGAAAGAAATTAATTGGCCAACTAAAAATATACAGAAAAAAAAATTAGCCAGGCATGGTAGCACATGCCTGTAGTCCCAGCTACTCAGGAGGCTGAAGCAGAAGGATTGCTTGAGCCCAGGAGTTTGAGGTTGCTGTGAGCTAGGCTGATGCCATGGCACTCACTGTAGCCTGGGCAACAAAGTGAGACTCTGTCTCAAAGAAAAAAAAAAAAAAAAGGTAAAGAACATGGATTTGCCACTGACTGGCTTGTGTGGTCTTGAACAAGCTACTTACCCCCACCCCTGGCCTCAGTTAATTCATCTCTGAAATGGAAATGCTTATAATATCAACCTCACGTGGTTAGTTGCAAGAATTAAATGAGTTTACCTGTTTCAATTTTTACAAATAATGCCTGGGATATAACCTCTATATAACTGTTAATTTTTAATATTATCCTTTGTCAGCTCTCTCGGTTCCCACTTTGCTCCTGGGATACTTGAGTCCATCTGTCATACACTGATCGTCATTCTGTAGATCAGAGAAACAAACGCTGAATCTGGTGGTAGACGCTCTTCCTTTGGCATCCTTTAATTTGTTCAGCTCTGTTTGAGAAGTTGTTCCAAATAAAGTTGTGTCAATTGTTTCCTTCTGGCTGGTGTGTAATCCTAGGACTCTGGGAGACCGAGGCAGGAGGATCCCTTGAGGTTTGGAGTTTGAGACCAGCCTGAGCAAGAGTGAGACCCTATCTGTACTAAAAAAATAATGTTTCCTTCTAATAGTTGTTAAGGTGTATTAAACACTAAGTGTCCTTTCATCTCTTGATTTTCTCTACTCATCTATCTGAGTCTCTCCTCTCCAAGCAGTCCCAGTCCCCAGTTCATGGAGCTCGTTGCATGCAACTCAATCCTCAGGGTTTAATCTCAAAGTTCCTTCTTTCAGGGAAACCCACTATGAACCCCGCTCCCAAGTAATTATACTTCCCCCCACCATTATGTTATTTTCGCCCTCTCTTCCCCCCAGTATATTGTCATTAATTATATAACTGTTCTATATAAATATCCTGAAAGTTCACTGATGGCAGAGTCTCTTTGGGACTAACACATGTCTCTCCCTGACTTCTGGAGTAGATGCTAGGTGGATATTTGCTGATTGAATGCAAGTGTGAACTGTTTCAAGAGAAAGGAGCTATACATAGCTACATGTTAAAAGAATTAATAAATAGCCTTATTGCCCAAATGGACATTCAGAACATTTTAGTAAGTGCTACAAGGAGTCCTTTTAGGACTGACTGCATTGCATTTGTAAATTAATTTTAATCTTCATACTGTAAGCATTTTATTAAGTTCTAGAATCCCTTTGGGATCAATTACCTTATACTTTAAATCTTTACAAACTGAAGTAGAATTCTTCATTGTGAAAGTATTTTTTTAGTTCTCTTGGCTGTGAGTTTTAGGACCTGCATGTCAAGTTTATTATTTATCCCTTAGTATTTTGAGCTCTTGTGATTAAGACTATTTTTGTAATTTTTCTGATTAGATACTGCTAGTATATAGATTTCAGTTAAATTTTTTATTGTGGTAAAATTATATGGCTTATTATTTTAAGTGTATGATTCAGTGGCTTTAAGTACATTTACATTCAATTGACTATATATATATACACACACACACATATATATATATGTTAGTTGGCCAATTAATTTCTTTCTATTTATAGTAGAGACAGGTCTCACTCTTGCTCAGGCTGGTTTTGAACTCCTGACCTCAAGCAATCTGTCCGCCTCGGCCTCCCAGAGTGCTAGGTTTACAGGCATGAGCCACCGTGCCCGGCCTCAATTGACTTTTTAATATTCACCTTTCAACAGCCACTTTCCTGAAAAAATTAAATAAAATAAAAAATCTAGTTCCTTAGGCATACCAAGCCACATTTCAAGTGTTCAATAAGTGGGTCTCATGTATTTTCTCTTTTTCACAGATAGACATATAATATGCGAATGAAGATAAGTTTGTCTCCACTGTGATAGAAATACCTTGTATCAATGGTGGTGGTGGAGACAAACTTCTAGGACCATGTTTGATTCTCAAGGATAGCATGCATTCTTGTTCATGAATTACACAGGAATGGATTTCTTTTATTTAAATCTAGGAAGTGATATGTTTCCGTATAAGCTCAATTAACCAGTTAGATATATACATCTTAGAGTTTCATACCTATTTCTCCTTTCCTTTGAAACCCCAAGTCTTCTGAATCAGACTGCCCACTGAACCTTCCTATTATCAACTATATTATCAGTCCTCATTTTTGCACATTTCATAACATCCAAGGGCAACAGAGTTCTAAGAAAGGGACAGGTTTTATTTGCTTCCAGTTGGCATTTGCTCTTAAAATGCTGGCATCATTTTTCTATCTGTTATTTGTCCAGGAAATAATTCTACTTAATCCTCAAGGACCCATTTCAAGTGTTGCCTCCTTTGTAAAACTTTTCTTAAATGGCATCCACTTCTGGGTTAAATCTACCTGCTAAGTATTACCTTCCTCATTTGAGGCATTGTGACAATGGAGTAACTGATTATGCATACCTCTGGATTCCAAATGAAATAGTCTCTGGAAAGTAGGCACAGCATCTCCAATGACCCATTCTGAGTTCTAAATTAATATTTTGTCACTCCATGAAAGGAGTGACTTCGGATATGTCATCTAAAAACAAGCTAGATCTAAGATTGGACCAGCTACAGTATCAGATTTCCTTCACAGGAGACACTAGTCCTCTGAAGATCAAATACATTCCTTCTTGAAAACTTTTGGACTTTAATGCCTTATGTTGGTTTGGGGGGAAGGGGTGTTAATCTACTAGGGTTAAATTGGCTTTGACATAATAAACCAGACTTTTGTTTCATAAGAGTCTGAAGCAAGACTCAGAGAACTCAAGTAATAAATAAAAGCTGGAGCTGGAATTTACAGTTTGTTTGTTTCCAAACAGTGCCCTCTGATAACTGAGTCTCTGCGTGGGCTGCCACTGCTGGGACACGTGTATTGACAGCGTATCTGAGCACTCTAACAATAAAAGGAAGGTAAGGCATTCGTTCTCTCTCTCTTTCCTCTTCCTCCTTTCCTTCTCTTTCTCTCTCTCCCCCTTCCTCCCTCCCCTCCTTCTTTCCTTTTCTTTTTTGTGGCAAAATATGGTAAGTACTTCTTTTGAATATATTTTGTGACTAATATATACTTTTTGGTGTTTATATTATTTCTTCTTTGTTTGTTCATAGTGATTATGAGCAAAATCTATAAGAGGTAAAGGGCCTGGTTCATGTTTGCTCTGAGGGGCTCAGAACAAGGATTAACTCACAGATTCTAGATACTATTCCATTCTGTTGTGGGTGTAGAACTCCAAGGGATGGAGTGTGTAGTGGTGGAATTAAGCTGGTACCAGATGAGTCCTCGATGATTCAGTTTGCAGTAGTTCATTGTCATCATCCACGATCCATCCAGTTTTTGCAGGGGCCAGACTGGTTAATTAAATGGGCATGTGACAGAGACAACTAGCCTTATGTCCTCCACACTATTCTCTGCCACCCCCACCCCCACAGAGTTACTCTCTTGGCCAGAGAGTGCAATTTCAGGGGCTTCCACTTGGATTTCTCTGCTATGATAGTTCTCAGTCTCCAAGTCAAGAAACTGACTATTAAGTATGACCATTTGAATACTACATTTGGGAACCAAGGAAGGGACCCAGTGAGGGACATGGGTCAGGATCCAATGTTACCTGACCCCCTAGCAATAAGCCCTGAGGTTGTAGTAGGTCCCTACCTGTCTGCATTAACTTGGGCCTGTAACCAAAAGCCTGGAAATATCTGGGTAGTCTCCTTTTCCAGTGCACAATTATCAACTAAATTAAATGGTCAGCGGTCTCTTTGGAAGATCACTATTATGTACATTTGCCATGGATCTGCCTTCTCCTTTACTGGATGGGTGTTTTGGATGTGAGAACTGGCTCTAGTGGGGGAAACTGGGCAGGTGGTTGTGTTTTTCTACTGGGACCTCAGTCTTCTGCACCACTAGATTATATATATATATATATATATAGACATACATTCTTTGATTATGTATGTTGTGCTTTTCTTGACTGCCCATCTATCCTGCCCCAAGTACTATTAGCCATCTCCATGGAGCCATGCAAGTCAGGGGCCCCTCTCTGCCACTCTGACTTGCTTCTGGTAGGTAACTGCTGCCACCCAACCTGTCACTCCAGGATCCTATCATCTCCTTTGCTACTGGAGAGCCAGGTTCTATAACAGTATCCCATTCTTTGCCCTGGCCTACAGATGACAACCACCAGTGGGTGTCACCTTCCCAGCAAAGCTAGTGTTGCCCCCATTTCTTATGGTCTCAGCAAAGTGTCTTCCATGCCTTGTCATGAAATGTAGCAGCTGGCAGCATGCGTTTAAGCATGTCCACTTCCCTGAGCATGCTGCTGCCTTCCTTCACCATCCACCATGCAAGCCATGTCATCACAACTTCATTTCATGTAGGTTACTCCTTTGCCAAGTACCATTCTTACTGAGTATCAGAATCAGCTCACCTGCACCCCTGATGAAGTGTTAGATCTATATTCTGGGACAGTGCCCCAAGTCTATAAACTCTCCCCTGCCTCCATCCCCTTAATCTGCTCCACTCAGGATCCATTTCCAGGCTTATTTTCAGTTCCTGCTGGCATATATTAGCTTGGTCCTGCAGCTCCTTCAATTAATAATTCCACCCCTCCCTTAGCACGGCTAATATTTTCCCAGTCAGGCCATACTGGGACCTGACTTTAGTGATTAGTCTGGTGGCCAGCAGAAGATGGGAGAAGAGAGAATGCATTGTCTTGCAAGGGACCTGCCTCATTTGTGGTGTCTGCATAGTCTTCAGGTCGGTGGCACCATCCTCTAACAAGTGGGAGTGGGCCACTTCTGCAGGGTTTGGTGGAGCCTGAAGTTCTACTGATGTTAGATTTTCATCCCTAATCTCGGGGTCTCACTTCTTGTCAAGAGTCTAGACTTTGGTGTTAGAGACTGGCTCTGAGAATCCAACCTTTTCTAAAAGTCTCTCCACTTTTACGTCTTGAGCCTGTTCTTTAGGACTGTCTGCTCTCCAACTACAGATGACAAGAACAAGTTGCTAAGCAGGATTCTCTGGCTTTCATGATTTGCTTTATGTTGGTGACTGATTGCCCTGAGCCCACCACTTTCCCCCTTTAAAGCATCTGTGGCTACCCAATTTTACAGTTCTAATTACTACTTCCCCTGCATCCTCAAACACCAGAGAGTTTGAATTAGCCAACACATCCCCTTCTACCCTAGTCCCCTGAGAGGGGGGAGCTTGACACGACTGCCCAGCTGTCACTGTCCCACCTGTTCCCTGGAATCCTATCTTTATACTCTGCTTCTTAGGACCATTCCTGGTACCCACTATCTTAAATCAGGCTACCTAGAAGTGGGGCTTGAGAGAGAATTCAGGTGTGTTCGATGTATTGAGTACTCCTGAGAGGAAGGTAATGAGAGAACAGCAACAGGAGGTAAGCAAGGATATAGTCTTGGTGGGAGAAGAGGCTCCCCTTCAGCCAAGAATAGTGCTTAGGAGAAGGGGCAGCTGTGAGTTACCATATTAGCAGCTAACATTGATAGCGGCTGGGAGGGGATGGGTAGAATATTAACAGTGCCCACTGCAGGCTCCCTGTCTGGAGGTCCTCAGAAATTCTCATTCATCCCTGTTTGACACCTATTGCTCTGTGATCACCCAGGCTAGGGGGTGGGACACTTGGAATCAGCTGGCCTTTAGCCAACTAAAGATAGTTTTGGTAACGGAGGCAAGCTGAGTAATTTCTGTAGGTCACACAGCCTGTAAGAACAAAGGCAAAGTGAAATCTCCAAATAGCATTCACTTTGGATTAAGCTCTGGTCTGGAGTAAAACAATTTTGTGGGTCTAGTCTGCTTACTTTCTCAGCCAAAGACCCAGCTGTTTGAAGGCAGGGACTTATCAGTATTCTTTGTAACTTCTCCATTTATGTTGTCAGTTTGCTAGAGTAAGTGGCACTGAAAATCTAGAGGAAAGACCTCTATGTTTGCTTTGATGGCATGGAGGAAGGTGGAGCGGGGAAGCACAATTCCCCTTCCCAGGGCCTGTTCTGAGAATTCCAAGGGATGATTTTTTAAAAAGTTCCTTTTCCTACCTAAGTTGCTCAGGTATTCTACAGAGATTTAAGGGGCTGACTGAAGAGGCAGTTTGTCAGGTGTGAAATGGAAAACAAAATTAGGAGCCAAATTCCTAATGTGATTTCCAAGAGAAGCATTTTGGAATACCACAAAGCTCAGATGAATATTGAAGATTTGGCTCTTCACTTCCTTTTCATTCTAATTTAATCACTTGAAAGTCATTTGGAAAAGGCAAGCAAATAGTGAGTCCATCCCTATAGCTGTTTTGTTCTTGCAAATCTCTTAGCTGTGTTGAAAGGGCTGTGAAGGTGAAATTCCATATCCATTCATCAGGAAGAAAGTTGCAGTGTTAATCCTGTAAGTGGGCACTGAATTTTGGAGGTTTGAAATTCACTTTTCCCCTGTTGTTTTCTCAGAGTACTTCAGCATTCTGCTCCAAACATACAACTGAGATATATATTATCTATATATAATCACTTGAGTAATTTCTTTCCATAATAGCAAAATAAGTGCTATCATAAAAGATATGTGCAGCTGGGCATGGTGTCCTGTGCCTGTAGTAACAGCTACTTGGGAGGCTGAGGCAGGAAGATCCCTTGAGCTCAAGAGTTTGAGGCCAGCATGGGCAACATAGCTATAGACACCCCCCCCAAGATATATGCACCCCATAAGAGGAGTAATATGATTCTGATGGGGGAATCACGGAAGACTGCGTGGAAGAGAAGGCATGGATAGGCTTTCTTCAAGCACATAGGCGTGGGGTAGGGCAGGGTGCTAGAGTTTGTAAGAAAGTCTGTTGGTTAGAACACACAAAAGAGGAAAGGGAACTTGGTGCTTTCAATGCCAGGCTAAGGAGTTTAGACTTTTCTGCGGGCCAAGGAAGGCTCTGAAGAGGGAAGAGTCACACGATCTGATCTGTGTTTTTGAAAGATCACCCAGGCCACAGTACAGGGTGGAAAAGTTGTGCGCATCAGAGATGAGACTGTTGGAATGGACTTGGTGAGTGAAGAAAGGTTAACTCAGGAGGATCAGCACCACAGCCTCTGGGTAGGTCAGGTGGACCTGACTTGGTGTAAGGGGTTAGCTCTGGCAGGGAGAGAGGGAGAGAGGAAGGCTCTGGTCAGTGCAGGAGAGTGCCCCGTCCTTAAACAAAGCAGGGAGGAGCAGGGTCACGGTGGAGGCAGATGCGACGACGAATTAGTTCTAGGTTAGGCCTCGAGGTGGTTACATCCAATACGGGATTGGACGTACGGAGCTGGCACTCAGAGCAAGAGCTGATCCAGTTGCTCCCAGAAGTCTGCAGAATGCTGGGATTTGAGATAAAATCTTGACGGGGTAAAGAGGTCTACCCCTTTCCGGAGCCAGGTTTAAAAATGTCCCCTTCTTGTAACAGCGTGTGAGTCTACGGACATGCCGGGGTACTTAAAGGCTGCATCTGCTAGGCCGAGGGACGCGAGCCGTAGTCGCAAAGTGGGAGGCGCACAAAGAAGAGGTTTGCACGGAGCCAAGTCCGTTTGGGGGCCTCGGGGGTTCTAGTCCCTCAGCTGCAGGCGCCCTGGGCCTAGAAGTGCGTGCGGGCCCAGAGTCAGCTAGTCGATGCGCGCCGAGCCACTCTGCTCGCGGAACGGCCAGCGGAAGGAGTCCTGCCCCCGGTCGGCGCCGCGCGCCAGCTGGCCAATCAGCGCGCTCCCTGCGCAGGCCGGCCGGCGCTCTGGTGACGCGCAAGGCCGGCCCTCGACCGCAGCCCGTTGGCTACGGCCCCTCCCGCGCTCGCCCGGCCCGTTAGCTGCGCGCCGCGCCTCTTGAGCGACGGCCCCTGGGCGGCGGCGCGTGCGGGCGCGGCCTTGGCGCGCCCCCTGGCGGCCCGGCGGGGCGCTGCGGGCGCGGCGCTGACCCGGAGGCGGCGGCGGCGGTGCCCGGATGGAGGCACGTCATTGTCCCCCGCCGGGCGGCTGGGCTGTGTGCGGCGGCAGCGGCGGCCGAGGGGGATGGAGCGAGCGCCGAGCCGGGTCAGGTAAGCTCCCGCCTCCTTCCCGCCTGCCGCAGGCTGGCGTGGGGCTCGCGGAGCGCCCCGCTCGCCTCGGCCACAGCTGGCCCGGGCGACCCTCAGCCGGCGCGGCCCGCGGGGGGCTGGCGCGGCCCCTCGCGCGCCGCCCCCTCCGCAGCCGCGGGCCGCCCAGGACCCCGCCGAGCCGGGGGCAGCGCCGCCACCGCCCGGCCAGGCCAGGCCGCTGGGGAGGGGGCGGCGGCCGCGGCGGTCGGGCGCCTGGAGCACCGGGCGGCGCGGAGAGGCCGGGCCCCCCGGTTGCCATGGACACTGCTCTCCCACCCCCACCCGGCCCCAGCCCGCCCCCTCGGCCCGTGGGCCGGGCGGGCTGGCGAGAGGCTCTAGGGCGGCCTGGCCACCTCGGGTCGGCCGGGTGGGCGTGTGCTGGCCGCGGACCGTGGAGCCCGGCCCGCCCGCCGCCCCCCGCGTGGCTGCCACCTCCCGCCCCCGAACGCCCCTCGGAGCCCTGGGCTTGCTCCCCACCCCCACTCCATCCCTAACAGAGAGACAAACTTTCCCACCCCAGGCGCCCCCTCCCCGGCCCGCCCTCGCGGGGCCCAACACCTGGCTCCTCCGCCGAGTGTCCGAGTTGCCCACGCCGGCAGCCCGGGCGGAGCGGCACCCCGAGGGGAGGCTGCGGCGGGCGCGGAGAGAGGAGGAGCCGGGTGGCGCGTCCCCAAAAAGCATGTGTGCCTCCGTCACGTTCTTTATCTTCGGGGCAGGAAAAGCCAACTTACCTGGAAGGCGGGGGGGATCAGTTTCAGATGTTTGAAATGAACATTTGACGGGACAAGTTTTACAATCTAGGACTTTAACCTGTCTGTAATGAATGCAGTTGAGATTACTTTTGTTGAATAGCTGTTATATTCACGGAGGCCTTAGGGCTTGCTTGTTTATGGGAAAACATGTTGGTTATTTAAAGTAAATACACTCAAATAGTAAAACTGTTTGAAAAACTGTTCAGTTAACGTGTCTTTTTCAAGATAACAACAGTATTACAGATTCTCATACATTTTTTTTGTAGTCTAAACATTTTTCAAAGAGTTGTAGGTTTTAAACATAATTCTCTTTTTACTGCATTACTCATTCAATGTGCCTATGGGGTATGAATACTCATCTATGGGGTATGAATACTCAGTTTCATTTATTTGTTTTTAATTAGGGTCAGTTTCACTTTCTTTCTATATCATTGATTCAAGTCTACAGTGAGTCTTTGGTTTGTAAAGTTTAAGGCTAGTTGTTTTGTTTACTTAAGTATCAGTACAATCAAGGTTGTGTCTTTTTAAAGCTTGTGTGTTTTTCTCTTAAGATGGAAATGCTACAAGAACGTGGATTACATTGTTTATGAAGAAACAGAGTGTAACAGTTTCTTTTAAATGTGTTGATAGTATTGCCTCAGTGTATGTGGAGTGGCACAATGTTTAGATGGTAATGTTGTTTTAAAAATGAAAAACGAGTAATGCATTCTAGCATTTGATCATGACAAGGGGGACATGCCACATAGAGGACTGGGAATTTTAAGGCTTTGGGGTAAAAGATTGTAGTACTACTCAAAGCAAAGGAAACACTTGTGAAGTCTCATTCCTCCACATACATCCGACCTTGATTCATGTTTGTGTTGTTACTTTTTATTATTATTATTTTTATTTGGTAGAAAAAGGGGGCTCTCTGTGTTGCCCAGGCTGGATTTGAACTCGTGGGCTCAAGTGATCTTCCTGAGTAGCAGGGACTGCAAACACACCTCATTGTAACTGTTGTTGTTCTTTTAAAACATGCTCTTGAAACTTTGTGTATAGCATCAGATGATGAGAGAAATTTGAACTTTTCATTGAAATAGTTGCTTAAAAGTCCTGATATTTATTACAGTAATATTTAGAAGCTTTACTGAGAGTAAAGAACATATAAGCATATGAATCCTAAGTCGTACACAACATTGACTTCAAGAATAGTTATGTCTGTAGCAAATGGAGTTGAGTTTTTGATACCTGATGGCTGAATATACAAATGATGAATGGATGGTTTGGGTTCGTCTTTCCAAAATTATAATGCTGTACGTTTACTGATGATGTGAGTTGTGTTTTCCTTAAATTTTTTTCATTTAAGAGTTTGTTTTCCCTTCAAAGAGGTAATTGGAGCAAGTAAAATGGTTTTATTTGGCCATTTGTTAATGATTGTCCTGACGGGATGTTTATCCTGGGATAATCAAGGTTTCTGATATTTAATATTATTGTAAATAAGGCTGGATTAACCTTTTATTACTCTCTTTTGGCTTTCTACTTCCTCCTCCTCTTCCTCCTCTTCTTTTGTTTTCTTTCCTTTGTCCCACCCACACTGTTTCATAATTTCTTTTGACTATTAGATGAGGAAAGTGTAAACTTTATTTGGATGATACAGTTTACGCTTTCTTCCTGGATGAGGATCAAATATCTTTAATTGATTTAAAATGTCATTTCATTTTTTTTGTTAGTTTAGTAAGATCTCACATCTTTTCTATTTCTATGTAAGAATCAAAAAACTTTAAAGTTGTACTTTTTTGGTTGGTAATCTTAAATTAAAAATTAGTGGCCAGGTGCAGTGGCTCACACCTGTAATCCTAGCACTCTAGGAGGCCAAGGCGGGAGGATCCGTTGAGCTCAGGAGTTCCAGACCAGCCTGAGCAAGAGCAAGAGGGAAATATTAGCTGGGTGTCGTCGTGCAAGCCGTGGTCCCAGCTACTCAGGAGGCTGAGGCAGGAGGCTCTCTTGAGCCCAGGAATTTGAGGTTGCAGTGAGCTATGATCATGCCACTGCAGTTTACCTGGGGTGACCAAGTGAAACTCTGTAACAAAAAAAAAATTATAATAAAATTGAGGCTTTTAAAATAACAAACTTATTGTGAGCAGTCAGTGCATGATAATGTTTGTTCAAGTGGCAGCTACATGGGTATTTCATTATACATGCTTCACAGTATGGATAATACTTTTTTGTACTTTACAGTATATTAAATATTTCTTAAAGCAAATTTTAAAGGCTGTTCAGAGTTTTTTAAGGATTAAATGAGATACTGTATATAAATCACTTAGCACAAGCTGGTGCTAAAAGCAAATGCTAATTGCTTCCTGTTTCCAGAATTTGTTCATTCATTTGTTTAACACATGTATGGGAAGCTTTCTCTGTACCAGGTCAGGGGATATAAATAATAACATGATAGAGCAACAAGTAAAACAGATGTGGCGTAAATGCTGATGGGCTACTATAGACGTCAGCACAAGGGTGCTGTGGGAGATTTTAGGAGGGGTTCTACACCAATCTTGGGGGAAGGAGGTTGTCAAGGAAAGCATCCCAGAGGAAGTGAATTCTAAACTAAGAAATGGCAGTGTTAACTGGCTTGAAGGTGCAGGGATGGAAAAGAGTAGGCAAAGAGCAGCATGTACAGAGCTGAGAGAGAGCAGGAATAAGAAATGAGTTCAGTACAGTGAGAACTCAACACGGGGAGTGTCCTGAGAGGTTACTAGGTCAGACGGTGCCAACTCTAGGTGTTGAGATGTTGTGCTATGGCCAGTCAGGGCACCTGAGAGATTTTTACAGAGGAGTGGCATATCTACATTTGGCTGCTGTTGGGCAATTTCGGAAATATTCCTAAAAGTACTCTGTTGACTAGGTGGCATAGCCAGAAGGAAGCCCAGCTGGCACTGTTCAGCCTGGCTCTGAGTTCCAGTTGCTTCATTTATAGACCCTGTGGATTCTGTCCCATAGGTTCATTATAAAAATTAAGCAAGTTAATGTATGTTCCGCAACTAACACAATACACAGCACACAGAAAATAGTGGTAGCCCTAAGATTTTAAATTAGGATTCAGAGGGAAAATTATAATTAAGTACTTTTGTAATATGTATCTGTGCTCAAGTTTGATTTCAGTTCAAGTTTGATTTTCGACGGGTTTCATTTAAAAGTTGTACGTACCATATAAATGAGCCTCTTCAGAAAAATGGGTTTCAAAGGTGAGACTTTCTATAATTATAATTTTTTAAAAAATGTATTTACTACAAGGTCATTTTGGACTTTAAGTCAGGCCTTTTCCTTGAGGAATTATATATAAATTGAGGATTTAGTTAAATGTCTTGGTGTGTATATTTCTGGTTTTAAGCAGTAGAGAAGGAAAAATAGGTACTTAGCAAATAGAGTTGGAAACTGAAGTGCCCGATTATAAACTGAAATATCAGATTTTAGGGTGAATGGAATAGAATAAGAAGTTCTAATCAAATACTTCACTGAAGATTTTAAAATAAAAATTGTTGATATATCCAGATTAGCATGATGCTCAATGACCCAAGGAAATTATTACAAAAGTGTTAGAAAATACTATTGTTTTTATATTTGGGTGATATGTTTGAAAATAATTTTAAATGACTAGAATAATTCTCCAGGATCTGATGGTAGATAAATAATTACTTTTCTCACCTTCTCAAACAAATGTGTGTTTTTCATCTTTTGCAGAGTTGAACAATGACCATAGTTGACAAAGCTTCTGAATCTTCAGACCCATCAACCTGTCAGAATCAGCCTGGCAGTTCCGAGGCAGTCTCACCTGAAGACATGGATGCAAGTTCTGCCAGCTGGGGTGCTGTGTCTTCATTAAATGATGTTTCAAATCACACACTCTCTTTAGGACCAGTACCTGGTGCTGTAGTTTATTCGAATTCATCTGTACCCGATAAGTCAAAGCAATCACCACAAAAGGATCAAGGTACTAGTTTTTAAAAGACAGAATCTCTGCCACAAACTCTTCTGTAAATGCTGACAGTGGGTGGGCAGTTTCAGAGAGGGGCCTATTTGGCAAGGCCTGTTGCCACTTTAGTGGCCGGCAGAGTTGCATTACTTAATGAGTTTCATTTTTCTCGGTTACTTGTTCATGATTAACATTATGTATCACAACAGGGTAGATTATATAGTTGCAAGGATATTAGTAGTTTTACTCCTAATTTTTTGAAGGATAAACTTTATCTTGCTGTGAATTGAGACAGGCAAACATTACATTGACTTGTCAGTTAACCAGTAGTGGTAATAGTTCCCTGAGTAGGTAGATGTCTGTCTTTTAAAAATTCAAAAATGTTTTTTTAAGAATGGTTGCCTTTTGACAAATGGGCTCTACCCAGCTTTTTTTTTTTTTTTTTTTGCTAGTTAAAATTGACTGTAGTAATAAAGCTCTGAAAGAGCAGATAATTTAAATGTCACATTTGTTAAAATAATATAAGTTGGTTACATTTGTTGAAACTCATCCAGATAAATGAGACATTGATACTTTTAGTTGGTACTTCTAAGACTTTTGGATTTGAAGACTTTAAGATTTGAAATGCAAAGAAAGGTAATAGAATTAGTTCCTACTTGGAATATTGTTTGACTTAAAATAATTTGATCCTCATATTGTTTTGAGTTTTCTTAGTTTCATATCGTGATGTGGGAGTGGGTGGTATGGTTTGCTGCAGGTTTTTTTTTTTTTTTTTTTGAGACAGTCTCACTGTGTTGCCTGGGCTAGAGTGCCCTGGCATCAGCCTAGCTCACAGCAACCTCAAACTCCTGGGCTCAAGCGATCCTACTGCCTCAGCCTCCCAAGTAGCTGGGACTACAGGCATGCGCCACCATGCCTGGCTAATTTTTTCTATATATTTTTAGTTGGCCAATTCATTTCTTTCTATTTTTTTAGTGGAGACGGGGTCTCTCTCAGGCTGGTTTTGAACTCATGACCTTGAGCGATCTGCCTGCCTTGGCCTCTCAGAGTGCTAGGATTAAGGCATGAGCCACCACGCCCGGCCTGCAGGTGTTTTTTGAGGGAGAGTTTATATCATGAAACACAATCAGTGTTTTACATAGTGGTTTAAAGTCCTTTGGCTCCTCACCTGCAAGATTTTCCCACAGGACCCTTTTCTCTACTGGCTTCATCAGCCTTTGATCATGTTGCTGGGGCCAGCTCCTTTCTCTCTCTGTTCCTTAGGACCTAGCTCACATCTCCCTGCTCTGCCCCTTTTTAGGGTCCTTGTCCCATTCTCCACAGACTCATTTCTGTTCTCCTAATTTTGGTCTCCATTCCCCACCAAGCCAAAGCCTAGTCTTTGCATACTTAAGTAACCATTAATATTTCTGTTCAAATAGAGAATAATTTATAGAGTATCTCATCATTCTGTAGCACTGAGGAACTGGCGAGCCTTTGAAAAATTAGTCTTGTTATTGATGATTTTGAACTTTCCTAAATAATTTGTTTCTTGAGCTTCACCTGAGTTCTGTTAATATCCTCAAATCTGTTTATAAGTCTTAAAAATAGATAAAATATTTTTAGGTCACATATAGTATAATATATTTACAAGCATTTATAGTGGTACCTGACAGCCTGAATTCAAAGCTTGTTTCCTTCGTGGTAAAATGAAGATGACATCAGTACCAACCATTACGACTGAGACTGTGTGACTCCTTATATTAAAGGCTCAGAACGTGAGGCGATTATGAGGAGGACGGTGATAGTGGTGGTACTGTATTAGCATCCATAGCAAATGTTATGGGGACTTGACTTATCCTGAACTTTCTATTGGTTGTGGTGTTTATTTTTAAAACTGTTCATTATGAAAAATTTTAAGTAGGTATAAGAGTTATTATAGTGAATTCTCATGTAGCTATCAGCCAACTTTGACATTTATCAACTCATGGCCAATTATACCTCCACCTACTTACCCTCTCCATTATTATTTTAAAGCAAATCCAATACTTCATATTTCATCTATAAATATTTTAGTGTTGTATGTCTAAAAGATTATTTTCTAAAATTTTTAAGCAATTAGTTCAAAGAAATATCAAAATGAGATCTACACTTTGCATTTGGTGGGTATGTCTTTTAAGTTTCTTTTAATCTGTAACTTGCTCCCCATTTTGTCCTTGCAATTTATTGAAGAAACCAAATCATTTAAAGTTTTTCGTATTCTGGGTTCTGGCTTTTAAAATGTGTCTTTCTCCTCTGTATTTAGCTGGTAATGAGATTTAGAATCTTGTTCACATTCAAGTTTGAGTGTTGCTATTTAGCTACAGTAGCATGCAAAGCTTTGTTTTTAAATGATTGTTATTTATTTTTCTAGCCCTAGGTGATGGCATTGCTCCTCCACAGAAGGTACTTTTCCCATCTGAGAAGATTTGTCTTAAGTGGCAACAAACTCATAGAGTTGGAGCTGGGCTCCAGAATTTGGGCAATACCTGTTTTGCCAATGCAGCATTGCAATGTTTAACTTACACGCCACCTCTCGCCAATTATATGCTATCACATGAACACTCCAAGACATGTAAGTGTTCTGTGTTATGATATTTTTGTAGTATTGTGGTATGCTAACCTACTTTCATTTTTTCTCTGAAATGAAAGTGAAGAATTTAGCCAAGAATTATATGACTAAGAAGTTATTCTTTTAGAAACCAGGAAGGAAGAATCTTATGATTTGTATTCAGGTTGCATAAAAGGCATTTTGCACCTAATTTGACCTATGAAGGTATTTAAAAAGAAACATATTTTATCAACATTTGGCATTTCTGAACTCTCTGCTGGTTTTCTACACTTATTAAAAAAAGTAAGTGACATAAATGATGCTAACAGGCTTATAATCCTTAGAGGAGAGGAATCCTCTTCCTGTTGCCTCCTCTTCCTGTTGCCTGCATGTAGAATTTTCTTACCATCTTCAAACCATAGGTCAGGAAATCAGTTTTAAAACTTACTAAAATGTCTTTAATTAAATGGAAACCAATGAGTGATCAGCTATCAAAATTCAAAATTTAGAACATGTGCTTTTGAGGTTTTGACCTTCTACATATATCATAAATATCCTTCATCTTTTATAAATGGGGCTACCTGTTCTTTCATCTAAATTAATTACACAGATCATGTATATATGTTCTGGTACTATTCATTAGTTATTAGGATGAAAAACTTGGTTTCTTTTTGAGTAGTTCTTTACTTAATGGAGAATTTAAACTGATTCTTTTAAAACTTTTTTTTCCCCTCAAAGAGCAAAGTAATGTTTTTAAAGAATTTGGAAAGTACAGAAAAATTTAAAGAAATAAAAAAAAAAATTACCTAGAATCTCACCACCTAGAGGTGTTTATTATGCCAAGGGGTTTTAAATTACAGAATGAAAGTTCTGTTTGCCCTCATTTTCTCCCTAAGTCCATAATTCATTTTCCACAGACAGTTTTCCTATCACTTTTGCATTTAATGAAAGCAGGGTGTGGATGAAAACCCAGCACTGGCACCAGGACAGCAAGAGAGAGGGCCCATATAAAATCCAGAAGCTCCTGGTATTACACTATTGGTAGTTTTCTCTTTTTCTCTCTTTTCCCAGCTTTGAGGTATAATTGGTACATAATAAATTGCACATATTTAAATATACAATTTGATGCATTTTGACATTTGTATATACCCATGAAACTATCACCACAATTAAAATAATGAACATATTCATCATTCCCAAAAGCTTTCTACTGCCCCTTTGAAATCATCCCTTTTACCTTTTCTCCCATCTCTCATCCCCTCCACCCCGGGCAACCACTATGTTTTTTCTCTGTTACTAGAGATTAGCTTGGATTTTCTAGAATATGGCTTATGTGGAATTATACAGTGTATATTCTTATGTAAGTATTTCAGCACTATTCTACTTGTTGCATGTATCAATAGATCATTTTTATTACTGAGTAGTATTCCATTGTATGGATGTATCACAATTTGTTTCTCCATCCATCTATTGATGGATTTTTGTGTTATTTCCCATTTTGGACCATTACAAATTAAGCTGCTATAAACATTTGCACACAAGTCTTTGTTAGGACATGTTTTCATTTCTCATGGGTAAATGGCTTGGTCCCGTGGTAGGCGTTTGCTTAACTTTTGAAGATACTTCCAAACTGTTTCTAAAAGGGATTTCAGTGTTGTACATTCCCTCCAGCAGTGAATGAAAGTTCCATTTGCTCCATATCCTGACCAATACTTTGGTGTGGTCAGTCTTTAATTTTAGCCATTTTAATAGATGTGTAGTATAGTAGTATCTTATTGTGGTTTTGATTTTTACTTCCCTAATGAATAATGATGCTAAACATCTTTTCATGTGGTTATTTGTCATTTGTATATTTGCTTCACTGAAATGCCTATTCAGGTCTTTTGCCCACTTTTTTACTTTTTTTTTTCTTTAATATTTAAAAAGTTTTTAATATCTTGATTTATTACTTTTTTAATATTACATTCCAGAGAGAGTGGAATGGGTCAAGTGTCCATAAGTAGAAAACGACCTCTTTTGCCCATTTTAACACTGAGTAGTTTTCTTACTGTGTTTTGAGAATTTTTTATATATTCTAGATATAGTCTTTTATAAAATAGAGTTGGACTTGTTTTTTTCATTCTCTTCAGTGTCTTTTAAAGATTGTGTTTATTTTGAGAAATCCATGTCATTATTATTTTTATCAATTGTGCTTTAGCTGCCATGTTAAGAAATCTTAACTGGGCCGGGTGAGGTGGCTCACGCCTGTAATCCTAGCACTCTGGGAGGCCAAGGCGGGTGAATTGCTCAAGGTCAGGAGTTCGAAACCAGCCTGAGCAAGAGCAAGACCCGGTCTCTACTATAAATAGAAAGAAATTAATTGGTCAACTAATATATATACAAAAAAATTAGCCGGGCATGGTGGCACATGCCTGTAGTCCCAGCTACTCGGGAGGCTGAGGCAGCAGGATTGCTTGAGCCCAGGAGTTTGAGGTTGCTGTGAGCTAGGCTGACACCATGGCACTCACTCTAGCCTGGACAACAAAGCGAGACTCTGTCTCAAAAAAAAAAAAAAAAGAAAAGAAATCTTAACTGGCTGTCACAAAGGTTTTTCCTATATTTTCTTCTAGAAGTCTTATTGTTTTAGCTTTTATTTGGGTCAGTGATCCATTTTTAGTAAATTTTTGTTTGTGATTTGAAAAATAGAAAAATTCATGTGTTTGCATATGGATATCCAATTATTCAAACATCATTTGTTGAAATGATCATCTTTTTTCCACTAAATTATCTTTGTACCTTTGTCAAAAATCAATTGACCATATACATATAGATCTATTTCTAGACTCTATTTTGTTATACTGGTCCATTGTTTATCTTAACACCATAACATGATGTCTTGATTACTATAGATTTACAAGTTTTGAAGTCACTTTAGTCCTCTAACTTTGCTCTTTTTCCAAGTTTTGGCGATTCAAGGTCATTTATATTTTCAAATGAATTTTGGAATCAGTTTGGCAATTTCTACCAAAAAAGCTTCCTGGGATTTTGATTGGAATTGTGCTGAACCTGTAAATCAATTTGATATGAATTGACATCTAAACAGTATTTTTTTTTTTTTTTTTTTGAGACAGAGTCTCGCTTTGTTGTCCAGGCTAGAGTGAGTGCCATGGTGTCAGCCTAGCTCACAGCAACCTCAAACTCCTGGGCTCAAGCGATCCTACTGCCTCAGCCTCCCAAGTAGCTGGGACTACAGGCATTTGCCACCATGCCTGGCTAATTTTTTGTATATATATTAGTTGGCCAATTAATTTCTTTCTATTTATAGTAGAGACGGGGGTCTCGCTGTTGCTCAGGCTGGTTTCGAACTCCTGACCTTGAGCAATCCGCCCCGCCTCGGCCTCCCAGAGAGCTAGGATTACAGGTGTGAGCCACCGTGCCTGGCTAAACGGTATTTTTTTTTTTTTTTTTTTTGAGACAAGAGTCTGTTGCCCTGGCCATACCTAGAGTGCAATGGCATGATCATAGCTCACTGTGACCTCAAAGTCCTGGGCTCAAGGGATCCTCCTACCTCAGCCTCCTGAGTAGCTGGGCCTCATCTTTGTTTTTGAAGGATATTTGCATGGATTATAAAATTCTATGTCAACATTACTTTCTTTTTTTTTTTTTAACTGGTCAACTCTGGTTTATCAACATTACTTTCTTTCAATACTTGAAAGATGTTACTCCACTGTTTCCTGGCCTTTGTTACTTCCTACAAGAAGCCTATTGTCAGTTTTACCTTTGTTCCTATGTATGTAATGTTTTGTATTTCTAGCTGCTTTAAAGATGTTTATCTCTGGTTTTAAGCAGTTTGAGTGGTCCTTTGTGTAGTTTTCCTCTTGTTTCTTCTGCTTAGGGTTTGTTGATGTTCTTGTGCATTTACTATTTCCATCAAATTTGGACAACTTTCAGTCATTTTTTAAAACTTTTATTTTTATACTTACAGTAAAATTAACTTTTTTGGCGAAGGGTTCTCTGAATTTTAATACATGTATAGATTCATATAAACAACCAGTTCAGTCAGGGTACAAAACCATTTCATCACCCTAAAAACCTCTCTGTGCTTTCTCTTAGTAGATATTATTTCTTAAAATATTTGGTTTTGCCCCTTCACTTTCAGACTCCAATTATATGTACATTAGGGACAATTTGAAATTGTCCCACAGCTCACTGATATGCTGTGTTGTTATTTTGAGGTTGTTTCTTCTTTATGTTTCATTATGGATATCTGCTATCCATAACGAATATCTTCAAGTTGACTAATCTTTTCTTCTGTGTCTAGTCTGTTATTAATGCCACTCAATGTATTTTTCATCTCATAGATTGTATGGGTCACCTGTAGAAACAGATTTGGGTTTATTTCTATGTCTGTCCTTAATATGCTCTTGCATTTTTCACCTCCTTGAACATATGAATATATTTATGATATCCTTTGAATAGTCATTGTCTTTTGAATCTGTCATCTATGTTATTTCTGGATCTGTTTATTTTCTCCTTATTACTGGTCATTCCTACATCTTTGCATACCTTGTACTCTTTGATTGAATGTTAGACATCATGAATTTTATGTTGTTTGGTGCTGGAATTTTTTTATTCCCTTAAATATTTTTGAGCTTTATTGTGGGACACAGTTAATTGGAAATAGTTTGAGCCTTTCAAGGAGTTTTAAGCTTTATTAAGTAGGTTTGAGCAGCCTTTAGTCCAAGGCAGAGTTTTTCAACCTCATTACTATTAATGTTTGGGACTGGGTAATTCTTTGTTATGGGGGGCTGTCTTGTGTTTTGTAGGGTATTTGGTAGCATACCTGGCCTCTACCCACCAGATGCCAGTGGTACCACTTGGCATGAGCTGAGAATGATTTTTATATTTTTAAAAAGTTGGGTTTTTTTTAAAAAAAAGAATACGAGAAAAAAGAAAAAGAATAGTGACCACCATCTGTGGCCAACAATGCCAGATTATTTACACAGAGATTTCTAACCTCTGCTATGGGAGACAGTCTTTTTCTATTTGAGACAAATGGTAGTATGAGAAAAAAAAGAATCTTATTTTTACAGTATAGAGAATAGCTAAGAGCACAGGCATTGAGATGATAAAGAATATGATTTGAGTCTGATTATGTGTCTGCCACATAATAACTCTTTGACATTGGCAAATTTTTAACTCTGTGAGCTTTTTTCTTCTCTTGTGAAATAGAGACAATATATACTTATCACTTAGGTTTATTAGAGAACTAAATGAAAATAAAGTAGATAGCTCAATGCATTCACATAGTAGCAGTTATTATTTCATTTCAGGTATGTGCCTTGTATTTATAATTTAGCTTGATGTGTGTAAATAGTCATATTTTGCTCATTTGGATGATTATTATCTTTCAGGTCATGCAGAAGGATTTTGTATGATGTGCACAATGCAAGCGCATATTACCCAGGCACTCAATAATCCTGGGGACGTTATTAAACCAATGTTTGTCATCAATGAGATGCGGCGTAAGTACTAACTGTAGTAGCTAATATTAATATTTCTTAGCTAAATATTAATTAGTCTTAATGACCTAAGTGGTAAAGAAAAAAGAAGAACCCCTCGTGTATTACAAAACAAATAAATGCATTTTATCATACATAGATAGGTCTGTAATTAATAACAAATTTTAGTAAAACATTTTGCTATATGAACTCATTTTAAAACCTTAAAGCAAAAGATAACAATGTAATAAAATAGTATTCAGCTTAATAAAAGCAAATTTTTTTTTCGTGTCATCCTTGCACAGGGCCAAGGATCGTTCCAATTTTAGTATATGTGCTGCCGAGGCGAGCACAATATAAGCAAATTTTAAATTATTTTAAATTCAATTTGTCTTAATAAAATCATTGGTAAGTTTTACAATGGTTTTTTTCCCGGATGTTTGGATTTCTGTGCTGAGTAATACTCTGATGTTGTCCCACAGATTTCTTTAGATAGTTTTTAATTAGTTTTAATTTGGTGAATGAATATTATACATAGTGATCGGAATTGTCAAAATAAAGTCAATTGTATTTTTAAAGAAAAACTTAAGCTCATAGCTTAGCAAATTTGTGGATACATTTCACTTTTTCTGTTTTTAAATTTTAAATAGGTTGCATGAAATTTTCTTACGCACTTTCTTTGTTTTTTGCAATAAACTTTTATATCATCTTAATTGAGTTGGAATAAAGGCATACAAATTAGAAAAAACTGTAACTCTTAATCTGGCATCTAGCTGGGGGGTGCATCTAATTAGGGGGTGCATAATTATAATCCTTTTGCCTGAAAAGCTGCTGACGATTAAAGAGGTGTTGTATTAGTCCTTGGCATTATTAACAGGCCACAAGAGACAATACAAAAATCTTTAAAGCATTGTTGGAGCCTGGCAGAATTTTAGCCAGGGCAGGTTTTGATTATTTATATACAGATTTATGTTTTATACATATATATATAGCAGTTATGGGTAATATTTCCAAATCTGTTCTTCAAGAAAATGTCTCGTGTGTGTGTGTGTATATATCCATCCACAGACACACACACAGTTGAATCACAAAATTGTCATTTTTGGAGGTCAAAACTTGTGGAATATTGGCAATTTCATTTGATTCAAGCTGGTATATATTTTTATACTTTCATATACATAAAATTTAATATGTTTTATTGTGATGTTATACCTTTTTAATTTTTTTAAATAATTTTTTAATAGTTTGGTCTTACAGCTGCTTAGTCAATTAGAAATAGGACTGAAATGTTACTGTGTAACTGAGAATTTGTTCTGTGGGTCATTGGGATAGAATTCAGATAGGTTTGGATGTTTGCTTTGCATGGATTCTCTTATGGAGATTTAGCATTAATTTAAAATGTATGCACCAGCATAAGATTTTGGACAGACTTTTGAGACAATATAGCCCCTGTTGAATTTATTCAATTATAATTTTATTATCTTTCTAAAGAGAGTCTCACTCTGTGGCTACTCTCAGGATTTTCAGCAGCTCTGGCCCTTGTGGGCTTTTAATGGTCTAAAGCAGGCGTCCTCAAACTATGGCCCGCAGGCCACATGCGGCTGTTTTGCCCATTCGTTTTTTTACTTCAAAATAAGATAAGTGCAGTGTGCATAGGAATTTGTTCATAGTTTTTTTTAAACTATAGTCTGGCCCTCCAACGGTCTGAGGGACAGTGAACTAACTGGCCCCCTGTTTAAAAAGTTTGAGGACCCGTGGTCTAAAGGATATGGTCCTGGCTGTTCTTAGGGTAGCTTATGTTAGTGCTGCTTCCTTATAATATAATCATATGGGGCTTTTCTAACCACCGTATTATAAGCTATATTTTGGGGGTTATAGCCCAGGCTTATTATATGTAATGATAAAGCCCTGTTCCTACTTAAATTTTATAGGTATAGCTAGGCATTTCCGTTTTGGAAACCAAGAAGATGCCCATGAATTTCTTCAGTACACTGTTGATGCTATGCAAAAAGCCTGCTTGAATGGCAGCAATAAGTAAGTACAACAATTACCAGTCATTTCTTAATTTTGTATCTCTGGTTATCAAAATTCAGTTTTGCCTGTTTTTTTTTTTATTTATTTGTTTGTTTTATTGGAGACTGGATTTTACTGTATTGTGCAGGCTGGTCTTGAACTCCTGGGCTCAAGGAGTCTTCCCACCACAGCCTCTTGAATGGCTGGGACTACAAGCCTGTGCCACAGTGCCTGGCTATTTTGCCTTTTATGTTGAAAGTTCATAGATCCATGTTTCCTTTACTTTTTAGTTTTGCACTGTCTCTTCCCTAGTTGATTTGCATTATTTTAAAATGATTAAAGTTTAAAATGATACGCTTATTGTAAGAGTTTGAATTTGCTGAATTATAGATGTCAGGAAATGAACACTGGTCTTGCTATTATTTAATTTCTGAGTATCGGTATACCTCTGCAGATCTAAAACTAGCTACTACCACTTTTCAGTTGTACCTGACATTTTCTTTGTTGACCTCTAGCCACAGAAATCTGTATTTGTTTCTGGCTTCTATCTATCTCCAGTCAGTTACTGATTTCTGTAGCTTTTTCCTTAAAAACTAAATGTAGACTCAAGAGGAAGATTGGGGATACAATTAGATAAGTGCTAACCTGCTTGCTGTTGCTTGAACACACCTGATAAACGTCCCTTTGCACTCCCACTGCCTCAGCTCTGTGAAGGGACCAGGCCTTCATTGTCTAAGTGGTGATAGACTCAACATGGAAGAGGACACCCTGACTTCCCCAGCCATCCTCTTGCTCAGGTCACAGCCTGCTGAGGGGTCTTCGTTGTGCTTCAGGACCAAATTCCTGCTTTGATTTCACAGTCCCTTTATAATGTAGCCCCTGCTGTTCTACCTCTTTGCTTACCACTCCCCAAACTTTCACTGTGTTCTGGTCAGGCAGGGCTATTCTCTAGCTGCCACATGTACTACTTTTTTATTTTTTGTGGCTCTCTTGTTTGAATTTTTGTTCTTTTATAAATGTACATGCTTTTTATTATTTAAATTTTTATTATTATTTTTTAAAAGATTGAGTCTCACTCACTCTACTGCCCAGGCTGGAGTACAGTGATGCGATCATAGCTCATTGTAGCCTCAAACTCCTGGGCTTAAAGGAATCCTCCTGCTTCAGCCTCTTGAGTAGCTGGGACTACATGTGTGTGCGACCATGCCAGGCTAATTTTTTTTCTACTTTTTGTATAGTTGGGGTCTTGCTGTATTGCCCAGGATGGCCGTGAACTCCTGGCTTCAGGTGATCCTCCTGCCTTGGCCTCTCAAAGTGCTAGGATTACAGGCATGAGCCACTGTGCCTGGGCTTGTACATGCTTTTAAAATCTGGTCATAGCATCTGTAATTTTTGTAGAACTCTTCTCTCATATCACTGTTTGTTTTTCAGATTGGACAGACACACCCAGGCCACCACATTCGTCTGTCAGATATTTGGCGGATACCTACGATCTAGAGGTAAATTTTTGTTTAAAAATTAAGTGATACCTGCATGTGGTTTAAAAAAAATGCAAACAGTAGGAAAGGGTTAATAATGAAAAGTACATCTCTTTTCCAGCCGAGACTCCCATCCGGCTCCCCAAAGGCAACCCCTGTACCAGTTTGTAGTATATCCTTCCAGTCGTTTCCTGTGTGTGAGCAAACCGGGACCATACTATGTGTATCGCTTTAATTTTTCTCCTAATATTAGCAATCTTTTTGCATTACCGCACACATAGGCTGAACAAAGTCTTTCACAGTTACGGTGGTATTCCATTTATTTAAGTCCCCTATCGATGGATATTTAGGTTGCTTCTGTTTTGTTGCTGTTTTTTATTACCATTAGTGCTTTATTGATCATTTGTATACACATACCTTCATATCTATATAAAAGTATGTATACAGGATAAATTCTTAGTCTTAGAATTTCTGGATCATAGCATGTGCATATTTAAAATTTTAATACTGTCATTTCCTTCCAAGAAGTTACACCAATTTATATTCCAACCAGTAGCATATGAATGGCCAAATTCATGACATTTTCACCACATGGTGTATAGTATTAATTTAAAATTTTTTTTGTCCAATCTGATCAGAGAAAAATTATACTTTGTTTTAATTTTTAGCTTGGAAATAGTACTTGGTGTTTTGTCATTTCAATAGTTGGTGCTGCTGTAATGATTACACTTTGCTTATCCTTTGCATTTTATTTTTATTTCAGTAAAATGTTTAAATTGCAAGGGCGTTTCAGATACTTTTGATCCATATCTCGATATAACCTTGGAGATAAAGGTAAGTTTGGTAATTGTTATGATGGTTAAGTTTAAAAAATGTCATTTTATATAACTTTTTGTATCTATAGTTCATTTATAAGTTAGAATACACTTGTTAAAGAATATGAATTGCAAAATTTAATGTGCTAAGATTTTATTTAGAGGTGATTTTTTCAAACTTTGTAGCAGGCATTATAAAAAAAAATTTATCACCAGCAAATTGGTATTAACAGATCAACACCTAAGTGGATATATAGGAATAACATTTATCAGGTGGGAGGGGGGGAGGAGAGGATGGGTATACAAACCCAACGAGTAAGATGTACAATGTTTGGGGGATGGACACGCTTGAAGCTCTGACTCAAGAGGGGAGGGGAGGCATGGGCAATATACGTAACCTTAACACTTGTATCCCCATAATTCGCTAAAAAAAAACCAAAATTTAAAGGGGCCATGCGCAGTGGCTCATGCCACTCGGAGGCCAAAGCGGGAGGATCACTTGAGGTCAGGAATTTGAGACCAACCTGAACAACAGAAAGGGCCCCGTCTCTACTAAAAATAGAAAAAATCAGCCAGGCATGGTGGCATGTGCCTGAGGTCCCAGCTACTCAGGAGGCTAAGGCAGGAGGATCACTTGAGCCCAGGAGTTTGAGGTTGCTGTGAGCTATGACACACCACTGCACTTTAGCCCAGGCAACAGAACAAGACCCTGTCTGGAAAAAAAAAAAAAAAAAGTCACCCTTTGACTTTTTACTTAATAAATTTTAATAAAGCCAGATTCTGAAGCCTATATATTAGCCAAACATAGATGGCCATTATTCTTTAGAAACTGTCTTGCTGCTTGTACTTTCTAAACTCCTATTTAATGGTTTGATATATACTACTTCAAAATATATTGCTTACTTTTCTAAAAATTAGATTATACCTAATGTCTGTCTGGTCACTTGCTGTTTGCATCTGATTCTGCTTGAAGACCTTTCTATATAAGTGTGTTCTTTGGGCACTTGTGTGGTGGTCCAGCAAATGAATATACCGTAATTTATATGCCTGAATCCTTGTTTTGGTAGATTTGTGGTTTGTGTCTAGTTTTGTGCTATTTTAAGTAAAACTGTGGTGGGCAGGCTCTTTAGATGTTTTTGTTCACGTTAATCTGTTCATTTTTTAATGGAAGGGGAAATAATTTGGTGTGTAGATGTGTAAAGATGACTATAATAAAGGAAAATTTTCTTTTTACATAAAAATTCCTCATTTGCTTTTATGTCTTTGAGTCTTCTCTCTCTTTCTCTCTCTGTCTCTGTAACAAATGGCAGTGTGTGGTAATGTGGTGTTTATGCTTTTCTCTTTTCCAGGCTGTTCAGAGTGTTAACAAGGCATTGGAGCAATTTGTGAAGCCCGAACAGCTTGATGGAGAAAATGCGTACAAGTGCAGCAAGTATGATGGGTGGTGACTTGTTGGTTTTTGCTGCTGGCTGCTTCAGTGGGGATGGCAGGGAGGCTTGACATGAAAGAGTTTGGTGTGCCTGACTGTCCCCTCTAGGTTGTCTTTAGCTTTTGATACCATCTGGGAAGACACTGGGTCTCTGTCTTCCAAAGGCCAGGGCCTGCAGTGTCTCAGTGTCTACACTCTTTCAAGATGTGCAACTCTGTGCCCTTGGGAGACTGGTACATCATTATTGGGCAGCTTTGGTGGGAGGAGAGAGAGGTAAGATCATCCGCGCATCACGAGTTAGTACTGCCTCACAGGTGCGGCTTAGGATGGCATGTCTGCCGAGCAGCATTTTCCTCGACTTTCCTTTATGAGAGGGTTGTGGTAGAATGGGGAGTCACTTCCCCCCAGGATAGTTAAGGATCTTTCTCTCTTATGGTGGGTATCTAGGGTTTGGAGTAGTATCTTCTGGAAACTTCTAATTTTGATTGTTCATTAATATGTTTCCCCACGAAGTCAAGAGAGCCTGTTTTTAAAAAGCCTGGTTTCATATATTTTAAATAGATTTCTACTTTGTAGACTGGTAGTTTAGGTAGTCTTTTATTATCCAATTTATTTTAGGGGAAGAAGGCTCCTTTCTTCTCTCTAAGACCATAGGGATTTCTTGTTTGTTATACACTCCATAGATATTTCTAATCTTTATTTCTCTTCCTTTTGTATCTGGATAGGGCTTTGTTTTCACATAATTATGCCAGCCTGAAAATCTATTAGTTTTTCAGTTTGTTTTGAATTGAGAGAAACTTGTATTAACCTAATTTTAGCATTATTTGTAGCCTGCATGGCTTAATTTTTCAGACTTGTCCAGTCATCCTTTCCTTTCATGCTAATTAAGCAGTTTCCCCTTGTATTCTTCCCCTTGAAATTCTCTTAATTTCAGTATTTTCACTATTGATTGAGGGCTCGTGTTTCTTACCTAGTGTCCTTTTGGAAACTTAATTTAGAATGTTTGAGTGAAATAACAAGGGAAGGACTAAAATGCCAAGAAAATATATGTATTAATCTTCTGAACATTTTATTTCTGTTTATTTCAAGGTGTAAAAAGATGGTTACAGCTTCAAAGAGGTTCACTATACATAGATCCTCCAATGTTCTTACACTTTCTCTGAAACGATTTGCAAATTTTACTGGTGGAAAAATTGCTAAGGTATGTAGATGATATTAATAATCTTTTATATTGAGCCTTTCAAGGCATAAGTGTCAGTAGCTGTTAAGGTTTATAAACAACCTAACTGAACAATTTTTGTTGACAGATTTTCTAAGTTCTTCCATCATTTGGTAGCAGAAAAGAAATGTCAAAGAATAGAGCCAGTAGTTTGGAATATGCACTTGAGTGTGTATATTTTTATTATATCCTTTAGCTGGCTAGACTTTCTAATGATAAAATTGGTGTAACAACTGTCTGCATTTAGGCGTTACAGTCAGTTTTTTAGTGTCCAAGGTAATGAGGGGTTACACAGAACTTGTATTATTTGAAATCCAAAGAAGACTTCCCTGCTAGTTATTGTCACTTTTTCATTAAAGTTCATTTTCTTATTTGTTCATTTGCTTTCTGATTGGCAGTGCACTGAATTTTCCCATTTTCTTTTCCTGTGTGTTTTTTTAATTTTTTATACATGGGGTCTTGTTGGTTGTCCAGGCTGGAGTGTAGTGGTGCCATCATAGCTCACTGCCATGACCTGAAGTCTAGGACTTGAATTTTCTCATTTTCTTTCTACTTTCTGAAGATTGAAAGTGGTCAGAAATTCAATTGTAAGAGAAAAAAATAATCCATTCCTGAAGTATTAAAAATAAGTGATGACCAATGTCCAGAGTTATCATTCTGTTCTTATTTCCTTTGATGTATTTGAAGAATTTACTTAATGTGGATTCTTACCTATTCAAAGGCAATAAAAATTGCAGTGGGATGGCCTTAAATACACTTAGACTCATGTGTCCTCCCAGTTAATCTGTCCTTTGAAAGGTAGTGAAATGTGTTAGGTTTCTGTTAGAATAGCACAGGGTACAGTGTCCTATGGGTCTCCTTCGGGGAGACCCTAAATGCCCTTACTCAGATGTGCAGAATAGTCTGTGCTCTCAGAAATAATATTTTTTTTCTCCTTTTTACATTTCTGTTTAGGATGTGAAGTACCCTGAGTATCTTGATATTCGGCCATACATGTCTCAACCAAATGGAGAGCCAATAATCTATGTCTTATACGCAGTGCTGGTACACACTGGCTTTAATTGCCACGCTGGCCACTACTTCTGCTACATCAAAGTAAGCTGTCCAGATTTTGCTAATAGCTTTTGCTACATACATGCTGTAGGACATTACTAATATTCTTATGGGGAAAGGTGGGACTTTGACAGCTAAAATGTGAATGCCCATTTTTTTTTATATTTCTCTTGACTGCATTCCATGTTTCTCTAATTAAATGTCCTCTCTCTCTTTTGCAGGCTAGCAACGGCCTCTGGTACCAAATGAATGACTCCATTGTATCTACCAGTGATATTAGATCGGTACTTAGTCAGCAAGCCTATGTGCTCTTTTATATCAGGTATTGACATGAACACAGAATGTCAAATTTTGTGTTATTTCATTTCTTTTCTCATCAACATACTGAAATTCAAGGTTGGGCATGGTAGTAGCTCATTCCTATAATCTCAGCATTTGGGAGGCCAAGGTAGGAGGATCACTTGAGGTCAGGGGTTCCAGATCAGCCCAAGCAACTTAGACCCTGTCTCTCCTCCCCCAAAAAATTCAGTGTTATTTTTTATAAAACAGCAGCGTAAAGATTAATTCTGCCATGCACCTGGAGAGTGAGGAAGGTCATTTTTGAGTGTGGATTATGCGTTTGCTTTAGCTTCCAGCTCTTTTGTGGGTTAACACTGTGAGGCGATAGCTAAGGAGGATGGGCTTCTGCCGCTGGCTGCAAATGCAGTGTGCCGGGGGCACTGGTGGCAGTGGGTGGAGACCTTGGGAAGGGGGATCTAAGCACCTGCTGTGGTCACAGCTGTCACCTCCCACTTGCTGAGCACAGGCAGCTGGTCAATCACCTTCCTGGCCAAGGCTTAGGCCAGCCCATGCTCACATCTGTCCTGCTGTGGCTACATATTCTGACTTCCTAATTCCACTTTTGGAAAAAATATGATATGTGTTTCAGCATGTCCCTTTTTAATAGCTGAAAATTAAGAATATCCCAAAATGTCCAAGAGAGGTGGAAATGACCATATCCTATGTTGAAATATTATACAGCTTAATAGTGATTTTTATGAAGCTTTTTTTTTTTTTTTTTTTTGAGACAGAGTCTCGCTCTGTTGCCCGGGCAAGAGTGCCATGCCGCCATGCCGTCAGCCTAGCTCACAGCAACCTCAAACTCCTGGGCTCAAGCAGTCCTTCTGCCTCAGCCTCCCAAGTACAGGCATGAGCCACCGTGCCCGGCTAATTTTTCATATATATATATTTTTAGTTGTCCAGCTAATTTCTTTCTATTTTTTAGTAGAGATGGGGTCTCGCTCTTGCTCAGGCTGGTCTCGAACTCCTGAGCTCAAACAATCTGCCCACCTTGGCCGCCCAGAGTGCTGCTAGGATTATAGGCGTGAGGCACCACACCCGGCCTATGAAGCATTTTTTTAACTTTGAGAAAGTGCTTAATATATATGGAAGAAAAGCAATTTGAAATATTAAGCACTGATATTGAAAATAACCATATGGGCAAAGCATGGAGGGTTATTGACTAAACCGGAAGAGGAACTGCCTCTGAGGGGCAAGCTAAGGGACAGTGTTTTGTTTCTAACTTTTCTGGACACAACAGATTTTCTACAATGGTATATATTTATAATTAGAAAAATATAAACAAAAATACCTTTCAAGTAGCAGCATCCTAAGAACACATACTTAGAAAATACTGTTTACCCAGAAACCTTGTTTCCTGATCTGAGTATCTGATATTAACCTAAATCTAAAGGAGAGAATGTGTGTAGCTCCGTACCATGGAGTATAAAAGCACTATTTCTCCATCAGTTTTCTGCCCGAGGGGTTAAGTGCTATTGAATTTGTAAATGATTCTAAGGAAATGTCCTGTGTCAATGTAAGCAACCTCACTCTCCCTGTCTCCAGGTCCCACGATGTGAAAAACGGAGGCGAACTTGCTCATTCTACCCACAGCCCCGGCCAGTCCTCTCCCCGCCCAGTGATCAATCAGCGGGTCGTCAACAACAAGCAGGCCGCGGCAGGGTTCATCGGACCACAGCTTCCCTCTCACATAATGAAGGTAACATTTCACAGGGAACACATAATCTTTGTATTAATTTTTTAAATGTATCCTTCAAACTCTGAGGTTAACATTCTGGTAGTTGCTATATCCTCATATACAATTGGATTTCTTCTCAAAAATTTATTTAAGCCCTTTATTGTAAAGTCTGGCCGGACTTATGTGTGTGATTTTATACAGTCATGTGCATCTTAGAATAGTCTGTGTCATTTGTGCTATAAAATCTTAATGGCTTCTAAGTTTGTTTTGAATTATACAAATTATCTAGTTGCATTCTTTTTTTAAATGGATATCAGACAGTATTTGAGTTATAGTAGGAGTCACAAATCTAATGCCTTTGTGAGGTGGGAAGGTGATGGACTGGAGCTAGGCCCTACTTCAGAGTGATATCAGGGCACTGGCACACCAGAGAGCATGTGCCCTGTGGAAAGGGGCGGCTGTCATTGATTTTCCAAGAGTTTGTTTTTTATCATGAAGTTTTCCAATGTTAAAATAGCAACTAATTCAGATATTTGAGAAAACATTGTGAAGATCAGACACAATTCATCTGTAAAGCAGCTTTCACCCTGAGCCACCATGGGGTGTGGCAACAGTAGTGGGAACCTGAGCAAAAGAACTGCATGCGTAGAACTCGGAGACATCCCAGGGTGGTGGTGGTGGTGGTAGTGATGGTGAGGTCATGGCTTAGCCAGTGGCACCTAAAGCAGCCTCATTTCTGTCTTTGCCCATGTGACCGTCGTCCCTCAGTCCTAGGCCAGTGGTGATTTCTGCTTCCTGCCATTTCGTTCTGTCTGCAGTGTGGGCTCCCAGGAAAGCCAACCAAGGAGAATCAATGTGACTCCATGCCCAAAGGGGCCTATTCATGCTGTCATATTTGGAACAGAAAGAATTTGATCTCAGGGTTATATTCTGACAAACATACTTGTTTTCTTTGTTGATTAATTGCTAGAAGACTCGGACCTGTATAGGAAAGGTACACATGGGTAGGAACAGATGAAAGAAGAGGCAGGCGTTTCTAGGTATGTGAAACTTGTTAGTCATAAAAAGAAAAGGACGAAAATGGGAAGGCCCATAAGCCAAAATGGATTCTGTTTCTATGACTGTTTTCTGGAACTCTGACCTAGCTGTGGTTTTCTTCCTTCCAGAATCCACCTCACTTGAATGGGACTGGACCACTGAAAGATACACCAAGCAGTTCCATGTCAAGCTCTAATGGAAATTCCAATGTCAACATGGCTAGTCCTGTTAATGCTTCAACTTCTGTTCAAAACTGGGCAGTTAACAGGTCTTCTGTTATCCCAGAACATCCCAAGAAGCAGAAGATCACTATCAGTATTCACAACAAGTTGCCTGGTCGCCAAGGCCCATCTCAGCCTAACCTTCATAGCAATTCTGTGGAGAACCCTAACAAGCCTGCTCCCTCTTCTACCATTACTAATTCTTCTGCAATACAGTCTACCTCGACTACATCTACAATGTCAATTTCTAGCAAAGTAACAAAACTTACTACCCCGAGCGAAGCCTGTTCCAAGCCTGTGATGAATGGCAAGTCCAAGCTGAACTCCAGCGTATTGGTTCCCTATGGCGCTGAGTCATCTGAAGAGTCTGACGAGGAGCCCAAGGGGCTGGGCAAGGAGAATGGTGTCAGCGCCATCTCCAGCTCCCTCTCTCCTAGCCAAGGTGCTGAAGATGACGAGGTCTCACAGCATGAGCTCCAAGAACCTATTACTCTAAATGGTGCTAACAATGTAGACAGTGACCCAAAAGAAAATGGTCTGCCATTTGATGATGCCGATTGCCAAGTCCAGCCTGCTCTACACTCAGAAAATCCCTTTTCTAAGGCAAATGGTCTGCCTGGAAAGGTGAGGCGGAGGTGGGGGCTGGGGCTACAAGCTTTGTTTTGAGTCCCTATTATGGAGTTCCCTTGCCAGGATTTCAGGAGGCATGGAGTTAGCAGCTAGAGTTGAAATATCTTTATTTTTTATTGTAGTTGATGCCTGCTCTGTTGCCATCTCTCCCAGAAGACAACATCTTAGAGACCTTCAAACTTAGCAATGCAGTGAAAGGCTCGACGGATGAAACCAGGTAAAACAAGAAAAAGTTAGAGGGAAGTGAACTGCATAATAGGATATCCAGTAGTAGTGCCTATCGATCTGTCAGTATTTTAACTCTGTAGAAGTCATAGTGAATATTTTGAATCCTGGAATGATTTGACTTAACATAATCTAAAGCAGGGGTCCTCAAACTTTTTAAACAGGGGGCCAGTTCACTGTCCCTCAGACTGTTGGAGGGCCAGACTGTAGTTTAAAAAAAACTATGAACAAATTCCTATGCACACTGCATATATCTTATTTTGAAGTAAAAAAAACAAACAGGCAAAAAAACACCTGCATGTGGCCCATGGGCCGTAGTTTGAGGATGCCTGATCTAAAGAATATGTTTATTTGTTTTTTCAGAAGACTAAAGAAAAAATTTAGTATATGAGACTGAGTCCATGAAAACTTGATGAAACTCAAGCTAACATTTTCTTCTCCCATGTAGCTTCTTTTCTGGTTAGGGATGTTGTTGGCATGTTTCTGAATTTGATACCAAGCTCTGTCTCATTTAATCTTTTCCATGATGAATAAGTATGTGAGGATGTATTAAGGTTATAAGGCAGGGGTGCCCAGCTTAACCAAGGAGCAGACACAGTCATGTCTCACTTAATGACAGGGATATATTCTGAGTATCCTTTATACAGTCCTCTAAATGCGTCATTGGAGGATTTTGTCATTGTGCAAATAGCCTAGAGTGTCCTTAACCTAGATGGCACAGCCTACTGCACTCCGAGGCTGTATGGTACAATGGTACGGCCTGTTGCACCTTGGCTACACGTAGCCTGTTCCACATACTACTGTACTGAATACTGTAGGCAGCTGTCACACAATGGTAGGTATTTGTGTATCTAAACACATCTAAACCTAGAAAAGGGACACTAAAAATATAGTATAGACTATAACAAATGGCATACCTGTGTAGGGCACTTGCCATGAATGGTGCTTGCAGCACTGGACCTTGCTCTAGTGAGTCAGTGAGTGGTGAGTGGCCAGGGACATTACACTACTGTAGACTTTATAAACACTGTATACTTGTATTATACTAAATTTATAAAAAAATTCTTTCTTCAGTAATAAATGAACTTTAGCTTACTGTAACTTTTTTGCTTTGTAAACTTTAATTTTTAAAAAATTTTTTGACCTTCGTAATAACACTTAGCTTAAAACACAAATACATTGTACAGCTGTACAAAAATACTTCATATCCTTATTTTATAAGCTTTTTTCTATTTAAAAAAATTTTTTAACATTTTTGTTAAAAACTAACACACATTAGCCTAGTCCTACACAGGGTCAGGTTCATCAATATCACTATCTTCCACACCCACATTTTGTCCCATTTGAAAGTCTTTAGGGGCAGTAACATGCATGGAGCTGTCATCTCCTATGACAACAGTGCCTTATGGATACCCCCTGAGGGACCTGCTTGAGGCTGTTTTATAGTTAACTTTTTTTCATAAGTAGAAGGAGTACATGCTAGAGTAATGATGAAAAAAAGTATAGTAAATACATAAACCAGTAATGTAGTTTTTTACTATCTAGTATTATATACTGGACATAATTGTATGTGCCAGACTTTTATCCGACTGGCAGTGCAGTAGGTGTGTTTACAGCAGCATCACCACAAACAGGTGAGTGATGCCTTATGATACGATGTCACAATGGCTAAGAGGTCACTCACTAGGCGATGGGAATTTTTCGGCGCCATTATCATCTTACGGGACCACTGTCATATGTGCAGTCCATTGTTGACTGACAATAGTCTTTCTGTGACGCAAGACTGTACTTTGTAGAAATACAAAGAATTCTGAAATTAAATTCACAGGTAATATAACCTGCTTCCACAGTTTCTTAAAAAACCAATATATCGACCTAACTATAATGTTAGGAATAAAAGGAAAGGAATTTATGATGCAGCGATAGCTGTTTCAAGATGCAAAGAACCAGGCAAGACTGCTCTGGTGCAAGTACAGTAACACAGCCTGGTGCTCACATCTGCGCGCAGTTTGCCTATGAGCAGCACAGTTCAGAATGTGGCCTGGTGGTGGCATGCTCACTACCATCAGGACGTCCTGTTCTCAAGGTGAACAGCTTTTGGTGAAGTTCTGACCACATCATAGTACCACCGTCTCTAGATTTACATACTAGTTGTATTCCTGGAAAATTTGTGTCTGTGGAAACTGTGCCAATAATACTATACCTGGGGTTTTCACTCCCATGGCCATCAGTACTGGTGGGAGTGGGGACACTCCCTCCCACATGGGACTGCTGGCTGTGCGCCCCCGTAGTGCGTGGGGCTTCCCATTGCTGTGGCGGCCCCTGAAGGGCACCTGGCAGGTGGGGTGCCCTCACTGAGAACCTCAGAAAGGCTTAATTATTAACATGGAATGGAGTCAACCTGCAGGCAAAGAACTCTTATTCCCAGTTTAACTTAAAGGAGCTTGAATGCTCAGTCATGTGCATAGTGACTTTCCTCTCATTTCTTTTCTGGTCTAGCTTAGTGGTCAGATTTAATGTGCATGAGAATTACCGTGGATGGTCATATAAACAAAGCCATGTACGGACTGTGCCCAAGCACTGTAGCCTTAAGTGCTGCTAGAGAGCCCCTGTGCACGCTCTAGGTGGCTTCTTGGTGTTGACTTCTTCGTATGTGTTGTCTCCCCTAGATATGTTCCTTCTAACAAGTGGAGACCACCATAGGTTTTTTATTGTTTCCTGGCAGCTCTCATTATCTGTGAGAATATATCAAAAGCTCTACAATGATCAAGGGCAGAGTTAACTTACTACAGAGAGTTTTCTGGAAGCCTCAGTGATTCCTCACCAGTTATCGGTAATGCAGGGAGGGAGATGCTGGCTCTGTTTGCAGGTAGCATTCTGTCTCTGAGGCTCTAAGAGAAATTCCAAGGAAAGGGAGCCAGGGGAATAGCAGGAGGCTCTGTCATCCTTTGACTTTTTGTTTAAACTTAGTTATGGAAACAGGAAGAGCCTAGAACTGCAGAATTATTGTTGCTAAAAAAGAGGATGGGGGTACACGCAATATAAAATTTTATATTTATTTTATGAAGGAAAGAAAATTTGAAGTTTCCAGAGATGATAAGCCTAATATATTTAAAGGTATAAAATATTTAGTAATAAATGTTTTAAAGTATTTGTCCCTAACTGTTGCTTTGTTTACTTGTTCTCGGGGGGCCTGCAGTATACCTGGAGCTGAGAAAACCCCTCCCGAGGAGCAGGACATGGAAGTCGAGGAGGCTGGGAGCCCCGCTGATGATCCCGAAGAGAAGCTGGAGACAGTCGAGAGTCTCGGCAGCAAGTTAAAGAAGGTTTTGTCACTTCCTGACCCTAGCGTCAAATCTACCAAAGAAGTCGTCTCTGAGAACAGTTCAGCAAAACCTGATGAATCTTTGTCTGGTATCAACATTCTTTGTAACACCAACAAGAACACCCTAGGCGATGATCAGCTCTCTAAACTGTGTGACCCTGGGGACTTAACAGATGATCAGAGCAAACCATCCCAAGATGTAAAAGGGACATTAGTAGAGAGTCCACAGGACACGGTGCCAGTGGAAACTGTGGAGAAGTTGAGCCCAGCTCCCTCGGCACATTCAGAAGATGGACGTGAGTGTCAGGCCCTGGCTTACCTCGGGAGAGACAGAGGCAAGGACGAGGAAGACCTTCCCAGCAGCATGGGCGTGTGTGCTGAGGGGCTGCCCCCTCCTCAGCCAGATAAGACCACAGGAGATCCTTCAGAAGGGGACACTGAGCAGAGCCATGCGGAGAGATGTGATGAAAGTAAGGTGGGACAAAAGGTCCGGGATCGTTCTCCAATTAAGGAAAAGATCAGTAGCCTAAGAAAAGTTGATCGAGGACATTACCGTAATCGAAGGGCTCGTTCCTCCAGCGGAGAACACGCAAAGGAAAGTAGGAGCAAAACCGAGGACCATTATTACAGAAAGCGCCGCTCCTATGTCCGAGAGCGGTCCAGGCAGGACCGCTACACTACAGAGCACTGCAACGGGAGCCAGCACCACCTGAACCACGGTGACAGAGTCAGCCCCGGCGAACGCCACTCTCTGGTCAGGTACAGCTACCACCACTCTCGAAACAGAAGTGGATCTGACCAGGACTGGAACAGGTACCACCATGCAGAAGGTGAACACATCTGGGGCCGGGAGAAATACTACCCAGATAAAATGAGGTGGGACAAATGCAGGTACTACCACGACAGGTACGCTCCTTACACAGCCAGGGAGTCTCGGGAATGGAAGCCCTTCCCTGGAGGCCGCGAGCCCGACAGAGCAGGGCAGCGCCATGGCCGGCTGCACAAAGACTACTACAGGAGCCGCAAGGACTACGAGGTGGCTGCCAAAGAGAAGGTACGGCACCATCTCAGCAGCCCCCGAGCAGGCCCGCCCCACTCCCTTCCCCCCTACCCCGAGAAGTTCTCACATGACAAAATTGCACTCGGAGCCGAAGACAACAGTTGTAACCTCTCTGATCGGTTTCACGAACATGAAAATGTAAAGTCACGGAAAAGGAGATATGATAATGTAGAAAATAATGACAGTCACGTAGAAAAGAAAGCCCAGAGAAGCTTACAAAAGGATCCCTTAGAAGAGCCTAAAGTGAAGAAGCACAAAAAATCAAAGAAGAAAAAGAAATCCAAAGACAAACACCGAGATCGCAATTCCAGGTGAGGTTGGGCTGTGGGCGCCCAGCGGTGGGCAGGAGCTCGCGGTGCCCTCACACCTTCTCGCAGGTTCTCATGCGTCAGCTCGCTTAGCCTTGTCTCGTCTCACCCAGCTTTTAGGAACAAGTGAATGCCACAGTTACATTTGTTTAATTTGTAGTTTTCATCCCTGTGAGTTTTGAGATCTCACTGTTTTTATACATTTGTAAAAATAAGTTTTGCTTTTAAGCTGTATCTTAATTTCATTGTATCAAATGCCTAATAACTTCATTTTTCAAAATGATATTGCCAATTTCAGTCAATGCTTTATAACACTTCCAGGATTTTCTGTAAATGAAAAGTTGGGAGTCTTTGACTTCAGACTTGGTGATAATATTCTTACTTGTCAGATGTAGTTGTGTTTTTGTGTCTGTTATATTTTCTTCAAATGCAGTGACTGTGAGGTAGGCGGACACTGGGAGGCACAGTTCTTAACATTTGCGTGCCTGCCGCCCAAAGTGGGGACCCGAGACACATCATTTGTTTCTTTGGCTTTAGTCTGTTTTTTCTGTCTCCATTTCTCAATTTTAAGTTTAATTGGGAGATTTTTTTTTATATTTTTAAAGAGCTAAATTGGTTAGTGATTGTCTTAAAAGTGACATATCCATGAGGAGGGGACACATGAGCGTGAACAGAATTCTGCTTTAGTGATGTCTTAGTTTTAGTGATGTCTCTTAAAATTCTAACCCTGGGAAAAGATTATCAAAAGCCTTATGTGGGAAAAGGAAACCATAAGCATCTTTTCCTCCTATGTGCCTGAGACAGGTAGCAACAGTATTATTTTTTCCCTAAGACACTGGTTTCAGGAAAAGCTAACAGAGGGTCGGCCCACAGCCTCAGCTCCTGAGAACACCGAAGGCAGTGGTTGGAGTGTTCAGTGGTGGAGTTAAAGTTGGTGAATTTATGACCCTGATCTTAAATTATTACAGTGAAAGCAAACAACATATTGTTAATTAGATAAGAATTTCACCTGTTTGCACCATGCGTGTCCTCAGAAAGTGGGTATAAAAGCCCAGGAGCAAGACCTGTTGGAGGGGGTTTTGTTTTTTTGGTGGTTTGAATTCTGGCTTTTCTTCTGCAGGCATCAGCAGGAGTCGGACCTTTCAGTAGTTTGCTCAGATGCTGACCTCCACAGACACAAAAAGAAAAAGAAGAAAAAGAAGAGACATTCAAGAAAATCAGAGGACTTTTTTAAAGATTCAGAACTACACTTACCTAAGTCCGCCGACTATGAGACTGTTGACCGTTTCCGGAGATCCGAGGGCGGCTTTCTACTCACCGATGGCCTGCTTCCGGAAGGGGTCGGACCTTTCCGTGAGAAAACAAAGCATTTAAGGATGGAAAACAGGGACAACAGGGGTCATCTGTTTGAGTATGGCCAGGGTAAGAGGAGATAATTGGAAATAAGAAGATAGAAACTATTTTTTAATCTTTTTTTTTAAAAAGTGATCAACACAACAGGGGAAAAAAACCTTTGATGGCATCAAAGGGTATACAGTCAAAAAGAGTCCCCGTCCTGCCCCATTTCACCCAGCCTCGATTCTCCAACAAGGAGTGAGATTGAGTTGTGTGGCTTGGCTGCTGTGTGCCGATCCCTCGGTACCTGCTGTGAAGGCCTAAGTTCCACGGAGTCATCCCGCTGGGACTTAGGGCCCTGAGTATCTTTGAGTCGTTGCCTCAAGAAGGACCAGAATTTTTGGTTTTAAAGCATTTTTGATAGAAGTATTTCTGTAATATATGCTTTATTCTCCTGAATCCTTAAGCCTATAGCATTCTGAGTATAACCTAACTCCTAATCTGGGCCATTAGCAACAGTAGCTGTCATGCCACCAGCACGATGCCTTTGAGTCCTCTGCACGCCAGGTCTATGGCTCCCACCAGGCTGCTGTGTGTCTGGGATTCTTGTGTCTGTTTTGCACAACTGTGTCTTCTCTCATAATTCATTAGCCCTGTGTGCTCTCTGCACGTAAGGCTGCCTTCTCCTTCTTTCTAATTGTTTCCAATGAACTTTGACCCCAGAAAGGAACACTGAGTTTGTTAAAATGGATGTAATAAGTCAGTGGACCTAGAGCAGAGGCCTTGGGCTGGCTTTGTCCTGTCATCTGTCTATATGACCTGAGAGTTAAGAATGGCTTTAACATTTTTAAGTGGGTGGGAAAAAAATCTCTAGTATTTTGTTTCACTTGAAAATTACGTGACATGAAAATTTCACTGTCTGTAGCCTTGTATCCGAGCTCAGCTAGGCTTGTTTACATTGTCTGACTGCTTTGGTGTTGCTATTCAGCAGAGGTGAGTAGTTGCAACAGAGGCTTGTGGTCCAAAAAGCTGAAAATGTTTATTATTTGGCCCTTTACAGAAAATGTTTGTCGACTCTTGACCTGACATCTGAGGTTCACATTTATGAATAAAGCGCATGTATATCATGGCAGGGACTTTGACACGTCATCTTGGTTGCCCAAAGGCATGTATTACGGATTCAGCTGTGTATTCTAGGGGGAGGCTCGGGAAGGGGAGCAGGCCTGTCCCTTCCAGAGGCCCACACTCAGCGTGTGATATTGATGGAGGAGTAAATGGTCCCCAGAGTGTCATTGTGAAGGAACCAGGGAACGTCAGGGTGGAGTGTTCCATGGGAAGAACAGTTGCACCAGGAAGTGTTGGGGGAAATCTGTGGCTGATGTGGCCAGTGGAAAGAACCACCATTGCCTGCAAGAAAGGGAAGCTAAAGTGGCATTTGCTCTTGTTTTTTAAGAAATTATCATACACATTTTAAAATTGGTTTTACATTAACAGTTCAGTGATTTGGGGAAGTGGATTGTTGAGGATGGATTCCTTTCTGACCTCTGCTGGGTACTTGAGGATGAAGTAGTGAGATGGGCTTGTTCTGTGTATCGTGCGGGCGGGGTCCCAGGATTGTTTCAGAATCTCCTGTTCCAGCCGCAGGTCTCTATTGTACAGACAGTGGCTGGCAGCTCAGGCCCCAGAGAATCTAAGTCTAGAGAAGAGGGAGGTTGAACATGAACCTCAGTATTTGTCTCGCATAAGGCAGACGAATGTCGTGGGGGTGCTACTGTCAGGCTTTGTGTCTGAGTGGTGGCCCTGTGTTTCTATCCCCAATCTAGTTGCACTGATAACTGGTTTCGGATTGGTACTTGTTCCGTGAGCACTGTTCCGTCCCGAGAAGGGCCACCTGCTTGGCCTTGCCACGCTGAGCCATCCTTCTCAGCTGCCTGAGGACAATGTCCTCCAGGCCTGCCACTGTCCTGGGCTTTGGCCGTTTATCTTTCTCTATCAAATTCCTGTTGTCTGGCTGTGTTCCACTTTCAGTTCATTCTTTTCCTAAGATCTGTTCTTTCCTAATGTTAAAACGTTCAGGCCGGGCGTGGTGGCTCACGCCTGTAATCCTACCACTCTGGGAGGCCGAGGCGGGCAGATTGCTCAAGGTCAGGAGTTTGAAACCAGCCTGAGCAAGAGGGAGACCCTATCTCTACTGTAAATAGAAATTAATTGGCCAACTAATATATATAGAAAAAATTAGCCAGGCATGGTGGTGCATGCCTGTAGTCCCAGCTACTCGGGAGGCTGAGGCAGAAGGATCACTTGAGCCCAGGAGTTTGAGGTTGCTGTGAGCTAGGCCGACACCACGGCACTCAACTCTAGCCTGAGCAACAAAGTGAGACTCTGTCTCAAACAAACAAAAAATGTGCGACAGGCTGAGGATGGCCTTGTTCCCGGCACGTGGCTTTTGTTGCATCCTTCTACCAGGACCATGGCCCTCAGCGATCACGTGAACTCTTGTGTTCTGTGGAACGTGCCATTGTGTGCGCCAGTATATACTTGCCATCCTCATGCAGGATTGAACTCAGGCCACTAACGTTAGAATTGATTCTCACTATAGTCACTGAATGCACAGACAGAGTACAGGCACTAAAATTTTGCAAAGCCATCATTAAAATCTGTTTCCTAACCTTTGCTTTCTAGGTAATTGAAAACTCGGCCTCAAAACAAAACATTCACTAGTTACGGTAAGCTGTTTTCCTGTCTACATTTCGTAATTGTTTGTGGAGGCCCTGAGGAGACCCAGATGAAGGAATTTTGAAGAAAACATAGGGCCCTAGGGCACTGCTGCAGCCCAGCGGCTGGGGCCACACCTCATCCGTGATACATGCTTAGGCCTCGTCTCACCAGCCTTGCCTTTGTTGGCTAGGTGAGATCCGTGTCCCTCAACTCAGGCGGAATCACCCCGTTTCCTCCCCCTTGTTTCATTGTAGGAAAAGCCAACAAAATTCAAAGCATGAGAACCAGCAATGTTCAAATTAGTGTGTGGAGCTGGGGAAGCCTGTCTCCCCCTCCCCCCATCTCCCTAATTGGCTTGACCCAGGAGAGGACCCTGCATTTTGCCACTTGCCCCATCCCTTGTTCCTGTGCTGCCACAGCACCTGCCGGTCTGAGACCTGGGCTTAGTGTGCCTCATGCTGCACACCCAGCTGCTGGTGAGGCACCCAGGCCAGACTTGGAAGTCGCCCTGCGCACAGGACCAGGCAGCCGCCTCACGTGGAATGCCTGCGGTATCCGAATGACGCTTGACAGAGCAAAACCTTTGGGCCAAGGCATTTAACTCTGGTCCTGGGAGATAGTAATTCATGTTTTATACCCTACACTTGCTGAGGTAAAAGGGATAATGAACCATTTTGCCCTGGAAAGGAAATTTTGTCCAAATGTTTCTGTCACATCTAATCAGCAAGGGGAATTTTAAATGAATTTCAAAGTGAATTGTCTACAGATTAATTTGCTATTAATTAAGATGCTTTATCAGTGTGTCCTCAAGGGAAAGACCTAAACCTAATTAAGGAATTAAACTGATAGAGTGAAAGAGGGAATTTAAGGATTGAGGCGGATTAGCAGCTGTTTGGGTCGGGCAGGCAGGTGGCACCTTCGTTTACCCGCCGGCCACGCGCTCTGTACATCTGCCCAGTGTCGCCAGGTTCCCTTATTTCCATTCAGAAAGGCAAAGTGTGACCGTTTCAAGGAAGAAGAGCTTCCCCAAAGACCTTGGGGACTGGCTGGCAGGGAATCCAAGAACAAGTTACTGATGTCACAGGAAGGAGAGGCCTGCCCTGGGGCTCACCTGGTTCTGCCCCAGCTTCCTGCCTCTGGACCTACTAACGCTGCACCTCTTGTCTTTCAGATTCAACGTGTTCAACAGAAGCCATCCCCAACCCAGCTTAAATTATAAATACGGAAAATAACTTTGTTCAAATCTGCGTGGTGCTTCTTTAGTAAATATTGTACAGATTTTACCATGGAGAACTTTTTTTTTTAGTTTTTACCTTTTCTTAATTACCCTTCCGAAAGGATGAACACTTTCTACAACAACTGCTGACCATTGTAAAATACCGTGTATATAAATCACATTGAAAATAATGCCCTGGAATAGAACATCTCAAATGCTGCTTAATTACAGACTCAGGTTGATTACTTGTATTTCATGTAATGTTCCTCCAAGTTAGACATCTGGTGCAAGACCAACCGGGAAACCATGGAATTGTTAAAAGTACAAACTGACAGTGTGTATATTTAATTTAAAGACTTATTTAAAAATTCACAAGCTCTCAACTACACTTCGAGAGCAGTGTTTTCTGTAATGTCTGATACTAGAAACTAATTTGCTTCATATTTTAGTTGTATTCAAGATTTGAAGATGTATTTTATAGACAAGTTCTGTTTTTGAACTTTGTGGAACTGTTCAATCAATTTCCCAGTTATGATGAGTATTCACATTATGAATGTATAACCCAAACATTATTTGTAAAGCCTACAGAATGTTTTTATTACATAACACTTTTTTATACAGTGTCTCTTGTCTTGACTGTATGATATTGGAGTCTGAGTTGTCAGCTTGGTCCCTTAAAGTTTCTAGTTACAGACAAAATCATACTGTGATTTTATTTTTAATATGGATATGCTATCAAACTGTGATACACTTATAATTCACTGGTCCTGCATCAGGAGATGGAGTGGGGAAAACTGTATTTAATACAGTTTGTATCTGAATAATCTGTATGGTTTATACAGTTTGTGTTGTTCAGAGATGTCTAAAGTTTGATCTTTGTTTTTTTAAAGATTAAAAAAGCACTTGCCCCACTGTAAATATTCAGCATGTAAAATTTATATAGTATATAAATGGCAGCAAATTACATATTTTGTGTTGTCTGTTTACTGCTGTTTTCGCCATCTGCTTCCAGACTCCTTCCTGTCGTCTGTACTCACTTTCCTGAAACCAACAAAGCCTCTGCCACAGTCCCTTAGTTGGCACCAACCCTGGGGATGGGTGAGGGAAACAGTCTGCTGGACCCAATGATATCTCTACTTGAACGAACCAAGTTGTAGACAAAAACTTGTTTTCATGACTTTTATTTAGTGAACACAGTATTTGCAAGAGTTTTGACAGCCATACACCACCCAGTCTTACTGTTCACTTTACAACCAAATATCTGATACAGGATATTTCTCATGCAAGTTATGGGAGTATATACACTGAATAACACACACTCCAGAAGTCAATATATATGTACATTATTTACATATTACTATATTTACTGTAAATAGAAACATTTTCTAAGAAAAAAATAAGAAAATGAGAAATCACAACTTAGGTTTCTGGTCTACAACAGACCTAACTTCTCAGCAAAGCACATCTATGTAGATATAATGCATCTATAAGTTTAAAAATATGCATTGCTTTATATGAAGCATTAAGTGCTGCTTCATCCATAAATAGCTCCTATTTTGACCCAGTTTGGTACCACATTAAACTGCCCCAAAACACTCTGTGGCCCTGAAGACATCGATGGTTGCTTATCTGGGTCCAAGATCAGTCCAATTAAACCTCAGGTGTTAGCCAGGGCCTAGCAAGACAAGCTGGAGCGGCTGTGGAAGCCACCCTCTCCCACCCAGGGTTCCTCTTCACTGCCCACTGCCCTTTGTCTCTGGAGGAAAGTTTGTCTTTGGCCAGAGTTGGGACTAATAACTCAAGCACTGTGCGTAGACATCCGGGTGGGGAGGCAGCTGGACATGATGGATCACACTGAGGCTCGGGCAACAAAACCATGCCCACGCACCTCAAGGAATGGCAGAGCCATCCTGCTTCAGGGCAGCCCTGGTGGAGGCCAGTCCCACACAGTACCTGACTGGCAAGTGTTCTGGACCAGGTGTGCCTGAGGGCTAAGCAGGCGTGATGGCTGTGTGCCCTGTGTGTTAATACTGTCATAACAAAACCTGGAGTTAGGTGATTTCACATAACATGTCACCTAGACTCTAAGCACCAAGGCCTCCTGCAGCACTTCTGGGGGAAGCACGTTCACAGACGCCCACAGCAGAGAAACCATTATTATTAGGTGACTCCTTTATGCTCACTTCTTCCAATACCCCAAAGACTGAAAGCTCCGCATCCTCAGGGTTATACCTGGGTTGGACAGTTAGGAGAAAGGAAATGGCTTGTCCTCATGTGACATACTGACAGAACTGGCACTGGGGCCAGCCTGAGGGGTGGGCACTGCCGAAGGAGCCCGTCATCAGTGTTTGGTCTGGGGGGTCCAGGCAGAGCTGCTGTTTTCATGGAAGACTGGAGGCCAGAGTTGCATATATACCAGTCAGGCATCTCAAGATTCCTGACTTGCCTTTCTCAAAAACTAAAGATTCAAATTTGAGGTATCAGTACAGAAGCAAAGCCTAGAAACTTGGGAATGAACCAAAAAATTATTTCAGCTTGATGCGTAGAGTTATGGCCTTGTACCCCTTTACACTCTGTGACTTAAAGGTACACCAGGGTCAGCTGCATGGAGGCAAGGGCTCCCATTTGAGGCAACTCGTGGGAGTAGTTGCTTTTGTTTAGAATGAACCTAAGTGCATCCAGTCTGAGGTTTTCTCTCCTGGACTGTCGTTTTGCACTGGAGCACAAAGGACCTCCAAAGGGTGCATGTTCAAGATGTGTGTCTACACAGGGCAGGGAGGGGAGGTCTGTGGGGGAAAGCCATCTACCAACTGAACAGCCCTCACATGCAAAAGTCTATGAAGCGGAAATAAAGCTCCTGATGGAGTGTGGCATCTGCCACCAGCCATCTTAGTCTGAGCACACGGCACCCCGTCCAGCCTCGTGGCATGTCCATGTGCAGGGCCAGATCCAGCGTCCCTTCAGCAGACGTACCGAGCACCTGCTACTCTAGGCCATGGCAACCTGACCACCTCCTGGATGTGGCGCTTTGCAAGTTCCACCACTGCTGTCTATATCAGGTTCTAACTGTTCACAGAAACCCTAAGTGCCCCACCGCTGCACCCATGGATCGCTCTCTCCCTGCTGATGGGGGAGCAAATCTATAAAGACATGGTGAGCAAGACTGATTATTTCTAGTTACTTTTGTGTCTATTCATTACATTAAGAAATGTGGTCAAATTATAAGGTCAGTAAAATAAGCACTCATCTGGCCCAAGGTTTTAAATAGCGATGGATGGGGTCAAAAGCTGGTCTGACCCATGTGTTCAGATGAACCATATGACACTGTGTGGATGAAAAACAGTCAAATATGAGCAGTTACATGTGGTTCAACATATGGACAATCTGTATCCAGGGGAAAAGCACTGTTTCCTAGGATTAGCAGTTACGGGATGAACACCCCCAAACCATAATCATTGTATTTTAATGATTTGTTTCTTTAGAAAGTATTTGCGGGGCCAAAAAGTCTGAGTTGAAGCACACTGAAGCCTCCTCAGGACACCAGATGGCTCCCTCCCCAGTGGACCCCACAGGAGCCACACCAGCTTCTACCCAAGTGCAAGTGCTCCCAGCCCACCCTTTGGGTGCTGCATATATATGTATTTTTTTTCAGTGCACAGTATATACTTATGTCCAGGAGTTAACTTTATAGCTGCCATTCTAAAAATACTACTGTTAGAAAGTATCTTGTTATAATTTGAGGATATAAAAAGGCATATAAAAGCTATAATCCTATATATCTGAGAAAAAATCCTGAATACAAAATCGGTAGCTTTTCCTTTCCTGTTTTGATATAAAACAGCGGCTTCTAGAACAGTTAACACTGCCACAAGCGAGCACGTTTGGCATGGTTCAGACGAGGCTCCCGCCTATGGAAACGCATCCCGCGTCTGCTGCACAGGTTTCTCGGCTGAACCACCAGGCGCTGCTGCTGAGAAACTGGGGGGGGGGGTGCCATTTGGACACCTCCCTCTGTGGGCACCAACAGTCTCGGGAAGGAAGTGCTCCTGAAGCTGATCCGATCCCAGACCACAGCACAAGGCTTCAGGATATGCAGTTTGGGCCCTGGGTGCTCATTCTGGAGAGGCTGTGAGCGCCCACACGCCCACCACCTCCTGGCCACGCCAGCTCAGGCAGTGGCAGCTCAAGGCATCTGGGGAAGCCTCAGTCACTGTCTGCTGTGGGGTTTGGGTCTTTACTTTCACCTGCTCAAGCCGGGAATGCTCTATTTTTTATTGGCAATCCTTCGTTTCCTTGTTGCCAGCATGTCATAGAAGGGATCCCTACTGATACTCGCCCTGGTGAAAAAAGAAAACAAGCAGGTCAAGTCAGAGGATGGTGCTGGTAGTGGGGAGCACAAACCTCTCCCGACACCCATGGAGGTTCCTGGAACAAGACAGACTCTGAGCTGTGAGGTGGCTTCAGCAGCCCGGGCCTCCTGGGAGTCCCTGGAAACAGAAGGGTCACTTCTTGCACACGGAAGCATCTGTGTCCTCAGTAGGCGCACGCGGGCACACACTCTCCCCCTCTGCAACTGAACCCTGTGCTGAGGCCCGGCACTCACCTGATGGATTTCATCCACTCCTCCTTCTCCTCGGGGCTGGGGGCAGAGATCCGGTACACCACATGGTTCCCCTCCACCACGCGGCCGTCTGCTTCCGTCTTACAGGCTTTGATGACCTGCCCTTTGTGGCTTGGATTATAAAGCTCAAAACAGTTCTGGTGGAGAAAGAAAGAGACGAGAGGCCGTCACAGGGGCTCTAGGGGAAGGTTCTCATGCAGCCAGTGAGTGTGGGTCCCAGCTGGTTGAAAGGAGAGAAGTTGCAAAAGGAAGCAGCTTACAGGTTTCCGGGGGTCTTCCACCTCCCTGATGCTGAGATTTTCCAACGGGATGATTCCTCTGGGCTCCTTATCCTGCAAGAAAAGGTGCACTGCTGGAACCACTGCAGGTCACTGGCCTGAGGGTCCCCCAGCACAGGAGTGGCTCTGGTTATGAGGACCAGGCAGGTCGCCTTTACTTACTGTTGTGTATTCAAAGTAATAGAGGCAGTTATCTGTCAGGATGAACCACCGGCGCTTCCAGGTCTTCACACGCCCTCCTAGAAGCAGAAGGGCCTCATGAGTCAGGAGCTCGGTGCTGAAAGGGCCCAAGGGCCCAGAAGGGGGGCCCAGAACCTACACAAACTACTGCATTTTCAGAAAGGCCACCCGGAGCCAAGCTTACATAAGTATCCTTCGATGTTCTGACCGCAGTCAGCAAAGTCCCGGATGAGCTGTGTGGCCTGGCTGTCGAGTGGGCCCCGCATGCACCCCCACCCAGGCCCGCACAGGCGCCCTCAGAGCACTGTGGGGCACCCTCGGTGACACATGGCTTTTCAAATCTGCTTCCTGGAAGGGTTAGTCGTAGTGGATGGGCATAATTTCCCCACATGAAATGACAACATGATGAAGTCAGTGCCGGCTCACCCGAGTCCATCCAGGGCTTAATCCTGTTACGTCAGGGTGGTTATCGCATTACTGAGTGCTTTGGGCGGCCCTGGGATCCATCGAAATCAATTACCCCTCGGCCCAGGGAATTATTAGATTGAATTAATCTTTTAACAAGATCTGGAAAACACATGTGTACACACACACACACGGCTCATCTGTACCTACTCTCCTTGTACTGTAGGAAAGGAAATCTCTTTTACCCTTAAATATTCAGAGACAGTCAAACTGACTTCAACTGCTAGCCCTTGCTTCTGACACCAAATTTTGATTTAAATAATTCAAAGAGAAAAATATGCTCATGGCAACAAATCCAAGTGCTGTCTGGGTACTAGGTGAGAGGCGGCTCTCCTGCCTCACGGTTCCCCACAGTGGCTTTCTCTACAACACGCAAGCAGGAGAGGAGCCCTCGGAGGCCGTGAGTCAGAGGCCCTCCCTGCATGGAGGGTGGTGCGGGAGATGGGGCATGAAGACAGGGTGGCAGGAGGGCCGTGCCAGTTACCAGGAAACGTGAGGGGTGCTGGGCATAATCCCTAGAGGCTGGATGTCCCCAGGACTCAGGTGGAGGCTTCCCTGGCCTCTGACTGGGCTTTGGTTTGCAGAGACCCAGGGTGAGGAAACAACCAGCTGCAGGAGGGAAGTGGCCCTGGCCCGGCGGTGCTGGCATGTGGAGGGGCATCTCTGCAGCTGTCTGGGGCCCTCTTACCCTGCCTCACTCCTCGGCCCCTCCGATGGCCTAAGGCAGCCTACTATGGGCCACAACCACTGAAGCACATCCAGCTGTCCCTCCCGATCCCCAGACAGACCTGCCACATGGCTCCATCCTCACCAGCATCCCACTCCACCTATCAAAGGATCTGTCCAAACATCCATCTGACCATATCCCTCCCGAGATTGCCGCTGCATCTCCCTGGCCCTCAGACCCTCTGAACCCTCTAGCTCATGCCTACATACCACAAGGCTTTTGTTCAGGACATTCCTCCAGCCTGGAGTGTAATTCCTTCTTGTCAACATTTCTCCTGACCTCTGGCCTGGGCTCTGGCTCCCCAAACCCGTGTGCAGCTTCACCACTGGAACCTTCAGCTCCCTGTGGCATGGAGCCCACCCTATTCATGCCGTTGGAGACCTAGCACAGGCTGGGCATGAAAGGCCTACAGCCCCCAGGGATACCTGTCTGTCTGGTCTCATCTTGGGCTTCATGATTCATGCCAGCCCTTGGACATCAATTCTCTCAGGCCTGCTGGAACATAACAGGGAGGTCCAGTCCAGGGGTAGAAGGAGACTCTCTGGGCAACTTTGCCTTATCCCAAAGTCCTCTAGTGACATGAGGGACATGGGGAAAGAGAGAGGCATTCTACGTTCCCCTAAGACCACAGGAACAAGAGGACAACGCTGATTCTTTCCAGATACTTGCCCCCAGCCCCAAGATGCTACAGCAGAATCAGCTGACAGCAACCTCCACCATCCTGATATCCGTCCCCGCCACCTCTGCCTTCTTCCAGAGACTTCCACAGCAAGCCCTTCTCCAGCTGTGCTGGTGCCTGGGCCACTGTTCTCCAAACAGCAATCAGAGACATCTTTTGAAAAGTGTGAGTTGACCACATCTCCTTGCTTGAAGCCCTCAAAGAGCCTGACTATGCTCAGATGAGACCCACACTCTATGGACAAGCCCCAAGTTCTCAGAACATCTGGCCAAGAGCCCCCAGGCTGTGCATCCCTGTCTCTGTCCAGCACCTGCTCTCTTTCACACTTTCATGGTGGATGATTAAGGGTTGGTCTGCGCATTCTGCTCACCTCTACGCGGCCTGGCCCCATGCAAGGGGGTTGCCCAGAAAGGCCTCTCATGTCCCACCCTGGGCTCCAGCCTCACACTGTATCAGAGTCAGCAGCACGTCTGCAAAGCCCAATCCCTGTCCAGTCCTCAGGGCCAGGGGAGCCCCACAGCTGGGGCTGCAGATGCCCAGACTAAGGCGTGTCATCTAGGCCAGCCCCAGAGCCCAGCGCAGCCCAGGCACCCTCTCCGCTCAGACTTGGGTCCAACAGGGTCAGGGTGAGGCCCTTGATCTCAGAGCTACAGCAGGTTCTGTTCATATGTGTTTCTGGCCACATCACACAACACTCTCAGCTGCAGACAGGAGTCTGGCTTCTCCTAAATGGTATAAGACCCACCGTCTCTTTGTAAATTTCTCTTTACTTTCATTGCTGTTCCCAGGTATGTGCACAGGTGCAACATGTGTCCATATGCATGAACAGGCATACCAATATACCTTTTCTCCTCAAGTTTCTCAGCTCAACTCTGACCACATCCTATGTTTACAATACAGTTGACTGTCAAAACTGTGTCTTAAATTACTTGACAATCATAAGTCACACTTGTGCACACCACAATCCTTCTATGCTCTGGCAAAGCATTCAGGTCTTTTTAAAAGACCGCCTGTGGGGCCAGGCACAGTGGCTCCTGCCTGTAATCCCAGCACTTTGGGAGGCCAAGCCAGGGGGACTGCTTGAGGCCAGAAGTTTAAAACCAGCCTGGGCAACATAGTGAGATCCCCATCTCTTAAAACAAACAAACAAACAAAAAACTCAGGAAAATTAGCCAGGCATAGTGCACCTGTAGCCCCAGTCACTTGGGAGGCTACAACTGCCGCACTCCAGACTACAGCCTGGGTGAGAGTGAGACCTTGTCTCTTAAAAAAAAAAAAGGAAGAGGAAGGGAAGAGGAAGGGAGGGAAGAGGAAAGGGGGGAAGGGGGAAAAGGGGAGAAGGGGAAAGAGGGGAAAGGGGAAAGGAAAGGAAAAGAAAAGAAAGGAAAAAAAAGACCACCTACTCTAAAATTCAGTTTACAGTAAGAATTCAACTAAAGCTGGATTACGCCTCTGAGTGCTTGCTTGGAAACACACATTCTTGATTCTGCACCCATCTCACGCCTCTAGCCAAGGTCTTGTGTCCCGGCTGTGCTAGCCCTGTGCTAGAGAGGGACTCTGTGACCTCAGAGCAGGGTCACACCTAGGGCTGACCCAATGAGCCTTCAGAATTGGCTTCTGGTACCTCTGCTGCCTCCCCAGCCCTTTGGGGACCGACACCACCTGGCCATGTAGTGGCAAGGGCCTGTGCCTCGGTACCAACAACTTGGCTCCTTCACAAAAGCTAGGAGGAGGCCCATGAGCAGAAGCATCTCTGGGTACCTCCAAGCTCTGGAAAGAAACCCCAGCACTGGTTAATCCAGCCCACCAGAGATGGGAAACCTGCTCTAGGGATGGTAACAGCTTGCAAGCGTTTGGTCTCAGACTTAACTCCTGAGAACAGCAGACACAGAAGCTATCTGGGCAAGAGAGGGACCAAGGGAGCCAGTGCCACAGAGCAGCCGCCTGCTTGCTGAGGCCACGCCCACCCCATGCAGAAGCAGCTCCTGCTGTGCTCCTTGCCTTCCTCAGGGAGTAGGTTAGATAACACAGGCTCTGTCATGCCTTCCTTTCATTCACTCATTTATGTCTTTACAGCCAGCCCCCTCCCTTGCAAAACTGAGGGCACCCTAGCTGCCAGGCAGGTTGACAGTGTCATTGTCCCTCGAGAAGGCACTGTGGGAAACAGAAGGGAGACACTGAATCTGGCAAACACCCCACCTATTCCAGCCCTTGTGCAAAACTGCCGGTGTTCTGATGCATCCCTCCTCTCACTCCAGGCCCTGTTCTGATGCATCCCTCCTCTCACTCCAGGCCCTGTTCTGATGCATTCCTCCTCTCACTCCAGGCCCATGGGTGTGACGAGATCTGAATAAGGTGTAGATCTAAGGTCACTCAGGCATCCAAGTCCGAGGTCATGGTATTAGGTTTTTGTTTTTTTTTTTTTGAGACAGAGTCTCACTTTGTTGCCCAGGCTAGAGTGAGTACCGTGGCATCAGCCTAGCTCACAGCAACCTCAAACTTCTGGGCTCAAGCGATCCTTCTGCCTCAGCCTCCCGAGTAGCTGGGACTACAGGCATGTGCCACCATGCCCGGCTAATTTTTTAAATATATATCAGTTGGCCAATTAATTTCTTTCTATTTGTAGTAGAGACGGGGTCTCACTCTTGCTCAGGCTGGTTTCGTACTCCTGACCTTGAGCAATCCGCCCGCCTCGGCCTCCCAGAGAGCTAGGATTACAGGCGTGAGCCACCATGCCCGGCCAGTATTAGGTTTTTATGCAAACATCCAGAATTCCCCTAAACCCCAGCATAGCCAGAAAAGGCCAAAGAGCACTGGCCAGGGTTGAAGACCCCCATGGGAACGGCAGAACCGTGGGGCACACCCCATCCCGTCAGCTAAATGAGGCCTGTGCCTGTCACATTATCATCATGCCATGTCCCTTCCTCCCTCAGTAAAATTTTAAAAACACCAGAATTCTCGAGCTCTTGTGTCTGAGATGCTACATAGCAACAATCTGTTTTCAGAAGTGCTTGGGTAAAAGACAGTTGTCACATCTTTACTGTCAGTGTAAGGCAGAAATCTCCCCCCTCCCAACTGAAGTCAAAATAACCCCCTAAAAATTCCTAAAATTGCCCATAAAGTATAAAACCCATCCGGCTTGTCAACGGTGAGAAAGCCTTTAGAACATTCCCAATCTTTCCATGGGACAGGGTGCAAACATGCGCGGCTGGTTAGTATGAAGGGTGACTGGTGATGCTGCAGGGACAGGGCTGGTGACCAGCTTTCTTGCTGCTGCAGACCCTAAAGACAAGGGGGCAAGCCTGTTCCCACACAGCGTCCCCATGCGCTCCAGGTCCCCGTCACTCTAGGCCCTGCCCTTGGGGGTGGGTGCTGCATTCACCGCACCGTGCACGACGCTGACCCCAGCAAGTCCAAAGCCAAATGGATCAGATGAATGGCAGCCACAGATCGGAGCTTCACACAGACCAACGTGGGGGAGAGAAACCGAGAGAGGAATGAGCCGCTGAGGGAGGGGCAGGAAGCCACTGGGTACGTACCTCCTAACGCAGGACAAGCAGGGACAGCCCATCACAGAACAGAAAGGTGGGAGCCACAGGCAGAAGGAAAACAACAAGAAGGCACATTTAAACCACGCGTCAGAAATCACAGCCACGCCAAACCACGAGAAAGGCACACAGGCTCTTTGGAGATAAATGCACTTGCTTCTCGTACAGAAAACTGCCCTGGATTTGTCTGGACACTAACTTAGCAGTTTTCTGGAACGGGTCGTGCAGCCTAGGCATTATTCTCTGCCATGGACGCCGCGAGGGTGGCCTCGCTCTGAGATGCTACAGTTCAGAGAAGCGGTCAGCAGTTGTGGGACATGAGGATACCAAGAGTGAACTCTGGCTTAACTGCATTTTCTTTTTATCATCTCTGCATGTGGTTAGGGGCATTCGCTACCACGAGCTTGGGAGGAACCCCTCAGGGGCTGCTGCCGTGGGCTGAGGGGCCACAGCCCGGGTCCCGCTCGGCCAGGCCACTCACCCAGCTTCAGGAGCCAGCCTTCCCGGTCAGGGTTGAAGAAGGTGTGCGTCAAGTCATTCCCGTCATCCTCTGGGATTTTAAATGGCTCATTCTTAATACTTTCATACAAATTCTGCGATGAAGAAAAAACCAGCAAAGTCAGCAATTCAAACAGAGGAGAAGGGCCCATCCTTTCTCTGTCAAGCACAGAATTGGCATAAAACCCATCAGAACCATGGTGGTAAGGAGACTCTAGACAGATGTGTTTAGAGCAACAGACTGGTGCTGCCGATTTTCATACAATTTGATAATCCTGAAGATAAAACCCTCTCCCGAGACACAGCTCACAAGCAGGCTCCTGTTGGAACTCACCCTCAGCAGCTCCTCAGGGAGGTCCCCACCCTCATTGATGCCACGGTTCATGGTTATGAATCGCTCTACCGTGGGCTTGTCACGCACATTGTGGTTGTGCAGGCTGGTGTTAAGCATGATGATTGCAAACGACAGCACATAGCACGTATCTACAACACGGAGGAAGACAGCGGGAGGTTCAGCACAGGTAGAGAGTATAGAAACCCATGTGTGTTGCAGGCACACCCCACTGAGGACACCTGGCAGGAAGCGCCTGATTCCACAGGCCCATCCTCTGAAGTGGCAGGTTCCTGCAAGTGTGAGCAGGTCTGGCCAGTGGCCATAGGCAGGCCTGTCCCACCTACGGGAAGGCAGGTCCCTGGGAACACATGCTAGGACTGTGCCTGTTGGGAGCCCCCTCTTCCAGACATAGAGGCTTTGGCCAATGAGGGGCCTGGGCTCAAGCTCTGCACTGACCTGTGGACTGGAAGACCCCAGGGTTGCACAAGCAGTATCGAGAAGCGAAAGCCTCCATCATGCGATCGATTTTCTGAGCCTCCCCTGGAAGTCTGAAGCTCCACAAGAACTGCCTGCAGAGAAACAAAAACCTCATGGAATGACCATGCATGAGAACTGACCCAGCCTCACAGCACAAAGGGGAACTTCTTCCCAGCCTGGGTACAGCTCTGGTAGGGGTATAGAGGGGTACAGAGCTGGGAAGGAGAAGGACGACTCAGTCTCCTTCCATTCAATAATCCAAGGTACATTTACTGATTGCCCATCTTTTTTTTGTGACTATAACCATTTCAGCAGCAAGGCCTGCTGCTTCCACCTTAAAATAAATGTCCAGGACCCTTGCACTACTCTAACCCCATCTGCTTCTGTCAGGTGATCACCAGAGCCCTGCCACGTCCCCATGCCATGGAGTCCTGACAGGACCATGTTCCCCTCTCAGTACTCCCACCCACAAGGCAAAGCCATAGTTGACAGAATGGCTTCCAAGACCCCACCCACACCGACGGGTGCCTTGCTGGGCAGACACACCCCCATCTCAGACCCAGCCTGCAAATGCTCTTGTCCTCAGATAGCCCCTGCCCACCGAGGTCTCCCAGGGCTACCCTGACTAGAACTGCAACCCCCACCCCCATTCTCTGTCACCTACCACCACCAAGTCCCTCCATCCACTACCTACCACTCGCTGGCTAGGAGCCCCAGGGCAGGGGCTGCAGCCTGTCTTATTCCCTGCTGGTCCCCATGACCAGTCATGACATCACACACCAGCTGCTCAGCAATAACTGACACTGCAGCAGATTTAACACAAGGGCTGGGGCTCACACTAGACCTAAGGGCTCCAATTAAGTTTCTGGGTTGTCCGAAGTATTAAAATATTGATCCTACCAGCAATCAAGATGGGAGGACATGCTCTCATCCCTGCTGGGGCTCTTGCTCCTCTGCAAGTCCCTTAAATGGGGCTGTTCCCTAGTGTTCCTCCTCTGTTCTCCCTTCCTGGGATTCTAGCCACATTCAGGACCCCCTCAGGCAGGATCCATCTCTTTGGCCCACCCTGCATCACCAGCCTTCCAACTCCTCATGGCTGTCTGTCTTCTGCTTTCTTGGGCCAGCCACCCTGATGCCATCCTGACTCTCCTTCTCTCTGCCCCATGTTCACCAGCAAAGCACTGGTCCTGTCCACTGCTGCACCCCACAGCAGGTGGTATGTTCTAAGTCAGCCTGCCTGCCCTCTGCCCCTCACAGGTTTCCCTCAGAGTAAAAGCCAAAATCCTTAGAGCAGCTCCTTAGACTAGAGGACCTGCCCCCACCCCACCCGTGCCCTCACCTGGCCTACTGCAGGGCTGCGCCAGACTTCAACACCTATGAAATTTACTACAAATTTCTTTGGCTCTGGGCCAGAGACCAACAGACAAAAAGAAATGAATCACAGCTACAATGGCCATGCTGAACACACCTCCCAGACTCACTAGGCCTGTACCTCTCCCTGGATGTACACCTTTCAAAAACTGAATCTGATAAACTTGAATTATGGCTGAAGTCTTCACATCTGTTGCTAACTATCAGCGCCGTTCAGCCCCAGGCTGAGCTGCTGAGCATGTCACGAGAGTCACATAGAAACACTATCAACACTTCAGTATGCAGCTGAGGTAAGGCCACATAAACTAAAACAGAGTATGGGGAGAAGTTCTGAGACTGCTAACTAGACATGGAAGCCATGATTTCCTCAGCCAGAGAACAGGCAGAGGTGGTTCCCAGCAGAGGCCCTGCTCCTCTCCTACCCCCGCCCCCTCAAGCCAGGCCCCGGTTGCTGCTAGACGATAGCTCAGGATCAAGACCGGAACAGATTAAGAGCTGACAAGGCCCCACTGGACACCAAGGAAGGAGACAAGATGACTCTGTTTCAGCAGTGCAAGAACAGCAGCCTGAGGGGTGTCCAGAGAATGCTGTCATGGAAGCCATAATAGGGCCACAGGAGGATGTCTGAAGGTCATTCTTCTCCATCCACACCAGATGACAGACCGGGAGACTGGCTTTCCTTGTACAAGATATGGTACTAGAGGTGGCCTACTATGGTGGGAAGTCTACAGCCTCACTCACACACTTGAGGCAACCATGCACTTGCTACTTGAAGCCAAATCTGGCAGAAAGTGGGCCTGCATGGAGCTGAAGCCATGGCATACATAGCATGGGAAAAAAGCATGCACACAGCTGCCAAAAATCATTAAAGATGAAAAAAAGGAAACTGTGAATGGAAGGCAGAACCAGCGGTCACAATGAGGAAAATATGACACCTATCCTTGAGCATGTGCCCTGATTTCTGTGTAGGGTGGCTGAATGTCCTGCAACATTAGTGGCATCATCTGGAACAAGGCACTAATGTCTGCAGAGACTCCTACAGCTTCCCGGAGTGAATTAACAACCACTACTCCTGAGGCAGCAATTTTCTGGCCTTCCCCATCTGGTCCACACTCCACATGTACAATCAAATGCTAACCTTAAGGCTTGGACGAGGTTGAGATCAGCAAACTCATGGAGTTCTACAAAAGCTTGAAGAACTTTAATATTAAATTCATCCCTAGGAAAGAAAAGAAATAAGTTTTAAGCCTAATGCACATTAACTCAATTATTTTAAAAGAAAAACATATCTCATTTGAATAATGTAGCTATGAATATTCGTGCACGAGTCTTTCCATGACCACACATTTTTATTTCTCTTGGGCATGTACCTAGGAGTGGAATTACTGGGTTACGTGGTAAGTTTACGTTTATTCAGCATTTTGAGGAAATGCCAAACTTCTTTCCAAAGTACCCGTTTACATCCCATCAGCAGTGTATAACAGTTTGATTTCCCCATATCCTTGCTGACATTTATGTTTATTTATAGCCATCATAATGGGTGTGAAGTGGTATCTCACTATAGTTTTCATTTGCATTTCCCTGATGATTAATTACTTTGAGCACTTTTTCATGTGTTTTTGGCCATTTGTATATCTTCTTTGGAGAAATGTCTATTCAGATCATTTGCCCACTTTATTAATATAACTGAATTTTTATTTTTGCTCCTAGTTGTATGAGTTCTTTATATATTCTAGATATAAGTCCTTATCAGGTTTACATACGATTTAAAAATTTTCTCCTGTTGTGTGGCTCATCTTTTCACTTTCTTGAGGGTATCCTCTGAAGCACAAAATATTTAATTTTGATAATATCCAGTTTACCGTTTTCATTTGTTGTTTGTGCTTTTGATGTTGTATCTAAGAAACGCTTGCCTATTTCAAGATCACAAAGATTCATCCCTGTGTTTTCTTCTAAATGTCTTATGGTTTTAAGTTCTTACATTTAGGTCGTTGTTCCATTTTAATTTTTGTACATGGTAAGGGGTCCAATTCCATTCTTTTGCATGTGGATTTCCAGCTGCCCCACCATAATTTATTGAAAAGATTATTCTTTCCCCCATTGAATTGTCTTGGCACTCTTGCTGAAAATCATTTCACAGTAAATGTGAAGGTTTATTTCTGAATTCACAATTTTTTTTTTTTGGAGACAGAGTCTCACTCTGTCACCCCAGCTAGAGTACAGTGGTATCATCATAGCTCACTGCAACCTCAAACTCCTGGGCTCAAGCAACCCTCCCTACCTTAGCCTCCCAAGTAGCTGGGACTACAAGTACACACTACCATGCCTGGATAAATTTTTCTATTTTTAGTGGAGACGGGGTCTTGCTGTTGCTCAGGCTGGTCTTGAACTCCTGACCTCAAGCAATCCTCTAGGCCTCCCACAGTGCTAGGATTATAGGCATGAGCAACCGCACCCAGGCTGGATTAGAAATTTTATTCCATGATATATATATCTCTATCCTTATATAGTCCTACACTGTCTTGATTAGCATAGCTTTAGTCTATTTTATAATTGGGAAGGGTGACTTCTCCAACTTTGTTCTTTTTATTGTAAGACTATTGTGGCTATTCTTAATTAAGTCCATGAATTTCCATATTAATTTTAGGATGAGCTTGTCAACTTCTACAAAGAAGTCAGCTAGGATTTTGATAGAAGTGCATTAAATCTGTAGATAAATGTGGGAAGTACTGCCATCTTAGCAACAAGTCTTCTAATCCATGAACATGGGCTGTCTTTCCATTTAGTCAGATCTTTTAATTTTTGTCAGCAATGCTTTGTAGTTTTCAGAGTAAAAATCCTGTACTTCTGTTAAATTTATTCCTAAGTATTTTATTCTTTTTAATGGAGCTATTTTCTTAATCTCCTTTTCAGTTCACCCACTGCTACTACAGTATATAGAAATACAACTGAACTTTGTATATTGCTCTTGCATCCTGCAACCTTATTGAACTTTATTATTTCTAATAGCTTATTGGTGATTCCTTAGGATTTTCTACATGCATGATCATGTCATCTGCAAATAGAGATAGTTTTATTCCTTCCTTTCCAATCTGGATGTCTTTACTTTGATTTTCTTACCTAACTGCCCTGGAGAGAAGTGCCAGCACCAGATTAAACAGCAGTAGTGATAGCAGACAGCCTCTTCTTGCTCTTAGAGGGAAAGCAGTCTGCTAGCATTAAATAAAATACTACATTGTGGGTTTTTCATAGGTGCCCTCCATCATGTTAAAGAAATTCCCATCTAGTTCTAGTTTTTTGAGTATTTTTATAATGAAGCAGTGTTGAATTCTGACAAATGCTTTTCTTGCATTTATCAGAATGATCATGTGGATTTTGCCTTTTATTCTACTGCTATATTACTTCAATTGACTTTCGTATGTTGAAGTAACCTTGTATTCATGGGATAAATCCCACTCAGAGCATAATTCTTTCTATGAATTGTTGGATTTAATTTGCTAATAATTTGTTGAGATTTTTGCTTCTATAGTCATAGAGATATTAATGGTTTGTAGTTTTCTTGCAATACCTTTGTCTGCTTTGGGTATCTGGTAGAACTGGCCACACAGAATGAGTTGGGAAGTGTTCCACTTTTGATCAAGTATTTTCAATATAAAGCTAGAAACAAATCACCCTAATTTAGCAACTCTTGGGCTTTTCTTTAAAAACACTCTCCTTTGGTCCTTGACAAAGTCTATTTTGGCACATTCAGGGATGTGCTGCCTTAGCATTGTTGCCCTAACCTCTGCTAAGCATAGTAAATGGACTTTTAGTGGAGAAGGTTGAGAAAATAAATCTGACCTGTGGCTTTTCATTTTTAAAAAATTGATAATTTTAAACCTTTTCTCATACCCCAAGTAATAAGGGAAAAGAAAACCACTAAGAAATCTGGTATATTTCTGGGCAAAACGAAAGATAATTAAGTTGCTTTCCAAGAGCAGGAGAAAGAGGCATGGCATTTGTGGCTCCTGTCATGGTTCCCCTGAATAAAGGATTCCAGAGGAAAACAGATCTAACCTAGCCCCAGAATACCCTAACACCTCTCCCTTCTCACACAGATTCAGGAGAGGAAGTGACTGCACTGGGAAAGAACATTTGTACACCAATAGCCCATGGCTAGGTCATGCCATAGGCTGTAAGAGCCCCTAAACAGGAACATGGACCCAGGTCAGGCTGCAGGGCTGGGTGGGCCCACGGAGAGCTGCTCATCCTCCTTCAACTTACCTTTCCCCCAGATAGTCCCCAATGACAGTCTTATTTAGGCCTTCTCCTTTATAAAGGAACTGGGCAACGTCTTCTGGGGAACTCTGTAGCAGGTCATTTTCTATTAGAAACTGAATTCCCTGAAGCAGAACATTAGAAAGGAAGCACTAGTTAGAAGGGTCACTCAAACTCATTTTTCAAAGACAGAAATACACTCAGTGTAATGACCTTACTGGTTTGGACACTAGCAAAAATACTGGAGAGACCTATACAACTGTACAATCTGATTTTCACAACACCATACTGCAATTTATCTGTCAAAAGAAAGCACAGTTATTCCTCCTGGCAAGTTAACAGGTTAAAAGACAAATAAATGGGTTACTGAACAAACCATTATAAGTGGTTACTAGAAATTATAAAGGCAGAAATAACAGTAATATCAGATTTCCCAAACTTAGGAAAATGATCTGTCTTGTGTCTGGGAGGAACACACTATATGTTATAGATGCTGCTGGTTGGCCAACCCAACAGCCATCCTAACCTCCTTTTTCCCAGCCATCCCTCACTACATCATCAGATTCCCAGCCTCCCTTGGAACTAGAAATGACCTTGTGATACAGATCTGGCCGGACAAACAGGAAGAACCTGGGAAACGGTAACTCCTGAGCAGACACTGCTCCTCCTCCTTCCTGCCTTAAACACAGATAGATGACCAGAGCCAAGGTGACCATCTTACAAGGGAAAGGCCAAGATGAGCACCAAGGTCCTCATTCCTGCCACTTGGGAGCCACCTACTGCTACAACAGCTGTGTGAAAAGATGAACCTCCACTGTGTGAATTACTTTTCACTGGATTTTGTTATCTGAGGCAGAAAACATGTAAGTGACAACACTGTGCCACCAAGCTTATGCCAGTCAAAACTCATGCTGCCTACTTTAAGGGCCTACAGCATAGCTGACAATCTCAAAAGGCAAGGGGCTGCCCCTGTCCTGAGTCAGCTCCATTCTGTCTCCTAGTAAGTCCCAGGGACTTATAATAATAGCAAAAATTTACTAGCTTCAGAGCTGGTTTCAAAATATATGTTGGCAATGTTAGTACGATAATAAGGAATTCAGAATTTATTTGCCAGGAGGCTATTTCTATAAATTCAGAGAGGCTCTTCCAACTGAAATTCTCAATGCCTAAGACGAGGGCTGCCTCATACCCTAATAATTTATCTGGAGATTTTCTATTATTTTTTAAATACATGAACATCCATAGCAGCCTTATTTATAATTTCCAAACACTGGAAACAAGCCAACAGTCAGTCAGTAAGAGAACACATAAATCCATTCTGGTATATTCATATGATGGAAGACTACATGCAATGAAACAAAATGGACACTTAGCGGCATGAATCTCACAGACATGATAAGGACTAAAAGATGACACAGACCAGTATGTTTTAATTCCATTCACATAAGGTTTAAAAAAGGGCAAAATTAATTTAAGGTGATAGAATACTGGTTACCTTGGCAAATGAACTCATTAGGAGAAAAAGGTGCCCTGTAATGTTCTATAACTATGTCTTATTCTGGGTCACAGTTATATGAGTATATTAATTTATAAAGATTCTTTAAACTGTACATTTGAAATTTGTGTGCTATGCTGTATGTTATTCTCCAAAAAATTAACAAGTCTGACAATCCTAAATTAATTCTCATATATTTCTGGTGGGAATTTAAATAGGCACCATCTAAATCTCAAGACATGCATATGCTATAACAACAAAGTTCTACTCCTAAAATATGCCTGTCCCAGCCCAACTTCTCTGAAAACAAAGCCTGGGACAGGAATTACTGCACTGGTGCTTTGCTATTCACTTTATATGAGGAAACAAGTGAGGCAAATTGAGAAGCCAGTGGCTAGAGGTGGGCAGGGAAAGACAGGGCTGCCCTCAGACATCACTAGTCCTACAATCTCTGCAGTCACAAGGCTAGAGGCTCGACCACGCACAGCTAAGGCCCTGGCCACTGTTAGCTGAAGCCTCCCAAACTCAATGGGCTTTTGGATGAGGCTTTTGTGAGCTCTTCTGGACGTTTATAACCTGCCCATTAAGTTCAACACTCCCAAAAAACTAGGACTTTTTTTTGTAGAATGCATGGAACAACCTATAGGGATTTGAGAAAAGCAAATGGGCTCAGGACAAAGTGATTTCTTCTGTGCTTACAAAGGTCACATAACAAAGGCAGAGGAGGGCCTAACAAAGCTCCAGCATCCTTTGCCAAAGACCGAGACTCCGGTTGTGGAAAACAGAATCACTGGGGAGTTGAAAGCCAGAGGCAAAGAGACCAGTTATGATTAAGAAAGGAACTGCACCTGGGAGGTGAGACAGAGAAAAACTGATGGGGAGGACGACACAGAGCAGGCCTGTTGTGAGTCCAGTGGCATGTGTCCTCAAGAGAGACAGAGAGGGGAAGGCAGTGTGATGATGGAGGCAGGCTGGAGTGATGCAACCACAGCCAAGGTGCACCAGACTGCCAGCAGCCACCGGAAGCCAGGAGAGATGCATGCAAGGGAGTCTCCCTCAGAAGTGACCTTGAACTTCTAAGCCTCCTAAACTGTGAGATAATAGATTTCTATAGTTTTAAGCCACCCAGTTTTTGGTCACTTGTTACAGTAGCCCTAGGATACTAATATACACTTGGTAAATACTCACAAAAGGCGGCCAGAGTTCCAAATGTAGAAATCCTATTTTATTCCTATCTTTCATTTACTCTTAGAATTTTAACAAATATTTAAACTTATATTTATCTATCAACATCTAGAAAACCTTAGTCAACTATACTTCCCTCCTTCCTTTCCCCTTTGCTACTTAATATTGAGATAAACTGAGAATTTAAAAAATATTTTTACAAAAAATTTTTAGAGAGGGTTTTCATTACATGTTGCCTAGCCTGGCCTTGACCAATCCACCCACCTCAGCCTCCAAAGGAGCTGGGACTACAGGCATGTGCCACTGTGTCCAAATAAAAAAAATATATATTTTAAACAATCAATCCTCATTTAGACTTACATAAGTTTTGCTGGTTTCTTTGTATGTCTTTCCTTTTTTATTCTGTGGATTCCTTTTTTGTTTTGAGGTGTAATGCTCCAATCTCTCCAATCTCTCAATTACTACAGATCAAAGTCCTGGTGGTTAACTTTTTGAGTCCTTTTACATCTGAACATGTCTTTACCTACCATCTCTTTTGAGTGACAGTCTGGATAGACAGAATTCTGGGTCTTAAATGGTTTTTCCTCAGACTTAGGAGACACTGTTTCCCTACTGTCTTTGATCTGGTGGGTCTCTGACAATAAGCTCACTGTGATTCTCATTTCTTCTTAGGTAATTTAGTCTTTCCTTACTAGAAAATTTAATGAATTTCTCTTTATTCTCAAGTTTTATGATATTTTACTTGATGCATCTACATATATATCTTTTGGGTTTTTGTTTTTTTGAAATACAGTCTCGCTCTGTCGCTCAGGCTAGAGTGCTGTGGCGTCATCACAGCTCACTGCAGCCTCAAACTCCTGGGCTCAAGCGATCCTACTGCCTCAGCCTCCCAAGTAGTGGGGACGACAGGCGTGAGCTACCATGTCTGGTTTTCTTTTATTTTTTTGGTAGAGATGGGGTCTCACTTTTGCTCAGGCTGGTCTCAAACTCCTGGCCTCAAGCAATCTTACCGCCTTGGCCTCCCAGAGTGCTAGAACTACAGGTGTGAGCCACTGTGCCCGGCCATATATGTAGGTCTTTTAAAAATTTATCCTCCTTGTCATTTGGTGAGGCTTTTGGATCTAAGGATTTTCTCTTAGTCTAGCTCTAAAATATTCCAAAATTTCCTTGAAATTTCCTCCATTTTCCATTCTCTCCTGAGAATTCTAGCAGACACAATTTGGGCTGCTGGACCCATCTTCCGTGTCTTGTTGCAGTGCTTTGCAAAACCATATAAAAAATTCTTCCTCTCTTCTAGCACACTAATCCACTCTTCAGCCATGTCTTCTCTATGGTACAGCCCAGCACTCGAGTTATTATGTAACATTCCTATTTTGCATTTCCAAAGTTCTTTTTCACAGCGTTTTTGTATCATGGATAAGATATATCCTTATCATAACCCTTTAATGATATTTATAAAACAAACATCCTACTTTAAAAAGTTTCCTTCTTTTGTTTCTGTTTTGTGTGTTTCCTCCAGCATTAGTTCTTCTGTTTGTTCAGATTCTTGTATCTTTCACAGTGTTGGTTTCCTCCAATGTTTGGTGGTACTTGTCTGGCTGGGTGCTCATCAGTATATTTAAAGGTCACTGTTGGCCCAACACAATGAGGTCTGCTTCTGGTTTTTACTGCAGCTGCCTCCAGCAATGTGGCAGAGGAGCAGGTTAGGCAGCCAGGTGCAGGGTGCCAACAGCTGGTCTCTGAGAGTGGGTCTTTTTTCTCCTCCTTCTTAGTGCTGCCAGCCACTAGGATGCTGCCTGCTTTCATGGATTAAGTGTTCCCTTCTGCTTTTCCCACCTGGGGGCACACACTACTGCTTTGCCCAAGTTCAGCAAAGGGTGAACAATCTCAATGTCCCTACTACAGTCTTATTCTCAAATCTGCCCCCTCTGAGTTTGCTGAAGCCTGAAGCTGCTCTCACTTTCTGTAGCAGTTCTTTCTTATATGTGTTTTGGGCATCGCTTCCTTCTTCAACTGATCCCATTTACTTTCTTTCTTTTAGGGATTCCTCAATTTCTACTCCACTGACTGAACTCCTACTTGTTACATAGATTTATATGTTTTTATTTAAGGTACTTCTAGGAAATCGATAATAAAGAGAAGTTGTAGAGTGTTTTCAGCTTCCTTGATTTAATCAAAGCTTGCCTCTTATTTATAAGCTCAAGTGCTACTTCTAGAATTTTATATACCTGAACAAACCAAAGCTCCTTCCTTAAAAGAAACTTAAAAAAATGTCCTCCTAGCCCCCCAAAATTTATTTATTCTGACAATATCTTCATGTTTCACAAAGTTACATGATTTAATGGGGGGGGGGCAGTAGATACAATTTTGGATTGCATCTGAAGCTTGTGAGATCATCCCATGTAATTATGAACTGAATGTCTATATCCTCCCTAAAAGTCATATGTTGAAGCAAAATGATACAATCACCCCGATGTGATGGTATGTGAAGATGGGGCCTCTGTGAGATAATCAGGGTTGCATGAGGTCATGGGGGGGAGGCTGGTCTGATGGGATTTGTGCTCTTATAAGAATATCCTAGAGCAAGCAAGCTCCCCTACTCCCTACCATGTGAGGACACAACAAGAAGGCAGCTATCTGCAAGCCAGGAAGAGGGCCCTCACCAAAACTCGACCCTGATCTCAGACTTTTAGACTCTGGAACCGTGAGAAAATAACAAATTTCTGCTGTTTAAGCACCCAGTCTACAGTACTTTGCTATGGCAGCCCTAGCAGACTAAGAAAAGTGCTATGTCCAAGTCTACAAAACGAAGAAATTTTGTTAATTTTTTCCCAGTAAAAGGGCACATACAGACTAAATGTGCCATCTGCTTTTTATCAAGCAACATAATTACAAATAAGTTGTTGGACAGAACCAGTAATTGATATAAAAAGAATCTTTTGGCTGGGTGCTGTGGCTCACGTCTGTAATCCTAGCACTCTGGGAGGCCGAGGCAGGAGGATCGCTCAAGGTCAGGAGTTCGAAACTAGACTGAGCAAGAGCAAGACCCCGTCTCTACTAAATACAGAAAGAAATTAATTGGCCAACTATTATATATAGAAAAAATTAGCCAGGCATGGTGGCACATGCCTGTAGTCCCAGCTACTCAGGAGGCTGACGCAGAAGGATTGCTTGAGCCCAGGAGTTGGAGGTTGCTGTGGGCTAAGCTGACACAACGGCACTCTAGCCCCGGCAACAGAGTGAGACTCTGCCTTAAAAAAAAAAAAAAAAAAAATATTTTAGGTGAAGAGGAATGAAAAATGAAGCCTCCTGAGTAATTTGCCATAGTCCAAGCAAAGCAGATTAAACAGCTACTTCCTCAGACGTGGAGAGGAAGACACCACACGGGTGACTAGTGGTCTGGGATTGTCCAGGCTAGGCTCAAGGCACCAACCCACCCCAGAGGCACCCACCCTGCTCACAGACAGCAGCAGTTACACTGCAAGTCCTGGAGCTGGGTTCCTTGCTCAAGATGGTATTGAGTTTCTTAGTTGCTCTGTGCCTCACTCCCCAACGGTGAAACAAGAATGAAAAGGAAAGCCCCATAAGGTAATGACTAAAGTAAAGTGCTCCCTTATCATGGTTCCTGGCAAATAGTTAAGTTCTCAAGGTCAGCCCTTATTACTGCAAATCTGACACAAAATACATTTAAATAAGATGGGCAAGAACCTGACAGAGAGGGCTTCACAAGCATGAAGGTAAGTTCATGTTCAAAGAGCTTAAACCTGATGCACAATGGTAGCAGCACTTAAAAAAATAAGTTGTTTCTATTTCATGAGATTAGAATTTATCCATGAACTTATTGGTGCACTTGGGTCCCTTTAAAACACAAGGTCAGACTGGGCATGGTTGCTCACGCCTGCAATCCTAGCACTCTGGGAGGCTGAGGAGGGCAGATAGGAGTTCGAGACCAGCCTGAGCAAGAGCGAGAACCCGTCTCTACTAAAAAAAAATATAAATTATAGCTGGGCATGGTGGCACATGCCTATAGTCTCAGCTAACTCAGGAGGCTGAGGCAGGAGGATCGCTTGAGCCCAGGAGTTTGAGGTTGTTATGAGCTAGGCTGATGCCATGGCATTCTAGCCTGGGCAACAGAATGAGACTCTGTCTCAAAAAAAAAAAAAAAAATACATGAGGTCCAGTTTTGGAAACTTCCACTTTTGTAAAGTATCCTGAGATGCTTCCAATGGTTATTAAATCTGGTAATTCTGTAGACTCAACTCCTAAAGAAAAAAAAACTGTAACTAACCTCAAATATAAAATCATTACCAAATTCACAAAAATGACTCATTCCATTCTACAGTTGATTTATGCCCCACAGGCAGAGAATTAGGAAGCAGTAGGAAAAATTTCACAGTGGCTAGAGTGTCCAAATTAAACAAAAACCCTCTTCCAGCTACAGATGTACTGGACCTTAAGAAAATCCAAATCTGCAAATGGTAAACAGGGAGTAATGATACACATCTCTTTAAATATCATTTTTAACTGCACTTGCACTTATAAATGTAAGCTTACAGATCTTAAACCTTGTAAAATATAATTGCTGCAATCAATAAACATTTATTGAATGAACAAATAATTAACTAATTAGCAAAGAGGCTCAATGTCAGAAAAACAAGGAAACTATTAAAACTGAACACTGATTAAAGACCATAAGGAATGCAGTACACCAGCTCTGCAGCTAGGAGACCTTTCCACAGACACATCATTCCTCTCCTAGACCCTAAAGACTCAGTTCTACCCTTTCTACCTTTTGTTCTTCCCATATGAAAATATTACAGCTGAGTCACATTTTCCAAAAACCTTTATAGATTCTGCCAAATCCCTTACTTCAATCTCAAAAACAAGAAGGTACCTGCTTCAGGTTTCACTGTTCTCAGATGTTTTCCTAAAAAAATCCAACTTGAAGCCAGGCACAGTGGCTCACACCTATAATCTCAGCACTTTGGAAGGATGACGTGGGAAGATTGCTTAAGGCCAGGAGTTCAAGACCAGCCTGAGCAAAAGCAAGATCCCATCGCTACAAAAAATAGAAAAATTAGCCGGCATGGTGCTGTGTGCCAGTAGTCCCAGCTACTTGAAAGGCTGAGGCAGGAAGATCACTTGAGCCCAGGAGTTTGAGGTTGCTATGAGCTGTGATGACGCTACTGCACTCTAGCGCAGCAACAGAGCCAGATTCTGTCTTAAAAAAAAAAAAATCCAACTTGAGGATTGTTGGCTTAAATCTGGAGAGATTCCTTATTCATAAGGATACCTTCTTTGTAAGGTGAATGGAAGGAATAAAGTCCTCTTAATTACACCATTTAACTCATCCAGATGATAAAAGTCTATAAACTCTGTATACCTGGATTCCATTCCTACCTCTGCCCCTTACTAATCATGTAATTTCCCAGCTATAAGGCCCAACTCAAGAAGGAAGACAAAGGGAAATAAACCTGACAGCAAGGGCTCTGCCTGGCTCCATGCTGGACCTGCATGAGTTGTTCAAGGGCTCCTATGAGGCCATTTGATTACGCACAAGTACACACCGAGAAAAACGCCTTTCCACCCAGGGCGCCAGCCCGAGAGGATACTTCACTTCACCTATTCATTGGCAACCCTTTTTCTGATAACAAATTTAACATCAATGCACATTCTTTTTATGAGGTGATATGACCACTTCTGTCCAAAAGGGAGACAGCCATTAAAAATTAATCAATAAATCTCCTGTATGCATTCCAAAAGACAAAGCATTCTCTTACCTTTTTGGGATCCATGTTGAATTTCTTTCTTCCCATAGCTATCTGCTTGTTCCTCTGAGTAGTTTTGCTATTCACATGAAATAATTAAAAAAATCATTGGCAGGTTTTTTCACAGAGCAGTGACTTTCTGCTCTCCCTTAGTGCAACTGAGTCATGGCCCTTCAGCATATTTCCTCTCAACTCAATGAAGGAAAACACATGCCCTCTTGGAGGTGCCCTCCAGCCTTTGTGCTGGAAGCAGGAGTTATGTGGCAGGCTTCACTATTTTTAAAATTAGGTAACTTGAGACATATTAATACTTCTCCAGAAAAGGCCAATGATCAAAACCAGTTATTTTAATAAAGCACAGTTCCTTATGATACAGATAAGGAATTTCTAGGTAGGTTGACTCTGAAGTGCCTGTGCTTATTCCCAAACCTACAAAGTAGTAGACAATGACTTAGAAAGACAGGTAACACCCAGAGATGCCCAGACCTGTCCTTAAAGAGCAGGAAGGAATGGGGGTGGGGGAAGGGAAGAGGAATGAACAACTCCAAAGGCTCCCCACTTCCCAATCCCAACCCTTCTTAGCCCTGCTATAGTCATCAGTTCTTACAAGTTCAGATGGAAGGTGGAGGTGGGGAGAAAAGAAATTAAATGACTTGAAGCTGTAGCCATAAACTGTTTACCTCTCCTCTACAGAAGTTAGATTGTCGATCTCTGTCATCACTTCCGCAATTTCATATTTCAGCCTCTGTCAAAACAGAAGGAATTTAGGGGCAGGGGTCTTAACCTTCCTCCTCCTCGACTCAGAGAAAGTTTAGCCTTCTAGGCATAGGCTTCCCTGAAGCCTCTCCTAAGCACCACAGGGATAGAAAAACCAATACTTCTAACAACATAGCTAGAGGTTAACTCAGGAGAAAACAAAATTGTCTACCTCTCCTCTGATACCGGATAAGAGGAGTCAACTAGGCAGATAATAGGGTATTTGTGTGTAAAACCAGGAAGAGACACTAGACAAGTATCACAGGTGTAAAAAGATAAAACAAACCAGCAAAAGGAAAACCATGAGTCCTGAGTTCACTTAGTTGCACTATTCAATCTTGCCCTACTCATGGTCACCTACTTTCCCCCCCTTCAATGCTACCTATGTTCTTGGGAAGACCAGGGAAGAAGCTGAAGCTCAAACATGTTTAGGTTGGTATCAAGCTACTTAACTGCCAGTCTCAGGATGATTTCTATCACTTCGTCTGAGATGAAGCACCATGGACAGAGTCCCGGGGGGAAAACAGAACTGTCCCACAACACTCAGAGAAGGGGATAAGACTCCCCTTTTCCCTCAATGTGGCCCCTACTGGGTGGGAGCCTCAGGGTAACCTTAGAAGAAAAATTTCCATGAATTATCTTTCAAATACAAAGACATTTTTATTCAGAACCCTATTATTGCATGCCAAGAAACTTCAGACTTAAAATGCAAGCTCCTAGAAAGGGGTTATTGTCTGGGACAAGGCCTAGTCTGTAAGGCCACATTTATTTTGGCAATGACAATGACTGGGAAGCTTCTCAAAGAAGAGCTGAATGTCTGATTGACTTTTGCAAGGAAGCCCCAAACAGAAGGAGCCAAAGCTGGCCTTCTGAATAATTTCTGTAACAATCATAGACACTCCAATTCTGAGACTGTGGTTTTATTCATTTGCTTCTCCTGTGGGACTTCCTCCACCCTGTTCCTCTGAGTAAAGTACACAAAAATGTGGGAAAGGCCGGGCGAGGTGGCTCACGTCTGTAATCCTAGCACTCTGGGAGGCTGAGGCGGGCGGGTTGCTCGAGGTCAGGAGTTCGAAACCAGCCTGAGCAAGAGCGAGACCCCATCTCTACTATAAATAGAAACAAATTAATTGGCCAACTAATATATATATAGAAAAAATTAGCCGGACATGGTGGCGCCAGTCTGTAGTCCCAGCCTACTAGGGAGGCTGAGGCAGGAGGATGGCTTGAGCCCAGGAGTTTGAGGTTGCTGGTGAGCTAGCCTGATGCCATGGCACTCATAACCTGGCAACAAAGTGAGACTCTGTCTCAAAAAAAAAAAAAAAAAAAAAAGTGGGAAAGATGTTTATTTCCTGTGTTTTTATTTATCTTTAATTTCTCTAGGAGGCACTTGGTACATAGCTGGACCCAATATATGCCGAGGTGTTCATTCAAAGGATAGCTAGTGCCAAAAATGGAAAAGGTAATTCAAAGAAACAAGATCTTATTGCACAATTTTAGAGAGCAATACTTTTTGAGATCACTTGCTGATAAACATGTCGTTATGGCCCTGAGCTAAGCCGATTGATCACTGCTAACTAAAATTCCACGACATCTTGATTTCCACCCAGGTCCACAAGCCGGTGGTGTATCTTTGCTTTACCAACTTGGGAAAACTCTTTTGCTTTGCTCTTTGTTGTGATCCTTATATACACACAGTAAAAACCCAACTTTTTTACATTTTTATGCAAGTCTTAGCTCTACTTTTTATCCAAAAATAAATACTAGAGGGTTTTTTTTTTTTTATCTCGATGTCATCAATAAGTTCATTTTTTCTTCGACAATGTCCTATAGTTCTTCTCTCTCTTCTAATGAAGTTCAGGCACTGAAAAAAAAACAAACAATTAAAAACCTATACTTGGAGACAATATGTAACATCTAGTAAGGACTGAAGATGGGATGATATACCACCCAATCAGCAATTCTCAATTAGGTATTTTATCCTGAAGAAGCTCTAAACATATAGCCCTCGCTATGATATCATACCACATGTTTAATTAGAAAAAACCACCTAAAATCCTTCAATAAGGAATAAAACATAATATATTCATAAAATAGAATCCCACAACAAGTTTTTCTTTTAAAAATGAACTAAGCGCAATCAACTATGGTTAGTCTCAAAAAATTGATTATAAAAGCAGTGCTGAGAAACTTGTATACTATGTAATACGCTTTTATGGAGTGTTTAAATCAGTAATCAACTTATATAAATATTTTGGGGGATAGACACAATATGTGTACAGCACGAATAACATAAATGCAAGGAATGAGAAAACACCAAAACTCTGTCAAACAAAAAAAAAAAAAAAAAAAAAGCAAAGTCTCACTTTGTTGCGCAGGCCTAGAGGTGAGTGCGTAAGGCATCAGCCTAGCTCACGGCAACCTCAATCTCCTGGGCTCAAGCGATCCTCCTGCCTCAGCCTCCCCAGAAGCTGGGACTACAGGCATGCGCCACCATGCCCGGCTAATTTTTTGTATATATATTTTTTAGTTGGTCAATTAATTTCTTTCTATTTTTAGTAGAGACGGGGTCTCGCTCTTGCTCAGGCTGGTTTTGAACTCCTGACCTCGAGCAATTTGCCCGCCTCGGCCTCCCAGAGTGCTAGGATTATAGGCGTGAGCCACCACGCCTGACCAGAAACACCAAATTCTTGATAGGGATTCCTTCTAAGAAGGTTGGGGTGGGAGGAAATATAATCCAGAGAGACATCAGGCAGTTTTAGTTCAGTGGATGAGAGTCAGTCAATGCACAGATATTTGATGAATTTTTTTTATTGACACAGGGTCATTCATAATATCCTCTTATTAATGATTAACCTCTGCAATGTTTCCATTCCTACAATGTATACATTCTTTCTCTTTTCTTTGATTAACCATAGCGGAGTCGGTTTATTTCACTAAGCTTTTCTAAGAAATAGCTTTTGACTTTAATGGTCCTCAGTTGTGAAATTCCTATTTCATTATTTGTCTAAAGAAACAAAAGATTAAGAATATGAGTAAATAGAAAGAAAACATGCAGCACTTTTACAAACAAATTAAGAGAATGTGATTGTGGTGAAGGGATGGATACACTGACCTATGAACCAGAAGACAGTGCCCAGAACAATACCCACTGACCGACGAAAACTATATATATATATATATATATATATATATTTTTTTTTTTTTTTTTTTTTTGGAGACAGTCTTGCTCTGCTGCCCTGGGTAGAGTGGTAGAGGGCAGTGTCATCATCATAGCTCAATGAAACCTCCAACTCCTAGGCTCAAGTGAGCCTCCCAACTAGCTGGGACTACAGGCAAGCACCACTACGTCTGCCTAATTTTTCTATTTTTAGTAGAGAGAGTGTCTGGTCTTGCTCAGTCTGGTCTCCAATGCCTGAGCTCAAGCAATCCTCCTGCCACAGCCTCCCAGAGTGCTAGGATTAGAGGCGTGAGCTACCTTGCCTGGCCTGAAAAACTGGATTTACAGCAGAGCTGATGCAGCTCAAAGGACAGGGTGGCCTCTTCACTAAATGGTATGTGAGAAATCAGTCATCTGTAGGAAAAAAATAAAATCAGATCCCTATTTATCATCACAAATATTTTAAATCAATTATAAGTAGATTAAGGCTTAAATGTAAAGGGCAACACTACACAATTTTTGTAAGAAAATAGAGGATAATGTTTTTAATTTAATCTATTAAAATGCGTCACAAATTTGTGTGACATACTTGTGCAGGGGCCATGCTAATCTTCTCTGTATCATTCCAATTTTTTAGTATATGTGCTGCCAAACTGAGCAAGAGAATGTTTTTTATAATTTCAGGGTAGGGAAGATGACTTCTTAAATAAAATAGGAAAAAAATGTAAATCACAAAGGAAAATAATAATAAATTTAATGATATTTAAATTTAGAACTTTTGTTCACCAAAAGGTCTACACCATAAATTGATGAGCTAAGCCAAAAACTATCAAGGCATTAGTGTCCAGGACTCCTACAAGTCACTTTAAAGAAAAAAACAAAACAAAACAAAACAAAACCAGTGCAGCTGAGCATAGTGGTTGATGCCTATAAACCCAGCACTTTGGGAGGCTCACTTTAGCCCGGGTGTTGTAGACCAACTGGGGCAACATAGTGAGACATGGACTCTACAAAAAACAAAAAAAATTAGCTGGTGTAGTGGTGCATGCCTGTGGTCCTAGCTACTTGAGAGACTGAGGCAGAAGGATCACTTCAGCCCAGGGGTTCAAGGCTACAATGAGCTATGATCATGCCACTGCAATCTAGCCTAGGTAACAGAGCAAGACCCTGTCTCAAAATCCAAACAGCTGGTTGGTACTTTGTTGGAGATAAAAAATAAATATAAAAAATATATTTTAAAAACCAGCAACAACACAATGCTTAGAAAATGGACAAAAGACTTGAATAGGAACAAGAAAAAAACGTACCACGTAAAGGATGTCAACTCTTTAAATAATCAGGAAAATACAAATTAAAGTCCCAAAAAGAGAGCTCTACTTAAACTGTCATAACCTATAGCAAAGCAGGTTTTTGAAACCTCAAAACCTGTCACAACACAGCAAATGGGAAAAGAGAGAACCAGCGCCACATTTTAGAAGCTGGAAGTCACACTGAACTAATAGTAACTTATTTAACCCTCATGACAAAGAGTTGGTTACCCCAACAGGTGGCATAGACTGGTCAGAGGGCAGTGATATTTACAACTAATTGATTATAACCAGTTACAGATTCCTTTGTTCCTTCTCCTACCCTACTGCTTCACTTAACTAGCCTTAAAAAAACCAAAACAAACAAAAAACAGTAATACAGACCAAGGAGTAACCTAATTTATATGACAGGATCTTACAAAGTCTTATATCTCTGGCTGCACCAAATAACTCTGGAAGTGGGCTGTGAAGGAAAATCAGCCAAAATAAGGAGGGCTGGTTGAAAGGCTGTTTGAAATGCTA